ACTTAAAGTTCCCACACAAAGGCCTTCAGAGAGCTGTCTGCTTCCAAATATTCCCCCTCTAACTGTAAAGAGCGACTAAAAGCACTACTGTACATGTAAATATTTGATGTTTTCACGTCAGGGCTCAGAAGCTCCGACTGTTTCAAGGGGAACCTCAAAGTGATTAAAAGCCAAAGCAGATCAGACCTTGTGGTTGGATGGAACCCTCCCCCCTCGTGTCCTTACACCTGCCCATTTTACCCCTGTCTGTGAGAACTGAATGTTATTTAGTAAAATCCAGACTTAGTGCCATTGACAGTATTACTTTACGTGCTCCACAGCAGAAGATCAATGTTCTTTTAATCCACCGGAGAGTGGCCAGAACCCTTTGGCTCCATTAGCAGTCTTGTTCTGTATTCACAAACTGTATGAGGCTATTTAGCAAAACCTTTGCTTACAGTTAAAAAAAAGTTAAAACAGCATTATTTGAATAAATAAATATCTAAAAGGTCATTTTTGTAGCAGAATTCAGGTGTTTTTTGTTTTTTTGGGGGGGGCGCTTGCAGGTTATTTGTCACTGTAGGGACTTCGGCCCACTGTAAAGTGAGACCGAGCTCGGCTTCACTGTTCTACGCCAGACAAAGTCACACTAAACAAACAGGCTGTATAAACTATTCAACTCTCGTGGCTTCCCATGGCGGTGTTGCAAGCATAAAGTCCATTCTTGTTGGATCAAACCCAGTTGGACATTTTGACTTAAAAAATTACCGTAATTATTTAAAGTTCAGCGCTTGTTCAACGGTATTTAAGCTTCTCGGAGTTTGCAGGAGTAACACCAAAGTAAACACTCTAAATGGACCGATGTGCTGCCAATGGTCAGGATCATTTAATAAATTTGGTGTTTGATTTCTTAACCTCTCCATTGTGGAATAATGTGAAGCTCATGTGACGTATGTGCACGTACGTGAGGCCATATGCCCCGTGCACCTTTCTGTGGATGCGTCTGCGCTCGTTTATTCCAGTGTACATAAGAGTGCGATATGTGTTTACATTTACAAGCCTGAATGCTCAAGTGTAGGCGTGGGACTATTTACAAAAAACTAGGGTGCGTTTCTCTCAGATTAGTGCCAGGACATGAGGTTTCTCTTAAAATCTAAACACCATTATCAGTCCTGAAACTATATTAAAAAGAAAATTAAAAAAAAGACCCAGAAAGCCTCTTTCTGCTGTAGATATTTAAGGGGTGAATTTGTGACCAGCTACATACCCAAGCTGTACAGAGCCTGAAAACTAATGGGCCAGAAAATAAAGCGGAGGCTGGAAAGAGAGTCCCAGACACATAGCTCTGCATACAGACGCACAAACATTAACCTAAACTCTTGACCACTGAACTTTTAACCCCGAAATGGGGATTTTCCAGCTTTGCAATATCACATTTTACACAAATACACAGAGAGGTATTCTCTGAGGGTTTCCTTCTGCTTCACTGCAAACAATTACTGCTTCAGTATCAGAGCGCCTTCTTCCTCCCGTGGCAGCCTCTCCTCGATTCATTTCTGTCTTCCATTACTCTGTTTGTTCTCCGGTGGACACAAACTTCTCCTCACCTTTTACCATCTTCCCCCCCCCTCCCCCCATTTGTTTCTGCTTCCCACTGTAACCTATTATGGCTCCTTTAAAGCTCCACTGAGTGAAACTGATCTACAACAAACTGGCTCACCCAGTGTGGCCGGCTATGAGTTCTTCCACATGGGCTTAATGACGACCATGAGCCCCCATTTGACTATTCTGTTCACTTCTGGGACAAAAGCTGACTGGTTGCTATTGGTGAGCTTCGGGCAGATGATGAAGTTGTGGATATCAAATGGTTGTGTGTGTTTCCAGTCATGGGCTTTTTGTTTTTTGTCTTGATGTGGTTTAAATGCATTCTAATGCGGAAAAAAAAAATCCCCAGGAGCTAGCGGGAAACACCTAGAAATACAACACTACAAACACTACAAACAAAGGCAAAGCAAAGCAGCTGCTGTGGAACCAGCTGCCAATAATATTTGAAAGTCTACAGAGGCTGTGTATGAATTGTCTGTGACCACAACTGCTTTCAATGCAGGGACTCAACTTCGAAAACACAGAGATCACCTCTCTTTTCAAGCTTTTTGGGAAAAAGGAACCAAACCCGACATGTAGCTGAGTGTTCCCCATTGAACCTATGGAAATGGGAGATCCTCATCTTGTAAAAATATGAACGCTGACGCTCCTAAAAACATCTCACTGCAGTTACATGGAAGTATGGAAGCCCCGGAGTCCAAATTTATTAATCAATAACTCTCTGATAAGCGTTTTTACACGCAATACTTTTTTTTCCCTGCAGTCTTTGTGTGTAAAGGCTGACGGCTTTTTTTGGTGGTGTAACAACATGTTGCTTGAATGAATAGTCTTGTGACCTTTGAAAGAACAGAACATTTCAGCTGTTTCAGTACTACATCGGCCTTTCTTCTGCTTGGTTTCTGACACCGGGTTCCCCCTTTTCCAATAACAGGATCAACCGACTACGAAGAAAAGATTCTTATGTTGAATCTTCTTTAGTGTAAAACGCAATTGACTGGCTCACCAAAAATTCACACCCCAGCACACTTTGCTCGACCTCAGTCAATCCAGTTACTCTTCCACACTAAACTACAACTTGCTTTATTTCCCTTCTAAATCCTCAGACAAAACATCCATGGCCCTCAACAAGCATGTCCATTCATACCAATTAAAAGCGGTAAATAGCCGGAGCCAACCGTGACGGGGGCTAATCCGATTGCCTTACACAATGGAAACTTAGTTCAGACGTATAAGTGCGTATTTAAAGGGAAAACACTCACATGGATGGCAATACATCATAGTTACGAAACAGCAAGTCAATTCCGGAAATGAAAAGGTCGCGTCATTGATTGGTTTAAATGAGAGTCGTACACACAAACCGTTTGGGAGATGCACAACACAAACTCTTGTGTTTGAACACAAACACATGGGAAGCTGATCAAATCCGATGTGATAAATCTGCCTGCAGGCATCAGCATCCACTGCTTAATAGCTTACTCATGTCACAGACACAGAAGCAGGATGCCACACTGCACATGAGACATCGGGAGGTCAGAAGTTCATTGAGCAAAGAGAGCATCCTTGAGCCACTTTTCAGTTCCTTAAAAGGATGTGTTAGATAAAAACCAATGAACGGTTTTTCTGACTTTAGTCGGTTTGGCAGGTGGGGATCCAAAGTCCCTGTAATATATTTAACTAAAGTGCTAAATCGTTCTAAGCCTTTGAATCATGCAGGCAAAAAAAGATACATTCTAGATGACATTAATTTTATTCAAGGGAAATTTTCTACTGACAAGTATGGAAACAACCTGTAGCTGAAACATGAAAAAGATGTGAGTAGCAGGCTCAGTGCTGCAATCAGCTAAAGGAACCGGCCTGAACAAACACACAGAGAGCAGGCAGGTGCTAACCTCCATCGATTTTTTTCCCTCCTTTTTCTAGACACACAAGCTTTGTGGTAGTCTGCGAGGGAAGGGTCTCCTGAGGCCGGGGTCAGCTCCCGGCAGACCGCCGCAGCCCTGCTCTGGTTCCCAGATGTTCTCGTGTACGCACAAACACACACGCAGACCTCCTGAACTGGCTCTCGGAGGCTCAAAACAAACAAACCTAAATGGAGCGGCATACGGTATCGCTGTTGGGGACGGCCAATCAGAGGGAGCGTGCGTGTTTACGTGTTTGCGCAGACTACTTGACCTCCATAAAGTGTGTTGTTAATCCTTATCTCGTAGTCGCGCACACTTTACAGCAGATGTTTGTTTACAGAGCACATCTCCGGGCAAGCGTGACCATGACCGACGAATGAGGCTCTCATGTGTGTGTGTGTGTATGTCTGGGGGGGGGGGGGGGGGGGGGGGGGGGTTCGCCGCACATCCCGACACACGGAATCAGGAGTGTGTGCACTTGCTGAACGAATCATTTATTCCTGGGACTGTCAAGAAAATTTGGCGAGGTGAAGCGGGCCATTGGGATTCAGATCATGGCAGGAGTGTGTGTGTGTGTGTGTGTCTCTGTGTGTGTGTGCCTGGTGGCTGCTGGTAGAGGTGGGGGGGCAGTGAAATCCACATCAGACCATCTATTATAATGACAGGAAGCAGGAAGTACAGCCCCTTCAAAGTCACATGGCTGCCAGCTGTCTTGGCAGCAAAAAGGAAGGAAGATAGAGAACATGATACAGAGTATTTGTGTGTGTGTGTGTGTGTGTGTGTGTGTGCATGTGTGTGTGTGTTCAGGCAGCCAGTGTGTGAGTCTATTGCTATTTGGCGTTCTCTGTTCCATTAGCAAATGATGAACGTTAAACCCGAATTAACAACTAAGACAGTCCTGTATTCAAAGAACAAATTCACTTCCTGCTGGAAAATGAACCCACGACCAGCCATCCTCTGGCGCTTTATGATGAGGGACTCCGGCTCGGCCATATGGCTCTGCTTAGCTGCTGCAGCTCAGAGCACACATGTGAACGCCCACTAGCAGAGACGCAAAAATGCACATTTTCCCATGCGTGCCCACATAACCTCACATTCTTCATGCAACCAAACCATAAAAGCCAGTCACTTACACACATGCGCAAAAACACACTCACCCCATAAGTTCCCACATCAAATCACACTGAACTGAGTAGCAGCTTTATTTTGGAGCAGGTCTCAACTGTCCTTATCTGTAACTGCACCAAAAGTGTCCAATGCTTCGTAATATGAAGGATATCTAAGAATACATTTTCAATGCTGGACATTCAATGTGTACATATGGTGCGTAACACTGCAACCATCCATCACAGGTCATGGGTGCATGAATCTGTCAGGCAGTGTCAAACTACAACAGAAGTCCGAGGTATGATCTCTGACAGTCAGACACCAGTCTGTGCGGCTCCTCCATGCAGATCTGCAGACTTACACTGGTCCACCAAAGCAGTATCAGTTTCAGCCGTACAGCTACGACAATCACAGCGCGGACGAGCCTGAAACTTGGTGAAACCCAGGAAGACTGTTTCCACTCAGAAATACGATGTGGAAGCTTTTTAAAGTCTCTCGTGTGCTGGTAGAAATGCTTACCTTCAGACAGGGTGGCGCAGAACGGGGTCTGTGTCTCCTTGCAGTAAGAGACCACCTCTTTTGGCAGGAAATCTACCTGTGTGATTTTTGAGGCTCCCAGCTTTTGCATCCTCCGCCTGAATGGGGGATATCATTAATGCGTTAGCCAGCTCAGAAATCAAAGCTAACTCAACTAAATAAATAATGATATACAAACTAAATCATTCTTTTAGAATGAAGCTTGCTCCAACAAGTAAGGTGTTTTTCAGTATGTGCGCGTTTTTTTGTCATTTATTTTGGAAACAGTGGACAAGAGAAGAGGAGAGGAGAGGAGAGAGATATACCCGAGCTCCGAATCAGCCTGCAGCTGCAGCACAGAGGGGTCTGTGTCCCACTGCAGTGTCCTGAAGTCACCAGAGGGGGGGGCAGGAGAGGGCGCACATGTCAGGAAACTTACAAACAAATAAACAAACAGTGGAAGGTGGCTATCTCCACACAACAAGAACACAAAAACTTACACACGGATGACTTAGCTAGAGAACTTTCTAAACACAGACATTGAGACTATAATTCATGCAGAGGACAAATGTTTTGGGACGCCCGCGAGTCAGGACTGCTTCGCCACACACTGTAAACCTCAGTTCTACTCAGATCTTCTGAAGGAGACTCGGCCTTAACAGGTGAACTTACAGGCGATCTCCTCACATCAAAAATGGAGAAAAGAAAACCTTTAAAAACTGATAAAGTTGAAGAATAAGATCATCCAACACCACTTGGCTTTTATTCAGTCACACTCCAGTGACTAAAATGGAGGATTTTTCATATTAGAGAAGTGGAATTATTAACTCTCCCTCTGATTTGTACACAAAGATCTGCCAAGCAAAGTCATAGATTTGCTTCTCTACATCATGTTGTAACGGCATGTTTTAGTTAACGGACTATACAACAAAAACTGAGTCAGTGTTCCATAACGCACAGCCATGTAACTGTAAAACAAGGATGCGCTCATATATATGGGGTCAAAAACCTTATCTTAAAAATAAGAATAGTTTCTTGCACATATATTAAATGGCGCTGATGCACATCATCAATGAACTGATTGAGATTTATAAAGATGAGATTGTTAAATATTTGTCCAAGTTCATGCTTTTTCCGTTTTGTTTCTGGACTGGGAAATTAAAAAGTATCTAAAAACTAAAGAGTGTTATGGCATCTGGATTGAAATATTCCAGCTGTGAAAGGACAACCTCTTGAGGATGCATTCGGCCTTCAGCCTGAGTCACGCAGGACCAGGTGAGATTACCGAGAGAGAGCACTGCTTTGGCCTACCAGACCGGCTGTCTTCCACTAACACTTCCACTATGACACGATAAGCAACACTGTCAACTCTGTGAAGCATGAAATGACCTCTGTGGCTCAGCTCATGCAGGCAAGAATCTTCCAGCCTGGTATTAGAGGAGACAGGGGGGCTTCTGACAAAAAGACAGTGGGAATACGTCAGAGGTACAGACAGAAGTGGCAGTGTTTGGATCTTAGGGCTCGGGACCGGCATGCTGTCGGAGCCCTGATCTCCACTCTGTGAGGAGGGAAACTCCTGCTAAGAAAGGGTAGAGGGTGGGGCCGGGTGGGTTCCTATGTTTGACAAAAAAATGCTTACCTTGCGGTCTCTGCCTGGGACTTGTTTTTAGAGAAACCTGACCTATGAAGGGACACACACATACACAACCACAGATGGAGAAGCTCAGAATGGTGTGCCATCAGCCAGGGTGCATTTGGGGAGGTGAGAAGCAATCCCTCATTTCAGGCATTGCTGCTAACTCACCAATATGTAAAAATCAACTGTTAAAATATATTAAAAAGAAGATTTTAAAAGGGACTATTGTTTTCTACAGTAAACTTAACTAACACCTTCTTATGCTTTAGCCCCCAAATGCACCCTTATCAGAACAACACATCAGTGATGATCCCTGAAGGCATCACTCACACATCCACCTGAGAGTCAGCAGCCATTAAAAAGCAAATGGGAAGGCTTGATGACCACTATGGCCTCAGCAGTATTCACCTCAGCGCTTGTGTGTTGTTTGATGGGCCGACTAGCACACGCTGCAGTAGCAGAGGCATGTAGGACACGTTACCTTCAGAGTGTGTGCAGCGCTTGGAGCATTGGCAGGAGGGGTTCTGCTCACTTGTGATGGAATGTACAATATGAGTTTACCCCCATCAGAGAATTCGAGCCTAACGTGGCACACTGAAAGCACAGACTGCTCTCTGAAAGCCAACCGACACAGTGCTTCCTCTCACACGTGTCTGACAGTTTGTGCTTCCAGCTATTTCCAATCGTGCGCCAATTTTGGAGAAAAGAGTGCGACTGGAATTTCAGCAGAGATCCGACTTTTTAAAACTTGCTACATGTATCAGACCTGGACAGTGGTCATCAAAAACGCAGGAGGCCATGACAAATGACACCAAAACCACATCTGAAACCACATTAGACGACCTCAGCGTCAGTGGCATCCATCCTTACCTAAACCTATTGTCGGAATCAGAAACATGTAAGAAAGAAAAAAACCATAAAACTACAGCAACAAGCCTCTGTCAAAAGAACATAAAAATTATCCCTATTTTTTAAGACTGTGTTTTAGTGCTTAAGCACGCAACCTAAAAAAAAGCGATTCTATCTGATTTGCATGGGAAGATTTCGAGCCTAAGTGTCTGCTCCTACCTGCCTGCCGCACCTCCATCAGCTGAGTCTTGGCTGCCCGTCTCACTGGGCGTGCTCACTGATTTGGAGGGGGATATAGGAGTTGGGACTAAAAGGTGCACACAAAAGCAACACACAGTCTTAGAAAACAGCAGTGAACGTACATCAAGAACGTTGCATTTTCATCAAAATGCTTTCTCAGACAAGTTCACAATAGTTGCCGCTAATTTTAGATCTGGACGTGACCCATTTTAGAGGTGTTTGGGGTGTTATGACAATTCCAGGCCACTAGAGAACAGCAGTCTTCCAGAGCCTTTAAGCATATGACAGCATCAATTCATAACTACTACTAGATATGCTTAAAAAAGATTGGATATATCTGACTATATTTAACTGAGGTCACGTTGATTTAAGAACACTTTAAAGAGGTTAACATTTATCTTATCCTTTACTTTCTTTCAGAGCATGTACGAACATGGTATATTTCAATCTATTGCCGAATGTAGTAAAATATAATGTACCTAGAGGAGGCTCTGGGGAGATCCCAATGCTCTGTAGCAGGGCCTCCGTCTCCCTGCGCTTGCGATCTAAATCTGAATCTTCTGGGGTCACCTCTTTCTTCTGCTGGCTCTCTGACTGTGAAACACAAATCACCAAAGGTTCAATAACAGGCTCACAAGGCACAATCATGAGACTATTTTGCCCCAAAGCCACAAACCAACGGTTTCCTGAGTCACTGTCTGACAAACGGTAGCCAAATGCACAGACGACAAACAATAGTGTGGTGGTTGTGTGAATTTACTTACTTTCTTCCTTACCTCTTTCTTCTTCCTCTCCTCCTCCTTTCTTTTTTTTTCCTCCCTGATCTGGGCGAGGCGCTGCTTCTTCCTCTCTAGCTCTGCTTTTAAGTCACTTTTATCCGACATGGTGTCCTGTAAGGCTTTAATTAAGACGACTGTGAAATACACATGATGCTGCCACAAAATGCTGTAATTTTGTTGGTTGCTTAGTTAATATGGAGACACATTTTATCCAGCAAGCCTGCTGCATCTGAAACCTGAGAACACACAGAATGTGGCAGATTTCCTGCACATGTATGTGAACAATGTATCTGAAGCATCATACAGTTCACGTTTATGGAGCCACATTTTATGTTAAGATCCTTTATTAAACCATTTCATATAAATGAAAAATAAATAAAACAAAGATGTTTCTTCATCTTTTTTAATTAGATGACAAGTTCATGCAAAGATATTAAATAATTTAGTTCATCTTCCCCACGATAACCAGTAAAGAGCAGCAAATGTCGATGTTTTCATTCAATGGGGAGCAGGGTTTGTTGAATAGTTTGCTACCTGTTTGGTCGTTTTACATCAAGAGAGAAGAAAATAGCTGAAAGATATAGCGTATTGTAAAAAAGTACAACTGAATAACCTAATGGAGAGGCAAGACTGGCGGACAGTAGCAGGAATTAGGGGTAAGCTAACTGCAAATGTGACAGCATTATTATTAACCACGGTGCGTTTAGGGCCTTGCCAAAAATTCAGCATTGAATTTTACCGGCGAAAGTCGTGCAGAAAAGCAGACTATTCCACCCCAAACAACCCTATAACGTAGTAATAATGCATCCCTCTTACCTTGTGCACTCGTAGTGTTATTGATGTGTCACCGGCAAAGATGCTGTCTCACTCCTTCACCCCGATTAAAAAAATATTTTAAAAAATCAACACATCCTCAAACGCTAGCTCGGACAAAACGGTACGGAGGCCTCTGTGGTGCCACCGAAATGGTCGTTTGAGAGTAGCAGGATGACTATTAACTACAAGGGATAAAACTGGACATTTCAGCCACCAAACACTAACACAAGGCATAAAACAGGTGCAGCGAGCGCCGATACATCCCTGTGACGAGCAGGAGGATGATGTTGAGGAGGAGGGGAGGAGGAAATCTCTCCTCTTCCTTGAGTCGACCAACACCGCCATCTTGAGGCCATTGAAGTGTACTAAGCTACCAAGCTAAGGGTATTCGGCCTTCGGGGGACATTTCAGGATGAACCTAATGCACTAAAACCTTTTACAGGTGAACCTTGTTTGACCTATTGTAACTTTTTTGCACAACTCGTTGTTGTTGAGGAGCCAAATAGACCTAACTCTTCGCGAGTAGTGCCTGTGGGAACAAAATAGCAGCTAGTAAAATTACCTGAAATGACCACTTACCATTTTTACGTAGTCATGTTACGTCAAAACGATATGCGTATTATTAATAGCAAATTCAGCTTTTCTTACGTAAATTAAGTACATTCCAGTAAATTAAATAACTGCTAAATCAAACTGAAAGAATCCCTCTGAATCCAGTCATGCTTATTGCATTATAAGTCATCAGTGGACTGTGAGCACATGATAAAAGCCGCTCTACAAATTTTAAAAATAAAAGTCTTTCCATTTGAAAACAGACAATGAAAAAAAAGTTGCTTGTCATTCTTCCATTCTAGGTTGTGAAAATACAATAACACCCCCCACGTGAATTCATTCACTGTTAATTGGCATTTGTGTCTGAAAGAGCACTCGCATGGGATGCTGGGTAATGGTCATTACGTACGTGCGGTTTACAACGTAGCAGAGAGCTAAATCCTACAAAAACATGAATAAGTTACTGGTACAATGTGGTGCATCCTGGTTGTACCTGGTCAATATACATGTGTGTTTTTTTCGAGATAAGTATTTAAAATATTCCGTCGCTAGGGGATGCTGTAATAAAAATAACTGTTATTGTTGTACAGCACTGCACGTTTACGTCCAGTCACGGGGGAGACTCCGCCCCCAGGCCCCTAAATCTGGGCTCTGATTGGTGCATTCTGACGTCAGTCTTCCGTCTTCATTGAACACATCAACATACCTCGCTTGGTGTTGGAGTTGAATGCTATGCGCAGAGCATTTTGAAAATATGGAAGAGAACTGCTCGAGGATAGGGTTATCGACGAATTCCTGAACTCGGACGGAATGAGGGAGCTCTTTTCCGAGGCCAAAGTGTCGCGCTGCTAAATACAAACCGTCAAATTGCATTGTGTTGGAGTGGGGAAGGACAGTTTGTCCCTGGTACTGACAGTTAGGGTCTGCAGAAGGGAGGAAAAATGAAGTTCGCCCAGATTTTGTTGAAAAACGGTTCCCTCACTGGAATACCGAAACAAGTGGAGAGGTTCTCCAAGTTTTCCCCTTCTCCGCTTTCCATGAAGCAGTTCATTGACTTCGGTGAGTGCTTGGGGGGGGGGGACTTTTGCTGTTGTTGTGTACCATGTTGCTTGCACATACAGTCCCACAATCACACGGCTGCTGCGCAACTCACGTTACTCTTTGTGTACCATGGCAGCCGACTTTGCAAAGTTCATCTCACTTACAGACAGCTGCCAGATAACAGACACTTACATAATTGTTCATCAAGGATCATTTCATGTGAAATAGACCCTTGGCACACAAGAATGTGTGACTGTATTGTTTATTGTGTTATTTTCTTGTTTGCTTGGTGTTAAAGTTTGGTGCCTGCTCGGTGATTTTTTTTTCTTTTCCACCCCCCTCCTTTGCTGTCCTTCATGTGACTTCAGGTTCTGCAGATGCATGTGAGAAGACTTCCTTTGTGTTCCTGCGACAGGAACTTCCTGTCAGATTGGCCAACATTATGAAGGAAATCGATTATCTCCCTGACAAGCTCCTTGGCACTCCATCCGTAAAGCTCCTGACTAGTTGGTAGGACATCTAGACAGAGATTTTGTCAGTATTCAAAGTAACTGCTACCGCCTAGCCTCACAAACCTTGACTCAGATTTTTTTTCCTTCCCTTTAGTGTCATCAATAGTTACGTATGTGTATGTATGTGTTTGTTTCAGTGATGCCTCAGTTTAAATGTTGCAGCCTGAAAATACAGCTATGATTTATCCTTGTGGTGCCTTCTTTTGCACACCAGTCAGAGAAAGCAGAGCCTCTTTGAGGCTGGTGGCTTTTCCCCTAATGATCTGATATCCTGTTTTAACTTGAATGTTTTTTAAACCTCTCATGAACAACATGTTTCCTTCAATTTCCAGCCTTGCTCATTTAGTGATGCAAAGTGTCCAAAAACCAGGCACAGGAAAGCCGGCCCAAAACTATTTTACTCCCACAACCATTTTCTACAGACAGAACGTGGCACAGAAAGTGTCATATTTATCCGTTCACCAACCCCATGGCGTCTCAACATTTAATTAAGTAAAATGCACACTGGGGAAATGAGTCTTAGGGAACCATGACATTTGTGTTTTCTTTATGATTTAATTGAGGATTCAATTAAAAAAATGTGATAGAAATCCTTTGTTCTGTGAGAGCGACTCTGCACCTTCGAGGCATCACCGCTTGAACAAACTTGTTTTCATGGTGTTTTTTTAAGGGCAGATTAGTCATATGAAGGGGAGCAATGCGTGTGTTTTATAGGTAAAGTAATAACTATGTTCGAACTTCTGAGTCGAGTCATTGCGTGTGCTGTGATACAGTACGATCCAAAACTTGCCAAATGGTTTGTAATGTGGTTTTGTCGAGTTTAGCTCTTCTCTCCCTCATTTAGCCCCTACTTATCGCTATTTATGTAACAGAAAAGGTACCACAGATCCAATACTAGGACATTTCAGCTTGTTTTTAGTTCTGCATGGGTGAAGGTCATGGTGGCTTTTATTTAGATCTAAAACAGAGTTCATGCCATACGGGGCCTTTGCACTCGCAGGCTGTTAAAGCTCGATGCATAAAGCACTTCAAAGCGTGCACTTTTCAGTTGTCCTGCAGCAACAGCGTCTGTGTTCCTTCACTTTCACATTCTCTTCCCACTTAAGCTCTTTTTGGACAGCCAGCAAAGGAGTCAGCTTAATATTTCTGTCAGCTTAATAAGCGAAGGCAAAGCTTCATAATTACAGATAAGCTTGAGAAATAGTCAATTTCACTGAATCTGTTTTATATGGTGGGATTGGATTCATGTTTGAGGGCTGAAGGTGACTCAGGGGACAAACCGTTACACAGCCACAGCCATGCTGCCACCTTTCACCCAGTTTTCCTGGAGTGAGTGTTAGTCCTGTGAGCCAAGCACTCCAGTCTTCCTCATCCATTGGCCTGACACGAACAGCAGCTACTCTCTGGCACTGCTCAGATGTGTATTCCGCATAAGTCTCACACCGTCTTAATCTGGCGATAATTTCGATTCCCTTCTATTTAAACATGCTATATTCCAGGTTTACACTGCTGTGAATGAGCAGATGTGATAGCGTTTCTGTGTTGTGTCCATCAGGTACTCGCGGAGTCTCATGGAGCTTGTTGACTTCTTAGAAAAAGATCCAGATGATAAAGAGGTCTTGACAAGGTAAAGTTTTGTAGCAAGTTTATTAATCAAACGGGAAATAGATGTTATGTTCAGTAACTCCAATGATTAGTGATGACATACATGAACATAATTACTGTCACGCACTTCGTGCCTAAAATGCAAAAAACAAAAACGTTCTTTACGAATTTGCTGAGCAAACATCAGATGACTCCAGATCAGACCTACATGCCCTGAAAACTAATGTCTGTGGAAACAGTCATGGTTGCAGTTTTAATGTTCACTTTCCTTTCTGGAAAAAAAATTCCAATTTGCAGGCGTTTAGTGTAACCAGCAAATATCTAAATATTTCCTTTTCTACTGGAACTTATTTCACCGCTTTAAATCCCGTTATACCCACCTACTGAATAGTTCAGCTCTGGTAATAAACAGTAGTAGAGCTAAAAGAGAGGCTTGCACTGAAAACCTTTAGATATTTTTCCTCTGGAGTTTGTAATTTGAGAATAAGCAGAGATGAATGCATTCTTCATTCCTGCCAATTTGGAGAAATGAATAATTGGCACAAAAGTAGAAAAAAAATCTGCATGTACAAAAGTTAGCAGTAAAAGACAATGAATACTCATCCCAGTGGCACTCTCCCCGATAGATATGACTGTCTGTGTGTTCACATGTCCTGCAGCTGTCCTCATTTACTCTGGCCCTCATTGTCCCCAGCTTCACCCAGACTCTTGTAAATGTCCGGAACCGGCACAACGACGTGGTGCCCACCATGGCTCAGGGTGTGCTGGAGTATAAGGACGATTTTGGCGTGGATCCGGTCACCAACCAGAACGTCCAGTACTTCCTGGACCGCTTCTACATGAGCCGCATCTCCACACGCATGCTCATGAACCAGCACAGTCAGTATAGCACTCTGAGATTAACTGTGAGTTAATCATCACGGTTGCTAACACTCACAGCTTGCAAACAAAGAACCGTTATGCTCATGTTCTGTTTTACACCAGAGAGGACTGTGAGTATCCGGCTGCCTCTCTTTAAAATGTGTTTTTGAACCTTGCCATAAACAGAACAAGGTTAGAGCGACATGTTCAAGTGATTTAAAGCATATTTAGGATATAACCTGAGTGCAGAAGGAACTCATTTTACACACAGCCTGATTTGACAGTTTAACTGCAGTCAGTTATTGATGCCTTTAGAAAGAGCCCCAGCTGGTCCATTTTAATTGTTGGTTAAAAATGTATTGTTACAGTGTTGTTACAGCTCACATTGACATGTTCTGGATTCACACATCGGGTGTTTCTGTTCCATCCTGTAGCATTAATCTTTGACGGCAGTGTAAACCCGGCCCATCCCAAACACATTGGCAGCATTGACCCCAGCTGTGACGTGGTGGAGGTGGTAAAAGGTAATAAACCATGTTCCACACTGTACATACCTACACATACTCACACATGTGAGGCGTTATCTAGTTTCAACCAGTGCATAGTCACAGATTCGTGGCTGTTTGACCTTCTCTATCAGATATTTTTGAGTCAGTCCACCTAGTGTGGGGATGTAATGTTGTCACAATGTCTAGTCAGAGCAGCTCCGCCTTTGAGCTGTATCCCATTCCGGGGGGGAGAAAACAGGGCCTGGTGTTGTTCTGCATTCATGTCCTTTGCAGTTAGAGTTTCTGACTCTGAAAAACAACCACATGAAAGCCTCGTGTCACTTTGCAGATGCCTACGAGACTTCGAAGATGCTATGCGAGCAGTATTACCTCACCTCTCCTGAGATGGAGATCAAGGAGGTCAACTGTGAGTGGCCACACATGCCAAGCAATCCTATTTTCAGGATACAGCTTTGCCTTATCTTTGGTGCTGTCTTTGTTTTCCTTATTGTAGTTGAATATAATCTTTACTGGTTGTTTCCTGTCAGCTGGTTCAGCCAAAACTCTGCACTAATCACACAGGTCACTTTTACACCGTCTATTGGAATGGCTAAATGAGAGACATTAAACCTATAGATTTGGCAATAATTAATTACCAAATGTACCAACACATGAAATACATGGATATGGATGTTTTAGGCAGATTAAAGGATATATGATTGCCTTATGTACCTGTGTAGAAATTCAGATTTTATGTGAGGTGAAAAATATGTGACAGTTAAACATAATAGCTGGATAGGGATTCATATTCTTGTCAAAAGTACTTCATGTCAGGAGGGTGTAATGATAGATGCGGGAGGACAGCATTTTTAATACAATTCATAAGCATTTGTTTGAGTACATTTCTCCTTTTTCCAACTTTAACACAAATGTTTGACTTTTTTTTCGTCTCTGAACCCAGCTAAAAACCCCGGCCAGCCCCTGCACATTGTGTATGTGCCGTCCCATCTCTACCACATGCTATTTGAGCTCTTCAAGGTACATTTCCAACAAGCTTTAGAAGTAGATGTGTACAGTCTTCACAGTGTGTTCTGCCCACTTACTGCTGTGATCCTTGTTTACACTCAGAATGCTATGAGAGCTACTGTGGAGACCCATGAGACCAGTCCAACGTTGCCACCCATCAAAATGCGCATTTCACTGGGCACAGAGGACCTCACTATCAAGGTAGATGAAGACCCAGGTTTTTTTATTCTTTATGTTTCATCTAAGACACTACATTAGGATGCTCTGTATTAAAATCTGCCAAAACGATTGGATGAATTAGATGTGGCTTATCATCCTGAGGACACTGGCCTCATCATTCCTTGTCATTATTCTTAGATGTCTGACAGAGGAGGTGGAGTCCCTCTCCGGAAGATTGAGCGTCTCTTCAGCTACATGTACTCCACAGCTCCCAGTCCTGTCCACATCGACAAATCCCGTAACGCCCCTCTGGTGAGACTTAGCTTTCGCAGATTTTTGCATTCTTCTTAACAGTCATGACTGTTGTTGCCATCCAATAAAGCCTGTACCTTTTATTGTAATTTTGATTTACACTATAATTGATCTTTTAGTCTTTGAAAACAAGACAGCAAGGAAACTAAACTGTAATCCGCCACACACTGAGCAGAGGCTCAAACAGCCGAACATGGGTGAAATGAGCTGATTACACAGTGGAATGCAGTCCGATAAACTATAAGTTAAACTATAACTTTCAGAAAACATAGCGTGTGTGTCTACAGAGTCCAGTTAAAACACTTAAGATTCTAAAAGTCACAGAGACTGATGTGGTACAGTATTCTGACCCTGTCTTTCCCTCCCACATCCAGGCCGGTTTCGGCTACGGTCTGCCCATCTCACGCCTGTATGCCAAGTATTTCCAGGGAGACCTGCAGCTCTATTCGATGGAGGGTTATGGCACCTCAGCTGTTATATACTTGAAGGTGAGACCAGCCCTTTGTTCACACACTTAGTTAAAAATAACCTTGAAGGAAAACTCTGGTTTAAGTGCACATATTAAAGCCTCCAGTGCTTACTGGATTTTCTGGCAGATCCAGAGTAAATCTATAAAATCAGACAATATAAAAGCCCTGCACAGCAACTTATGAGTCAGTCTGTTTAAGCTGTGTAGCGACGTCTGATTAATCACAAATGAGGCGTGGTTGGAGAACCAAGCGAGAATCAACCTTGATGTGAGCGATTCGAATTAACATGAAAGTAATTAGCTTCCATATGTCTCTTATCACCAGGCCCTGTCCTCAGAGTCAGTTGAGAGACTCCCTGTTTTTAACAAGTCCGCCTTGCGGCATTACCAGTCCACCACAGAGGCCGACGACTGGTGCATGCCCAGCAAGGACCCAAAGAAACTCGGCAAGTATGAGACGACCCGGTGATTATGGAGTGAGACGGGAACCGGGAGACACCAGAAGAGTTTTAATGAAAGTATTATAGAAACACGAGAAGCCGGAGAAGGCTTCAAATGCCTCCACCTCGTTGCTACCTTGGAATTGTGTTCCTTTAATCTGGAAAATTATCTCAAGATAACAAACTTCAAAGGACAAAATTGATTGTTGTCTCTGTCAAAAAAAAAAAAAGATAAAGGCACTACGTTGAAATGAACAATCACTTTCTGAACCCAATTTCAGACCAGCTTACATCTAATTCAACCTAACTAGTCCTCTTGCTTCGCATATAATTTTGGTTTCAATGACTACATGATTCTCATGGAGATGGAACAATAATTTTATTTTGGAACAAGCCTGTTAGATGTTGTTGTTTCTATAGGCCATTCTCTCTTTCAAGGTGCATCATTTCAGTCTAAAGGCTGGTAATAGGCCTTTTGGTTAGTACAATTCCAGAGAAAAGTTGTGATTTAGTTGGTTTAAGGTTTGTCAGTGTGTGGAACAGCCCAGTTGAAGGCGGCCAGAGAGGGCTGACTCAGGTTAAAGGGGAAGGAGGCTCCTTCAATAAGCCCAGCATGAAAATAAAGGGAGCAAAGTCTGTTTATTACTCTCAGCTGTAGTTAACAGGATTCCTTCAATTGAACAACTTCTGTGTTTCAATGCATTTCTCAACTGTAATGTTATAATGACTACATTTTTTGGGGCTTTAAAAGCAAACAATAAGTTCTTCAGTTTTTAGTATTTTTAATGTATCTTCAAACCTTTGAGTTACCATAGAAAGGAATTGACAGTGAAAACATTTTCAAAGCTGAGTGAAGACTGAAAACTGGACTGACATTGTTTATAAGTGTCCTCATGTATGGTGTAAAACATAAAATAATTTGAACTGTTGTGACCTCACTGCCAAGTTCACCTTCAACCAGTCAGTAATCTAAACTAATCTGAAGTTGGTGTGAACTCACTTTTGGTCATAAATAAGCAGACCCTTTTTCCAGTGTTTCCTGAGAGTAAGTGCCAAGAACGATATAAAGAAGCTCAGCATGTTGCTGGCTGTTGTATAACGATGCTTGGGTTGCACTGTCCAGGCCAGGGCATTCTGTCAAATGATCATAATCTTTGTTCAACTGGAAACGGCACGTACACGATGTGTGTAATGATTTATTTTTCACTTTCATTTTCTGTCAGTTTTAAATGAGTTTAGCCTGAAAATGCAAAATGATGCTTGTAGTGTCTTTGATGATGGGGATAAGAAATTCTAAGTGAGCTTATGTGTCTCTAGAAATCATTTCCCTCTTTGCACTCTGTCGGCCCTCTGTGAAGCTTTGGGTTTCAAACCTTTTGCATCAGCTTTCTGTTCTGCGATGACTCCTACAGTCCAAGCTTTTTTGTTTAAAAGGGGTTGTGTATTTAACTTTAATCTTATTTTGCAAGTTCAATGAAACCTGTGAAATGTCAAAAGGATCCGCTGCAGATCACTGTCCTTCAGCTCGTTGTTATGTAACTGGCCGTAAAGCGTGTCCTGTTATCTGTACCGACGTGATCACACACGCCCACCTCAGCATGGCGGACTCGCACAAGCCACTCAGAGATAAGCTGTATTGATCTAACAGATCTGGCCTTAAGGGGTATGTACTGTAATAACGAGTTCACAGATTCCAACCCCCATAACATATCAATTAGAATTTTATACGCCTATGCATATTCCTCCCAACGGTCTTTTCAGAGTTTGTAGCATTTAGTATTGCTTTCTTGTTTTAATTGTCTGTGAACTCATAGACACACTTGTTCACTTTTTACACAATAAGTGTTTCTGTGCTGAGTGTGTGGTTCATCACTAAACGGACCAGTGAATGTTGAGAATAAAAATCTCTTGTTACCTCCACAGTATGTTATTTCTTCAGCTTTTTGTATAAAAGTTTATGACCATGAAGGTGAAAACGAATTTCAGTACTGATCTTTGTCCGATTGTAAAAGGTGTTTTCATGCACCGGAGCTAAAAGTCTGAGAGAACACAATGAAGCCGTTCTGCTTTGTAAACAGCCACCGTTCTCTGTAATCTCTGGTTAGCTGTTGTCTTCCCTTCCCTGCCCCCCCCTCCCTCCCCTTTTCAACAGATTGTTTTTGGAAACTCTGCTCAGTTTGTCAGTGGCTGTAGCAGACACAGTCCAGTGGCTTTTGGTGGCCTGCTGCCAGTACAGGCAGAGAACAGTGTGTCCCGTTTTATTCTGTCGCTTCATTACTGGTCCCCCCGATGTCGCGCTCTGCTTACACTTGTTGCCTTTATCTGTGCTGCAGGCTGCAAACACGAAGAGTGAAAACAAAATATATAAAGTCACAGCAGTGTCAATTTGACCATTTTATGATGTCTGACCCTCTTTGGTTTATTTAAATGCTGACCTTTTAGTCATCTGAACAATGTTTCCTGTAACTGAACATACATACAGAGCCACAACAGAGATTTAAGATGTATGTCTTCACTCCACACTAAAAGTTTTCTAAAGTCTGTTAAAAGAGACTAGTTCACTTCACATTTTACTTATCTATTCTCAGACTTTCCACCAATTCGGAATCCTGTCAGTTTTAGGACTGTGTATGTTTATTTAAAAGGGCTGAGACATGTTTCAGACTGTTGTAACTTTCAGAAGGCATGGTTTAGTCCAGGTATTTATACATAAAGGTGTGTCTGAGGCATCTATTTTTAATTAAACCTGACACATTTCCGCATGTTGGATAACCAGAAAAACAGTATAAATAAAAAAAAAAAATGTTTGATCTAGTTTGTTTAAGGGCACAGCCTCATTCCTGTGGGTTAAAGTAGATTTAATTCCTGGAATAAATGGACTGAGACCGTACTACATACAACTTTACAGGGGGAAATTGCAAAAATTGGTTTCTTTGTTTTACACTGAGTAACGTAATACTGAGTAAAATTAGAATGGAAGAAAGCATGTGTGTTAGAAGAGTGTTGTGTCCCTCTGCCTCCCTGTGTGCTGAGCCTTTGCTCTGTGAATCTGCTGGTGTGCAGAAGGCTGTCAGGCACACACTGCCACCACCAACGGGAGGAGGAGTAACGTTAGCTTTGTTTGTATCCAAAAAGAAAAGAAACTGAAAGCTAACTTTTGAAACCCTGTTCCATTAATGACCATCAGGCTTAGCTGTTTACAAAGAAAGTAAGGAGATAGGTCTATAGAAATTTAGTTTTACCAGATATGCTGTAATTACAGATTCTTATCACCACACCAAACACAGCTGATGGGTCATGTGAGTGATGTGTCTGCAAGATCTTAGATGAAGTCAACTTTTTAAAACCTCTTTAGAATGTGTATTTCTAAAATGTTAGTGGGAAAACAACTTGGATCTTCTACCAGTTTTGAGATGTCTTCTTGCTCCGATTGGTTGTTTTAAATCAGGGAATCACTGGATTCTTGTTTGTCACATTTGGACTACAGACTGATTCAGATATTACAGTCTGGCCTTAGTGACAGTTTCATCAGATTTGATTAAAAAATAATTACTTTTATTTCTCTGTTGAGAACTGGGCCACGCACATGACTAAGTGCTGTCCACTGGAAGGGTCAGCACTTGTTGTGGAGTGGTTGGTCAAGTGTGTGTTCTACAAAAGCAGGAATATCACTAATTTGAGAGCAAGCATTAAGACCGGTTGCCAGGTAAAGCTGGATGCTCTTCAGCATTAGGCAGCACCATGGCAGCATGACTAGCTGATCAGCACTGCTTAAGTGGACATTAAGTACATTAACTGGACATGTACAAAGTTTTTTTTACTGAGACACTTTGGTTACTCCAGCTTTTGTAGAACTTGAGAGACGTAGTGACACGCCCGTCTCCTCACACTGCATAGTCACTGTTTAACTAATTGGGGATAAGGTGGAGCATTTTTCACCTTTAAAACATATCAGTATCAGTTATATTTTAAGGTTCCTCTGCTTAATTAATGTGTGTAGCCAACTAACAGCTTGATACCTATTTTTAGCACTTCTTTTTTTCTTTTTCTTTTTACTTTCAATACCATTAGGTGGCCTTTGAGCTTTGTCTCATTGTGTCACTACAGTTCACGGACAGAGGTATCTTTATCAGTACAGTATCCCCTCAGGTTCTAATAATAGATATTTCTTCATGGGATTCGGCAGAGGCAGCTGTGTGACTCCTCGGTGACAGAAGCTATGCAGACTGGCTCTAATGGTGCATCTGGTGAGGTGGAGTAGGCTGCGAGGAGTGTTGGAACAGACAGCAAACATTGAGTCATAGAAGTCTTTATGCCGCTAGGAAGACAAAGAGAAACAGTAAAAGTCATTTTTACTATTTAAAGATGGGAGGGTTGCTCTGTCTTTGCAATCCAAGGAGGTTAATATGCAAGAGATTCAAAGCAAAAAGGTTTAAGAATAGAACTTTTATTGATTTATGTGGCTGTTTGCTCTCTTAGCTACCCTGAAAAAAAAAGGACAAAGGGACACAAATGCACTTCACAAATACTACCTGATAGCAGTCATCGGAAATGGCAGCTCTCCATTTTGTTGTAGGCTTTAAACGTCTGTAAGAGTTGACCATGATCTCTACCACTCTGGGGTAATCATGGCAGGACTGCAGCACCTGCCCGAAACATTGCACGTCTAAACAACCTGAGGCCTCCATCAACATGAAGTTGGACACTGATAGTTCAAACGTGCTGGACGAAACAAAACAAAGGCTGCACCTTATGGAACTGTGAGGGGTAGATGCGGCCTGCGTTGTGGTTGAGCAGCAGCTGGTAGCAGATCTCGTGGAATGCCCCGGGCCGGACGTCTGTTACTTTGAGGAGATAGTGGATGGGGGCGCAGCCGTTGATGTCCATGGCGTGAGGATCGGCCCCAGCCTCCAGCAGCATCTGCATCAGGACGTGGTCGCAGTTCCAGGCCGCCTTGTGAAGAGCTGTTTTCTTGTCCTCCTCTTTCAGATTGCAATCTGAAACATAGGGGCTTTTTTTTAAGTGTTTGGTGTCTCAGAACAATGAAGGCGCGGCTCAGTTTTAAGGCACGGTCAAAAAAGATGCATCGAGAACCTCTCACCGGCATAGTGGTCAAGCAAGAGGCGACAAACCAAATGGTGATCTTGGCTGTAGATCTGCTGTTTGGAATCGAAGGCCCAGAAGACGGCCGTCATCAGGGGTGTTTCTCCAAAAGAGTCGAGCGGATTCACAGATGCTCCGTGGGTCAAATACAGGGCTGCCAGTTCTGGGATGCCAAATCTGGCCGCTGTGTGCAGAGGTGTGTGCTCTTCATTGTTCTCGCCAGCTTTTTCAATGTCGGCACCTCCAAAAGAAGAAGTTATCATTTTCAGCCGTTTAAAGTTTCTGTACCCATATCCTCTACTAATCTGACCTCTGTTGATTTACCTTTGAGGATGAGCTGCTTCGCACAGTCCAGCGACTCTTTGGTGACGCAGTGGTGCAGCGGCGTGTGTCCACTCAGGGACAGGCTGTTGACCTTTGCTCTATAGGCCAGAAGCAGGGCCACAAAGTCGCTGTTGGACACCGTGCAGGCCACGTGCAGCGGGGTCTTCCCGTTCGGCATCCGGTTGATGGAAGTACCGTTCTCGAGCAGCACCAGTGCCGTTTCCAGAGCATTGTGCATCACGCTTACGTGGATACCCATTGCCCAGGACTTCTCCAGTTTGTAACCTGGTAGCCAATAACCTGAAAAGTAACAGCCAATCAAAAGGCGACATCAAAAATCAAATGTACTTAAATTCACTTTGCACAACCATTATGTTTTCTAAAAAGCTTTAACTCGAAAGACAAATGCTGGAGTTTACAAACGACAAGGGATATTTGACAGTGCTGTAAAAAAAACAAAAAAAACACTAACCAAGTGTAGCTACTGTGTATTCAGTAGCCAGATTTAGATTCATGGACATTCAGCTCCATCTAGTGGCTAACTGTGTATAGACAGAAAAAAAAGCATGATTTTTCACCTTGTTTATATGAGGCCAAGACCATGTGGGGGTCATCCACCTCCAGCACTGTGTCAATGTCGAACTTGCCAGTGTTCAGGATCCGCAGGACCTCCCGGGTGTTGTTAGTCTCCACGGCTCTTATGAACTCTACCTTTAGCTCCTTGACAGCCAATTGTCTGGGGGTCCACTCCTCCATGAGATCGTGAAAAGAGTGACTTTGCGTTCCCAAACCAGCTGACTCGCACACTACTATTCTCCAAAAAGCACGGACGAAGTTACAAATAAAAGTATAAACAGGGACAATGAGGGACTCAAGCATATCCACTGTAGCAACGTCTCCATAGGCCTGGTCAAAAAAGTTTTACAAAGAAGGAAAACAGAAATCGAGCAGAAGAAAGGCGACATACAAGTGTCAGGACGGTCAGTGGACGAAAATAGTCGTATAGAGAAATGAGGATGATATAAATAGAAAGCAAAGGGGAGGGGAAGGTTTGGGTCAGGAAAGGCTGTGCTGGCTAACTTGAGACCAGCTGTTCTACTCAGCTGTCCGTCAAGCAGTGGAAGGTCACCTAGTAAAAAATAGCTGCCTTCTGAGTAGAACTGGAGCAATGGTAAAAAAACAAAACCCTGTAGATTTACCACAACACCTACACCGAAATGACTGAAAGGTAAGACAACTGCTTTCCGACAGTTTTTTACCTGTGTGAGAATTAGATAGTCAAAAAGTGAGAAAGGAAAAAACAGAAGCCAACTGTGGACAGTGACCGCACATTTTATTCAGTGTGACAGATAGCTGCCCTTTAAAACTTTTCAGAATGCAAAAAAAGAGAGCCAGGCAATGATCAAAAAGGAGGAGAGGGAGCACAGCTTTTTACGAGTGAAAGCATGGCTAGTTGTCAGTGTCACATATCTTTTGCTCTGTATGTACATGGAAAAACAGATGCTTCCAGACATCAAATTAAATTTGGGGTTTTTGCCAGCCGGGAGCACCAAGGTCTCATCCATACGCAGAGCCAGGCAAGCTCAGTCTAACACACAGAAAAGCTCGACTGTGGAATCACATTTGCCGCTCAGCTCTTCTCAGCCCTCTGACAAACTGCGCACACACGCTGACACAATATAAAACAAGGCTTCTTCAGGATTCTTAAAGCATATTGCTCTCAGTGTTTAACTATACGTACAAAAGAGTCAAAAGAGTACAGTCTGCTGACTGCCTTGTAAAGGGAGCAGGGTTATTCACAGAGGGGTCGGACCGTTACAAAATATCTCGTAAGAATACGCAATGAGCAGTTTATAGGAGTCGCACTGGAGCCGCGCTGTGGTTTGATCAGAAAACCACGAGCACAATCGGACCATATCAGCGTTTTTCTTCTCTCTGTGCAGTAAATTTTATATCTGTCATATAACAGCCACTTAACTTTAAAGTCTTTTTAATGAGAACTTTTAATCATGTTTTGGCAAAAAGAAGTAATTATACAAATCTGGATAAATCATTACTGGTTGTTAATAAAATTCTTGATTTTTTTTTTTAAATAAGTTACAATAAACCATAACTAGTTGCTTCAAAAATATAGTAATAAATAGATAACTTTGATCAGTGATTGAAGTATCTAAAACCCAAACTATTCTTATCTTTAACCTGTTAGCAGCACATCACAAAGGCTTCTTAAGACAAAAAGGAGACCGTTATTAAAGTTCCCCTCACTTTTACCATGATGAGTCTGTTGTCTCTAAATTTTTTTTAAATCTACAGAAAGATTCTTGAGAATAATAAATATCACACAGAACATTTGTGTCTTTGGGCTTCATACCCCCTAATCAAGAGCTGTGGGTATTAATGGGATGGAATCATTTCAAGGGGTTTCTAAAAACGTACTCAAAATGCTAAGTCAAAAGTTAAACCGAGCCAATTTCATAATTAAATTGAAAGAAAATGCATTCACGGGGAGCTTTTTCCAGTGGGACATGAGTGTGATATATAACACACTACCTTTTAAAATACTATCTGCAGCATCTTTCTGCATCTGTCTTTGAACACATTGTCTTTGAAACAATTCATTGGCAGCATTCTTCAGCATCGCAGGGAATATTCCAGAGAAAGCTACACGGAGAGCTTTGACATGGGATTCTTCTGAAAGAACGAAGTGACAGAGGTGGGGCCATTAGTTTAGCATGGATGTGTTTTTACACTCACACAGAAGCAGGTAGACTTCAGAAGCATTCTACTACTATAGAAATCTAAAGGCAGCGGCGGGGTGTTACTTCGTTACCAAATATAAAAAGAGGTCAAAAGCAGGTTGACAAGCTGAATCAAACATTATGCATATGAGCAGGAGGCCTCGTTTCTTAGCTTTTTTTTTGTTTGTTTGTTTGTTTTCACAGGTTTTGTAAGATACAAATTACTGATTACATAGTACCTGAAGATCACTATTAGAATCAGTCCAGTGAATTGAGTATGTCGTTGTTGTTCATACTTTGACAGTTGATGTAGCCTTTAAACTGTTAGAGCACTGCAGGCCAGTGCACAGTTCACATTTACAGTGTTTTCACTTCCAGTGTTCTTTTTAGTACCGTGATGTGATGAGGATTATTTTACTGTCCTGTGGAAGTTATTTCCCATTTCAGTTCAGTTGCAGAGTTCCAGTGTTGCTTTCTGTAGTGGTCAGAGTCAGCAGCGTGGGGACACCCAGTGGCTGGAGAGCAGCGATGCCTCAGAAATGCCACCACATAGACCCTACCTGTATGCACTGCAGAGCAACAGATCCAGTTGATCAATACACTGGGAGAGCATTTACATAAGTCTATTGCAATGGCACGTTTGACATATTTGTGTCTGTATCTATCATTGCACTGTCACTAAAGGTAAAATGGGAGGTTGCGATGCTGTTTTCACATACTACTTCTGGATATGAATAAATAAACCAAATTTACAGCTATAAACATCAAATAAATATAACTCAATAAATTCTTAAAAGGCTAAACACGTAATGTGAGTGTACAATGAGGCAAATGAAGGGCAGTATTCTTTCATCCGAGTGCTCCTTTTGGTTTAATTTTGCACCTCAGAAACTTGGGCATGGAGCTCCGCCACTGAGAACTACAGAGCAGGCGTCCATTAGGGTTTGTTTATGGGGCCGGCAGACGTTCTGTTTTGCACGATGCTACTTAGTGTGGTGCTACAGTGAAACGGGAGGTAAACTGAGCCTTCCTTTCATTCTGCTGGATTCTCCTCGTGCGCATCCTTCAGCTGCTGCTCCAGCTCTTTCTGCTGTAGCTTCTCAAGCTGTTTCTCCATTTTTTCTTTGTTCCTCTGGGCCTTCTCCATCAGAATTTTGAGGTCTTTAATCTTTTTCTTTATCAGGTTACGGTCGTGTGAAGAAGTAACTCCAAGGGCCTGAATGTGGATACACAAAAGAAAAAAACATGTTTTCACATTAGGATATGAATTGTGTGATTGTGTAGTTCAAAATATATTTTACGCATTCTGTATCTTATTTCTGTTCTTTATCTAGTTGATATATATTACAGTAGACAAATTTTCATGTCATGCAAAAATAAAAAAACAACTAAAATTGGACTATGTCTGAATATATAAAGCTACCTTTAGCTCAGTGCTATCCAGTTGCAGCAGCCGCTCTCCAGTGATGTTTTTGGCAGTGAATTCTGGGACATGGTGTTCTAAATTGATGGTCATAAGCCAGCGTGCCACTTGTTGGGAGGTCCAGTCTGTAAAGCTGTGGTTCTGCCACTGATGCTGCCACTCGTCTAAGATCTGAACATTCATAAAATGAAGAAAAACTGAGCAAAAAACACAACAACAATAAATGTTTCAAGTGGACGAATTATGAGTTCAAGCAGATGAAATAAAAGTGCAGCCTAGATTCAGTGTGTCGACACAGATTATTAACTTGAAAAACAGTAAAACATGAAACATAACGCAATAAATCAGCTTGTGTTTTCAACTGAATTTCCTTTAATGTTTGTTGTCATATTTTCTTGTGTTTTCATTCAGCCCACCACACACACTCAGTCAGGATATTATGAGTAAATGATCCATATCCAGCCCAGTATGATGAAGATGATGATGGGTGGCAATGAAAGGCAAGACAAATGTTTTTTGTACCCCACCGACAAAAAGACACATGCAGAATAACACGTCCTCACATTTCTCACCTCATCATCTATCATATCCAGACTCTGAATGTTGCAGCACAGAAAGCAACAGAGAAGGACTAAGTTGTTAATAGGTCAGAAATTAAATGGCTTTCTCGACGGCAGCATTTCAACACAAGTCTGAACGGATGCGTTCGGAAATAAAGAAAGGACAAATCTCTGTATGTGGTCTCTGGATAACAGAATAATTTAAAGGGGCACTGACATACTGTAGCTTTTTTAAGGATCTAAACCGTATCCTGGGTTACATCATTTTGGTTATGTATGTGTGTAAAAACAAAATACAATCAATATTTTAAAGAGTGACCTTCCACAGTGACAGAAAACATTCTACAGGGGTGTGCGCACCTCATCAGAGGAGAAGAGCCGGGTGTGTGAGTGTGCCGGCTTCATCTTGGCTTCAGTGAGCAGCCCGCTGATCTCCACTGAGCTGCTGCTGCTGCTGGCGCTCCGATCGTCACTCAGGGTTGGTGCCTAAGAAATCGAAAACAACTTGTGAGGATCAGAGGGAGAGCCAGCTGGCTCTGACACAGACGCTCTTTGATTGCCTCTGTCTTACTGACAGTTCTGCGAAATGCCACTGATTAATGAAAACATGGTGAAATGTAATCACAGGTGAGTTATTCTGTATATTTTCTAGTGAGGAAAGGCTAAATAGTAAGTACACGAATCAAAACAAGAGGGCTTCCCTCTGAGTGTATGTTAGAATGATAGATGTGTCTCGTCTGAATACTCCGAGTCATCAAAGTCCAGAGGACTAATGAATTTAAGATGTTTGATTGAATGAAAGAAGGAATGGTTATGCATATCCCTCACTTTTATCATTTTCTATTACAGCACTGTTAATATGATTAGCGGATAGAAAGGATAAAGCTGGATGGCTCCTTCTGCACAAATCTCTTAACAGTGGAGAGTCCTTATGACAGTGCAGACTCTCAGGCAGTAACATAATAGAGATCTAATATCTGCGCTCATCATTTCAGAGCCGAGAGCTGCTGAGAGCTGCAACCAGTTTTAATGAGAAATGTGTGCACAGCACTATGCGTCTTGTGATGAATCTCTAAATGTTTAAATGTTCATTTACACCAACAGAAACCGTTTTAATTCAGAGTGAGCATTATGCTTTTCCCCTCCAAGATTACAAGTATAAACAGTGGTTGAAACAATGGCTAAACGACAAATTACAATCATGTATGTTGACAGGAGAACATTGTAGGAATTATCTGAGTGTTATTTTAGGGCCTTAGTTGCACTCGAGGTAAAAGTAAAACTAATCTTACATTCTCCGACTTTCAGCTCTTTAGGTTGAATCCTTATCTAAAAGCCCCACATTACTATTAATGCTCATAAATTCTACATTGATTTATCTTGTGCTGTGCACTCATCTTCAGCTGAGACTGTCCTCGCAGGGTAGAAAGGGCAGGACACGTCCAGGATCAAAAAGTAATCTCCTTCTTAATCCTATGCTAACTAAATTTGATATGGCACCGGATTAGAAAGAATTTCCATGCAAGTTTCTTCTCTGCAAATTAAAATGTCCATATTTTAAAAAAATTGTAAGTATAGCAGGATCCCAGCTAACTACTTCAAGAAGCATTGGGACGCATTCAAGCAGTGCAGGTCGAAATCAAGTGACATTAATTATTATAGTGATTTTCTTACTGAACCCATCCCCGATTTCCCAATTAGATTATAGACAAAACATGAAAAAATACAATACCACATAGTATGAATAGGAGAAGAATTGGGGCCATGTAAGAAAGCTCTGCTTAACAGAAATGACACAATGCATTAAACACAAACAAATATTCAGTGAAACTATCGAACTTCCAGCACATTTTCAGGTTTAGAAAACTGATAAAGTCAAAATTAGATCTATAGTGTATCTTTTTTTTCCTCTCCTCATTGTAAAGAATCTGTGAAGTGTGAAGAGCCTTTAATGGCCCATCGTACCAGTCAGCACCTTTAACCTACCTTGGGTTTAGTTTTCTCTAGAATATCATCTGCTGATGGCTCTGTGGAGCTGTGAGAGAAAGAATAATGGTGGAGGGAGGAATTAAATAGAAGGCAGTGATGGCAGTTACAGCTGAATGCACAATGATGAGCCAGCAAAAAATAAAAATAAAAAAAACGAGATGTGCGCCACAGAATCTGTGCAGGCCGACATGGAGAAGGAAAAAAGAAAGCAGCTCTGTAACTCTGGTCTAAGAAAATATTTTTCACCTGTTTCCAGGTGAGCTTCTGGGATCTTTGTCCTTCACCTTGGTTTTCCTGAAGGAAGATCTAAATGACAGCAATAAAGTGAAAAAGGGCAGCCACGCTCAAAGATAAAAAGCAGGCAGAACATATTGTGAGTCTTCCCCGTGCCTTTAAAAATGTATTTTAGGTGCTGTTAATCCATGTCTGATCCTGGTGAAAACATCACACATTTCCTTTGGTTTTATTTTCTTATCAAATTCCTGTTTCCTCATTTCCAAATGAGGGTGGCCACATTATTCTCTTATGTCAGCAAAGTGTTGACACTGTGCACTGTTTGGAATCGTTCATCAACCATTTGCTATGTCAGCACTTAGTTTCAAATGTATATTTCCATCATTGCTAACGATGCAAATTGTCTTATGAATAAAAACACATTTCAAGACATTTAAAAAAATGCAAATTCTAAATGAAAATGTTTTAATAATTGCAGTCAGTTTTATGGGTTTTTTAAGAGTAATGTGTTGTATTTAGAAGTTAGTCTCTCTTCTGTCATCTGAATAGTTTCCGGCCACTTCCCCTCTCCTCATGCATTTTCAAGCAGCTCATTACACACTTGCCATATACGCTCACTTCTTCTCAGCCCCAGGGCTCAGATTGCCTTTTTATGTTAATCATCAGTGTTGCAGCACTTCCTGTTGAATATTGTTTTTCTGTATGTAATCACTGCCATGTCCTTGCTTCTTTCACCAATGCATTTCTTTTTTATTCTGGTAGTGAATCCATGACTAACCTTTACCGTTTTTGTGAGCTCAACGCATTACCAGTCTGTTATCCTTATTTTTACTTACTAATCAGTCATTTATTTGACTTCTATTTTTCTTTCTTTCTACTTTCCACATGAACACAAGATTACGATGAATGATAAATAAAAGCCGCAGGATAGATGATATTGGGAATATTTCTTTCCTACCTTGAGTCCAGTGTTTGTCTTTGCTCCTCTAAATTGTGAGATGGACTTGACATTGCAGGAGACTGGGAGCCTGTGATCAGACACATCACACCGTGCTATTGCTCAGTTGCATCTATCAGAACAGTGCATGTACAAAGCGGTGCCGTGTCTGACAGCGTTAGAGTGATCTGCAGTGATATGAATGCTGCTGTCTGTTATGTAACATTAAAAAAATGGCATTTTGAAAACATTACAGAGCATTACCAGAGAGAGACTTGAAGAGGAGGTCAAACTGTGCCAGGTAACTGTACTACTAACTGTAGTTATGATCTTCTATATTGACGATATAAATGTGTAATTTGAGGGTGCATGTGTACTAACCATGCAGTGTTTTTCTGGGAGATCCCTCTGCACTACCAGGGGCCCTAATGCCAGCTGTTCCTCCATCACTGCGAACCAAACCAGAACCACAGTGGGCCAGGTTTCCATGAGCTTCTGAGACCTGAATGCAGAGGAGGAGAGAGAAGAAGAAATGCATACGAAACAGAACAGAAGATGAATATTTATAGGACAAAAAATAATTAGAAAGAGGATAGAAAAAGCTCAGAAAAGAGGAAGATCTGATTTGAACAATCAGGGCTGCAGACTAATCTGACAGAAGTCACTTGGCACACTTTTGCCGTTTCTAATTCCTTGGCCTCTTTTCGCCTTGGAGGTGCCACAGTGCCTTGATTTCTGTTCCTGCCAGTTCTGATTTAAACTTGTTATCCTCTCTTAAATCCTTTTTTGTTCTAGCTGTGCTAAGTGACAGCATTATCCTCACAAAACCCTTTTAGCCACAAAAAAGTGTCTCTTTTACACCGAGAGGGACAATAAGTTGTGACATCGCTGCAGACTAACGAGAAAGGCAGAGCAACACAGTATTTAAGCCATATGAAGAAATTAAATGGAGTAAACAAGAGTTTAAGATGCTCTACCAGGCAGATATAAATGGATGCACAGCAGTTCCACACAGTTGGTGATTGATAGTTGACATGGTAAGTGAGTGTTGTTTGAATAAAAATCACATCTGGCTGGTGAAATCTAAAATATGCTGGTTTAAATAGCCATGCTTGAGCTTTACGCAGTAAAATACCAAATGAATACAAACCTCCCCCTCTGCTGAACTGATGCTATCCCGGGCAGCTTCTCTGGAGTCCTTCTTTTTGCTGGGTGAATGGGGAGAGCCCTCCATCAGGTCTACAGCCAAACCCATAAAACACACAGAGAAAGAATGGAAAAGGATTGTTGGATGGAATCTACTTCCTGACATGATATGTTTTTGTCTAAATGCATGATCAGCCTAAATGAATGATCAAATCTTTCCCAATGGGTATTTTCATGACCTTACTGCTAATTCCATTAGTGCTCATGGACAGCCTAAACAAATATGACAAAACTTTTTAAAAATTATCAGCAGTCTCTCCCACTTTTTCGTTTTCTTTCCCTTTATCTCAGTCCGGTTGTATCCATCAACCTGTCTTTGTTTTAATGTTACATAACAGGCTGCATCACTAATATCACTGCGGATCAATCACTCTAACGGTATCAGACACAGCACTGCTTTGTGCATGCACTGTTCTGATAGATGCAACTGCTGAAACAACACCAACACAGCTTAAAAAAGACTAGAGCAAAAGCAGGTCAGGCAGATGTGTTCAAAATGGATTACTTGTTTGTTTTTGTGTGCAAACATCCAAAGTAAAATGTGAGTTGGATATGCAGTGGAGCGGAGGAAGATTTAGGATGGGCATTACAACAGAGACAAAAACATTCATCTGGGTTTTTTAGTTCAAAGAAAAGAGGAGTAAGAAAACCCTTAAGTTAATTCAAGATTATTTTCTGATAAGAAAATATATTCAATTTGAATCTATCAATTATTTTGTTATTTGAGAACAAAACCACTATACCACATTTTTACCAGAATCTAAAGGGTTTAGGTTTTCATTTTCTGCATGCTATCAAAACAAAGATACATTCATAAGTCAACAACTCATGAAACATCAGACATGACATGTTCTTATTTATCCTCTTGCGTAGAAAGAACAACAAACCAACCAACAACACTACATGGAACTGTCCCAGACCTCTGGCGTGTGTTAGGGCTCGGCTGGGGCTGTGCTGCTGACCACTGTGCCTCTCAGAACTGTTGCTGTTGTTGTTGTTGACTTGGATACCGTTCTGCTTCATCAGCTGCATTAGCTCACACTCTAATGCTGCAATCTGTGAAGAAATGAACCAATCAATGAGTTGTGAGCATCTACGTGTCAAAAGAAATGCTTATGACAAATGAGAGACAGCCCTGAAGAGGGACACTTTACCCTAACTTGCAGTCCTTGGATTTCAGCCAGGTGAGCTCTCTCAGCCTCCTCCAGCCGCCTCCTCTCTGCATCCTCCTTTTGGATGAACTCTACCTCTCTGGAGGAAAAAGAGGTAGCACAGACTGTGATGTGCTGACGAGATGTGTACCAGCACGACAAAACAAGATACATTTCCAGTATATATGGATCCGCATCCCTACGTGAGGGTGGCATCTTGCTCAGCTGGGGTGATGAGGGAGTTCAGGATGCTCGGGGACATCAGCATGACTCATTTCAGAGTGACTGTGCTGTTCACAGTGACCATGCACATACGCAGTATATTGCAATGTCCCAAGGACTATCCTGCTTCCTCTTTTTTGTCCTGCTTGATTGCCCCTGGACTGAAAATTCACTGGCTGCACTCTGTCCTCAGCAACAGATAAGCACGCCGCGTTTGTTTCATGCAGGGGCTGAGCCAATTAGAAGCCATCAGACTGGCGATTAGGGAGAGAGGTTGTGAAGGGACAAACATGAGTGATGCAATGCTTTAGACTGCTGGCTCAGTTCTCACCACTGGAATGGGCACAACTTTAAAGTGAAGAGAGCTGCTTTGCTGTACTGAATCTCAAAGTGAAGATACTATATTTTACAAGAGATAAGGTGTGTAAAAGTAAAGCAAACATAATGTGGTAGATAAAACTACATGTTTAGACTTTTCATTGTTTCGCAAAGCTCTGCTTTAATTCTTGCTCAACTCATTTAAAAATAAGATAAAATTGGATTAGAAATAAAAAAAGATATTCCAGTCTAACCTAATTGTGGCATGTTTCTACACTTTTCCATCATAACACTTTGAAAAGGAAATCATAACAGAGGTAAAATAATCTGACTAACTAAAAGATACAAACAAAACAAAACCCTGCTGGGACGTCTGAGCTGAACAGTGTAACCCAGGTTCACTAACTTCTGTTGGAAGTCTTTGATGAGTTTCTTGGCTTTGTTGTACTTCTTCTCTAAAGCCTGGTATTGGGCCTGGGCCTCCTTCAGATGTTCATTGACGGTGTGGCAGAGGGTTTGAGCCTCAATCCAATAACTTTCCAGCTTCAGCATCCTCTCTTTGTTTTCTTCGATGCTGGCCTTCAGCTGGCTTTTCTCCTTCTCCCAGCGCTGCTTTTCCTTCTCCACTGATGCCAGCTGCAAAGCGGGAAAAAAATATTTGCTCACAATGTCGGCATTTAAAAGGACAATGTATTTAATCAGTCCGTAAAATCTAATGGATGTCTTTATCAAAGTATGAAAAAGGATTGTACTTTGGAATAATTTTTCTGAAATTTCAGATGAAAGACATGCTTAGTTGAATTAACTGCTATTACACAAATACATTCAATAAAATGTCAAAGCTTAGTAAGAGAATAAAGCCTGATAGCCATTACTGGGAAAAGCTTATTATCGAAATAGGAATGAAAGACATTAGATTGCTGGCTTAGAACTATCATCACATATAAATAAGCTTTTCAGACGCAACTTGATGTCGACTTCCACCAAATCAATTAGTCAAATTAGGCCATTAACATTTGACAAAGCAAATGATGTACTTTTAAAAAAGTGCAGTTGGCATAAATGCAGGCACATGCGTTCAGTTTGCAAAGAGAGAAATAAAAAAAACACAACACAATGTCTTTACAAGACCACAGTGATTCTTTTTAAACGTAGATGTTTTCTAAAACCTAAAAGACACTTCTGGACACTGTGTCATTAAAGTAATGATGATAATGATAATGAAAGTAAAATCACATTCATAAAGTCTCTGAAAACTGCATCTTGTGCCCACAATCCACTACTAAACAAAAAGTTTTAATTTCTTACCTTGTTTTTAAGCTTCTGGATCTCGGCCTCGGTCACTGTGTGTTTGATCTGGAGCTATTGAGAGCATAGGCGGGGAAAAAGTGAAAACGGGAACGAGAAGAGAGGGCAGTCAGATAATCAAATGCATGGCTGCGCAGGCTCTCTGCTGTCGATACAGTGTGAGTGACAGAGACAGCCCATCCTGTGCTCCCCACGGCTCCATCCCAGCTCTCACATTGACATTTTCTCTCAGAAGAGAGGAAACAAAAAGCTATAGACAGACTGTACGCTGAGAAATGTTAACAAGTAATTTAAGTTTGTATTGCCTCAAAAAAAAGACTTTTAGCTATTTGTGTAACTGATGTAACATGTTACAGGGACAGAGAGAGACTGATGTAAATGAGTCATTAAGAAGAAGATGAGGACTTACATAATGACGGAGGGGATGGGCAGAGAGCATGTACTATTTAAGAGCAGAGGATTACATTGGAACAAATGTGAGCTCTAGATGAAACAGAAATGCTTAAACACAAGTCTGTTCAATCCAAAAGTTTTCGAATCCTGATAACATAGTGCAAAACAAAAGAAAAAAAACAAGAAACACAGAAAAAGTAGCGGGCATATACACACCGACACCAGGGATAATATTTCATTTCCACCTGATATCTTCTGCAGTGTCTGCAGTGCTGATAAGTAATTGTAAAACTCTACAGAGAGACTGGATGTGCCACAGTGTAACAGCAGTGGACTGTGCAATCAATATCACCAGCCGCACAGCCGCCTAAAAGCACAACTGAGGGAACTGTCAGTAAATTAATGTTCCATTTTATTGCTGTAGTTTGTGAGTCAAGCTTGTGTTACAGTATCAATGGTTCAAGAAAAAAGATTTCCATTTACAGAGGCAAAATGTGTGAGGAGAGGTCAAGATTAAAACAGAAACGATTGTAATACAGGTCTAAAGACCTTTCGTCTTTTCTGGGGGTTCCCAACTAAACATGGTAATAAGCAGTAATAAGCAAATTACTTGAATGTCTTTTGTGTTTGCACCTCTGATGAAACAGCTTAGGAATTAGGACTGTAATCGGATCTTAAATCTAGACAATGAGCAGAATTCTGCCCAGTAGAGCAGGGAAACTAGACTTCATAATGTTACAAAGCCTTTCCCAGTTCTAAGACATTCTAGTGGGTGGGTAGGTATATATTTTTTTTCAAAACTGGCACCGACATTATTGTTGGGCTCCTATCAGCTGTATAATCTCCCCTCAGGGTCATTCATTTGTGTGGAGGAAATGAACTGTGCAAAAAACAAAAGTGTTTTACTTTACCTCTCTGAACTTCTGGTAGAGTTTATTTGCATCTAACTCTGATGGAGACAAAATGTCCTCGGTTTCTGGCAAGTCAAAGACCTCAATGCTCTTCTCGCCCTCTGGGCCTGCTGTTCCTGTCTCCTCGTCATCTGTAGCATACTCTCCTGTCTGCTTCAAAAGAAAATGAGAAGTCAGGTGTGTTGTGAACAGGCAGCACAGGGTACATTTGTGGGTGATGTTCATGACTCCATAACCAAAATAAAAGTGGGCCAATGACTGGGCTTTATTTTCATGACATCAGGTAAAGTTAAAATAGAAAACAGAAAGTCAGTGGCCAACCAAAGGCAACCGAAAGCTATTAATATGCAAAAATCTGGATCTAATTCAGTGTCACACAGCATGGGTGCTCATTACATTAGATTCAAAGCTCAAAGTCTGAATGTTATATGTATCTATTAAATTTAAATCTATTTCAACCATTGATGATTTTAGATAATCAGCTATACTCTGCTTCTGTGCTAGCTTTTTCCCCCTGAACATATTATCTTTATCTCAAATCTTAGATGTCAATTTAAAACATTTTTCCTTGTTGTTAGTTGCTCTTAATGAAAAACTGAACAGTTGCTAAAGCTGTCTTTGAGTGACCAATGCTATTTACAACAATCAAATTATTCATATTTACAGCTCTCAGCTATAAGAGAAAAAAAAAACATCTCTCTGGAGCTGCCTTAATTTATCACTGTCACACTACTGTGTGGTGCTCGTTTGTGAAGACCAGATCCTTTAGGCATGGCAGTGAAGGTGGCCAGGATAAGCTACCATGCAAAGCAATTTATCTTTTACAGCTAAAAGCACTTGCCCTTGATGAGTAGTCAACAGGCTTTAAAACGGCACCAAAATTTAAACCAGCTGACTAATCAGGCATCCAGCTGTCCACCCTGCTCATCTTCTTCCCTTTACTCCTCAGAGCTACACCAGTCAAAGCACATCATGTTGCACGGCCATGCTCCATATTATGTGTTAAGCACCACCAGGAAGTCCAATTTTCCTAAAGCCAAACTCTCTTTTTCACATAAGTAATGCTATTTTAATGCTACCTATTACATAAGAGTGCTGCAGCCCACTTAGTTGCCCAGAACTTTGTTGAAAATAAATTGGCTTGACAACCTGGTGAGCTGAAAGAAATCTATCACATTTCAGTAAAAATAGCTCCCAACATGATGCCACATTTCATCATATTCAATCAATCACCATTTTCCCTTCAAGAGTAAGAAGATAACAGGTTAGAAATAGAGAGTTCTGTCTACACATTCTGGATGTTAGAAGTCAGGAATTCTTGAAAATCATGAAAATCAGTTCTTTGAAAATTTGTCCCAGTATCAAATTGAACAGCATCAAAATGTATCTTTGCCATTAATACTTATTTCTGCAACTCTAAAATACTGAATGATTAAGGTGATGTTGGATGTGCCCATGAAGCACTGAGTCTAAATGACCAACAGATGACTAACAGAGCTCAACTTTTCCCGTGCATGGCTTTACTCCATGATTTCCATGAAGTCTCGTGTCCTTCATTTCCACATGCATACATATTCTTTAGGGTCTAGAGCCCCATCTGTACTTTCATTATCATGGTCTATGTCCTCTCCTTATCTCTTTTTCTGTACTTCCTCCCATCGATCTCCCCCTCAAATGACAGTGATCAGGCCTGGTTTGAACGCCATGGCCGACACACGGTTCGATTTCCATAACATGGTGGCTTGTTGCTATTCAATTCAATTCAATTTTGCTGCTATGGGACCATTATCCTACATTAGCCCCCATTTAGTGAGGGTGGAGACAAACATCTAACATAGAAGATGGTAGTCAAACAAGTGGTGACATTGTGGTATGCTCATTAATAACTGAGAGCAAAGGGGACACTTTCAGGGAAAATACTGTTGCTCTTTGCGGGATGGTCAGAATTGAATCCTCTACCATGTGAATGACTGATGGAGTTAAAGAGGGAGGTTTTTCTAATGTTTGACACAAATTAGATTACTTTTATAGTGATAGGCCAAAATCCAATCCAGCATCATAAAACCATAGCACACTGTCAAGTGACATATTGAATTGTTAAATTATTTTTAAAAAACAACAACATTGGTCTAAGTTAATGTTAAGTAACGTGTTCACTTATTATCAGTAAAGACCACAAAACTGTTTGGCCACCTCTAGAAGAAGGTCAATTTGGTTGCAAATGGCCACATTTACTCTCACCATGTGTCACAGTTTAGTTAGATTACAAGTCTAGCTCCAATGATCCTCACAAAAATCATGACATTAGTAACTATAAAAAACTCTGATGTGAGACTGGGCTGCATAAACACAAAAAGCCCTATTCCTTACTTATCTTATCACATGAGCTTTGAATGCATGTGTGTGAGTGTTTATTCGGCTCTGTGCTGATATCACCAAGAGAGAAAAGAACTGTCAACACAGTTGAGGAATGGCAAGTGTGCAGAATATAAATTAGTTGCTTTTGTTTGTGACGGATGCTCGCTTTATTTTGCTTCTCAAATGTCTGTAAGCATTTATGGAGAGATTCATAGAGTCTTCAATACCTCACAGTGATCAATTTTTAGTATCTTTTTAAAGGAGGATGTAACCAATGTTTGTATAAACAATTTTTAAACATTTTGTAGTCTAATGCCTTTTTTCATGTATTGCCATTTTTTTCATGCCATTTCTTTTCATGCTGATTGTGTACACATCATCTGAAATTATTACAAAAACAGAAAGAGAAACAAGAAGAGGGGAGATTTCTTGTGGGTATTGATCTGACTGCACTGTGGGATGCGCTCTTTGCTAATGGCAAAATTACACCCATCAAAACATTAATAAGTCTGTAGCCATGCTTATGGCGCAGGAGTCAGGATCCACAGTCGGGTGATGAGTATCTTAGAGCGTGAACATTTTTAATGGACTAAATGCCAAAAAGAGATTTTCCAATAATTCTTAATGAAAACAACTCAAGTGAGATGCCTGAGTGATTCCAAATCAGAGTAGAACTCCACACTTATCTTTGCATGTAAATGAGGATATATTTTGCACCGATTTGTGTCCCAGAGTCTTGTTGAATGTGCATGCACTCTGCGTGTCTATATGGCTCACATGCACAGACAACATGAGTTGAAGGCCACGAGCTCAGTGTCTGGCAGATTAAACATGCTGTGAGTAAGCAGCAGAATCAGAGAAGGAAATGCTGAGTGATGCAGCTCTCATCGCATCCTCTTAGAGCGTGAGGCTGTGAGAAACAGTGTTTTGTGTGGTAGCATCAAAGCCCACTGTCAGTCAGTTTTATAGAGTTAATAAGCCAAAACTCCCAGAAAACTGTCATGACTAAGGAGCTGACTTACAGCATGACAGATAGGGGGCTAATTTTCCCACTTCAGCGTCATGTGAAAGAAATATGACACCAGGAAAATTTCAAACAAGTTCAGATACACTATAACTAGCTTTATATCTCAAGAACAATACTGAAACAGGACATTTTAAAGTTAGAAGTACTATACGCTTCATGGCATGATAAATTACTAATAAATGCAGCTCTTTACAGTTTCAGGAGTATAACATCTGATTAGGAGGCTATTTGTGGTTATTACCTCGTCATCATCAGCATCGTACTGGGCGTACTGCTGCTCCAGTAGTTCTCTCTGTCGCCTCTCCTGCTCCAGGGTCTGCTGGATGAGGGTGGCCACCTCACTCTGCTGACCCGGACGCTCTCGGCCAATCACAAACCTGCAACAACATGCTCTGTTTACAGACAGCTCTGGGGAAAAAAGGATTTTAAAATTCTTCTTTTGGTGATTGTAAAATACAGTTTCGAAAGTGCTGAATGACAGTTTAATTATTCACAGATTATTTTATTTGTACACTGGAGATGAACAGGATAACTTCTGGTACACTTCTTAATATTTGTGTTTTCTTTCGTCCTTGTTGTGAGGGGTATTTGTGCTAAAAAACAACCACAGTAGATGCCCGCAGACACACACCAGTGACAGGAATATTTGCTGTCACTGGTGTCACTATAAGGGCAAGGCTGAGAGGCTGGACACACAGTCATACGAGAAGCCAATCAGCTCGCCCAGGCAGTCCTATCTCACGCTGGCAGGAAATTGAACAAAGAAAACGGAGCATCTAAACTACTAACTACACACAACTGTAGTTGCACATAGACCCATCTATCCATCCCATTTCCATATCATACCTTGTAGGGTCGCGGGGAGCCTGAGGCCTACCTACACCACCCCTCAGCGAGGGGCAACACAAACCCTGGACAGGTCACCAGTTCATCACAGGGCCACGCAGGGAAAAATGGGACAGACTGCCATATGCACTCACACACTCCTACGGGCAATTTAGAGTCCCCAATTAACCTAAACTGCATGTTTTTGGATGAAGGTAGGAAGCTGGAATATCTGGAGGGGACCACACACACACACAGGGAGAACACGTGACCTGCACACAGCGAGGTCCCCGGCCAGGTTTCAGACCGTGAAACTCCTTGCTGTGAGGTGACAGTGCTAACCACAACCATGGAACCCCACATATGCCCAGACCACAGGGAATTCCACTTACATATATAGCACTACGCAAGAAAGATTACGGCCACTTACTGAAAGATATAACTGGTCTATCGCTGTTGGGAAAAAGTAGACACAATGTATTCATTATAGGTTAAAGAGCTATAGTTTGACTACTTATTACATTGTAGAGACTCAAAAGAAAATCCAAATCATATCCTTTTTCCTCATAACGAACAAAACACAGAAAATTGGGGAAATTTCAAGCCCAATAGGGTCCTGCTAGCTGCATGTAAGCGAGTATGGTCCAATTTACAGCATGCTTTACACAAGTGTGTCAGAATGAGAGGGAGAAAGGAAAAAAAAGAGCAAAAGCGGATTCAAGATAGGAGCTAATCAAGTGAATTCATTTCCCTTGAGCTCTTTCATGTATTTCTAAAGGCCAAGAGGAGAAGGGCTTGCGCTCCAGCTGAGAGGTGCACTTGATCTACATGTGAAGCAACAACTGGAAGGCAGGAAGTGTAAAATACTACAGAATGAGAGGGAAGATACTGGATAAGGGATGTGCACCACGAGAGCATGCCTGTGGACAACAAGGACGCCTGAGGAGCAGCTGACCTGGAAACAGTCTTTTGTCCTCACGCAAGGGAAGCCTGTCATGGTTTCTCCCAGCCTCCCACTGTTCGGAGACAGTCGCAGCAGCTAAACTGCACAAACATTTAGTGCATTCTTCTACTCCAGTTACATGGATTGAGCTTACAGACTGAAATATGAAAAATCTCAACGCTTATTTTCATGTTTTTTTTGTGTTGAATGTCATAATGTGTTTATACATTAGCTACATTTGTCCGTCTGCAAATTAATGGCCAACATTGTTCAAACACAATACTAACTTTGAGTAACCCTTTCATTTTAATTAGTTTATTGGCATGAAGTGTAGTAAAATGTTTAGAAATAGAAATGAGTGCGCTTGTCATTTCACAATTGAGTAGATTCATTTAAATGTATCAATACATGTCTAATTACCAATAAGGCATTTATGTAATCGTTTTTATATGAAATGCATTTATTTTTCCTTTTTACTACAGGTTAGAGACACATAGATAAGTGGTATCGTAAAAATCATCTAAATCAAATATATTTACTATGAAAGATTAGGATAAGCAGACTAAAGCAGAACAAAATATCCCACTATAAATAGCTCAAGGCAAAGGCATTTATTTATTTGAGAAATCAGCAGAAAAACTAATGAAAATGAATGCAAAGACGGTCCTGATAAATTGTGTAATGGCAGCCACTTCTCTGAGTACACTAAGAAAATAAACAGAGTACTGTTAAAAGGTGTTTATTCATATTGATGATACGCCTACTACCAAGTTCTCTACATAGAGCTCTCCAAGTATCAGTAGGGATTAGTGAGCAAAAGTCTGATATTCAGACATAGCACAAGGTGTTCTTTAGCTAAAGCATGTGTTAGAATGGTCAGACATTATGCCGCCATCAGCATGATCAGTAATAATCTTCTGTGTCACTGTCAGCCTGTGCTGTGAATTGTATGTCTTAGAAGATAAAAATGTACATGTTTACTTCAAAATGATCCACTGAATGTGACAGGGCCTTTAAAACACTGTTTTTCAAAACCGGAGCAGTAAGCAAAGTCTTACACAAAAACCTGGGTGATTTGCAGCTGAAAGTCAGGGTTAAATATAGCTAAAACAGCAAATCTAGGACAGTTGGTCATAAAACCTCTGGTGATCAGATTGAAGGAAGGATTTATCAAGAAAGAGGAGGAGGAGGGGGTGGAGTGAATGAGACATGATAGAGGAAGATTGAAAAAGGGAGGGTGAGGAGGGTACAGGAAAAGTGAAAACTGGTTATGAGAAACAACACCATGGAGTAAAGGCATAATTTCACATGGCTGTAACTTCTGAGTGTGGCATTCACATGCTGCTTCAGAAAGCAGTAAGCAAATGAACTGAGGACTTTTAAAGAGTGGAGTAGAACATAGAGCTTCCTCATAGATTGCAGATCACAGATCGTAAATGGACTGTATTTATATGGCACTTTCCTAGTCTAACTGACCACTCAAAGCGCTTTCACACCAAATACCACATTCACCCACTCACACACTGGAGGATACACCAGAAGGCAATGTGGCATTCAGTGTCATTCACAAGGACTATTTGACATGTGGCTCAGGGGAGCTCAAAATGGGAACACCAACTGCTCTTCCTCCGGAGCCACAGCTGCCCGATGGAGGCTGCCTCACCTCTACAGCCACATCCTGGTGTGTGGAAACCCTGTATTGTCAATATTAGTTCAGCAAACATCATTTTCCAAGCCATCAGACTGTCGTAATACTCACAGACATATCATCAGCCTTTCTCTGCAAAGAGTATTTAATCACACCCTCTTTCTTATATGTTCTGGATATTTTCCAACCACAATGTGACTGAGGTGAAGCATTAAAAAGGACGACAAACAGGAAAAGACTACATAGCAAAGTTGCCATATCAAGACGATGAAGGTCAAAAGATTCAAAAGATGTTGGCAAATGGTAAAAAGAGGAGTTCCAGAGAAGAGATTGTGCATGAATATCAAAAAGCGAGGAGAGGTAGAGATAACACTAAACCACAATAAGAGCAAGAAACAACAAAATAAGGAATCACTCAGAGGCTTCGAGTGCAGGCAATTGCCAAAGACAGCTCAAGCCTTCCTACCACACTTCAAGTGTGTCTGTGTGTTCGCGTGTTTGCCGTCTACATCCAAATGTTCCCAGCAGACTCAAGCCAAGAGCAGCAGAACTGTCAAATGAACATACTTCTGTGCGCAGAGTAGCGGCTTTAGTGGTTATTTATACATCTACTGAGACATTTCTGTTCATGGCTAAAATGACCACATACATGTCCAAGGCACCTTTCAAAAACATTTTAAAAAATTTGCCTCCTAAAGATTCAGTGCATTCACAAGAAACATTATTTAGTCATATTTGGAGTGTAAATATAAAAAAAAAGTCTCAAGGCGTCAGTCTTACCGAACCACTCCTGATGTGTTCCTGAGGACGGAAGCAGCAAAGCTCTGAGTGACACCCACCAGACTGGTTCCATCCACCTCCACAATCTGGTCATTCACCTTGATTCTGATGGAAACAAAACAGTAACATATTTAAACAAGTTAAGCAAATAGCTACAAGGAAAATATGTCTATAATCTTTAGCTGAACTGAAAGCATAGCCTACTGAAATTCTGAAAAAGCTTGACCTGTGTGTGGTATCTTTGTGGTAGATGAGATGAGGAAAACATTTTAATTGAACTGATGCATCCCAACAACAACAAAAACAAAAACAAACAATGAATAAAAACAAAGTACAAACTGGACAATCAGTCATGTGTACATTACTCTCAAAACTGCAAGACTGCTGTGCTTTTTTGCTGCCAAAGATTTCCCCCGCAACTGGTTAAGACTGCTCTCTGACCAGGAGACAGAAAAGATGAGGCTCAAAGCAAACTAGCAGTGCCAATAAGGATGTGGAGGCCAGCAAGCCCTTTGCCTTGAGCCACAACACATCAGGGAGTTCTGCTCTGATATGGAAATTACAGTGGGTCGCGCAAGTTCTTGACCTCAAATTGAACCAGTAATGAAAAAGCATTCACTGTAGAGGATTTGTAAGCACTAACCACTTAAAAGAGGCATCCTTGGTAAATATTCAATATGAATCCAGATGAAAATTTGAATAAAAAAATAGACTAGGAGGGATTTTGAATTTGGTTTGTGAATAATTTCTTACTTATATGAATAAGACAGAAACTTGAGCTCATTAATTTTCAACAAAACAGTATATTATGCTAATACATTGATGCCTGAAGGCAAAGTACTAATATATTTCCTCCAACAAACTCCTTCCGTTTCCATTGCCTTATTTAATTTGGTTTAAGTAACAGTAGAATGACTGTCAAAAAACATAGAACATGTACCATCCGCTTAGTTCACTTGTCCAATTTCTGCTGCGTAAAGTGGCCTGTGAAGACCTCCAGACTTGATTTAGATGATGGAACTATAACTGAAGGCCTTGTATAACAAAAAAAAACTACCATGTAATAAATGAAAATTTAAAAAGCAGCTACGTGATGCATATTTGGTATTAGTATTGCAGGGAGCCCTATGCTGATCACAATTGGACTATTTAAAGCTGAGGGACTTCAATATAGAAGCGGATGTGAAATCTTTTCAATTAAGTTTTGCTTTAATTATTGAACATTTTTCTTATTCTGTAAAAACCCTGCAAACTTTGATGTTTGGAAGCAAACCCCTGCAAGAACAAGATCAAAAGAAAGAAATGTTTCCTGATGTTTGAGTCAGATGCAGCAAACAAGGTCCTTTCCGCTTTTTTCGAGTCTCTCACATACAACCGAGCAGCATAACACAACTGCTGAGAATTCAGGATTCAGTATGACTGTGACACCTACAACATCAAAAGGAGCTGTCAAAAGGATGTGCCAAGGTGTGTCGGACTGACAGACAGGCAGAAAGTGAGCTGCTGATCTTCCCAGAAGTTTTTCTGACCCAAATGGCTTCTGAAATCTTTGTGTAACTTTGTGTGGCTGAGGCCAGTTTGTACAAAGCTGCTAAGAATGGGTAGGAGTGAAATAATACAATAAAACAAAACACAAATCGTAAAAGAAAATTGTTTAAAAACCTAAGAAGATGCAACGAAAACAAAATATGCAAATTCAAAATCTTGCAGCCCTGATTTGACCCCGGCACAGAGCTGCACGATGCAGTGAGCTGTCAACTCCATCCATCTATCTGCCTCGGACTGAGAGCATTAGAGTGCCTCGGACCATTTAGTCACACTCAGGAAAAAAAAAGTCAGGAAGCGCTGTCACAGGAGAGGTAATGACACGAGGAAACTACAGGACACTGATAAGTGAAGCCTATGAGCTGAGAGTGTAGATTTATAGATTCCAAATACATTTTGACACTAAATAAAGTAAATATAAAAAGGTTTTCAAAAGATTCATCAATGAAACAGCAGTAAAAACATTGAAGTTTGTTGACACAGTAAGAAAATTTGATTGTTAATTTATTTTGTTCTTTATATAAATGAAATATACAATATGAAAATAAGCTGTATGTAGTCTAAAGAAAGGCTGATAAAACACATGATGTACATTATGTCATCAGTATGTTAACATGTTGACAATGTTAACAAGAACATCCGGCTGCTGAACAAACAGATTTCAAAATGTGTAGCAGTCAGTTTTATTGCGACTGATTAGCACTTATCCTCAGAAACAGAGCATGTTAGTTTTAGAGAAAAAGTGTAATACAATGGTTGAGCACAGTCTTGAAAGTACTTGCCATAGTCTTTAAATACATCTCTATTTAAAAGTTAACCCACATTAATGACCCTTAAGAGATGTTAAACACGATGTGTTTAACATCTCTTAAAAAATGTTAAACACATCGTGTTTAACATCTCTTAAAAAATTAAAATTTTTAAAAAAATGTTAACAAAAACACTTCCGTCTTTGCATTCCATTTCTGGTAATGATCAAAACAACATCTACACAGCTCTGAAGAAATTAAAATGATCCAGTTGAAAAGTTTAACTAAATGACAAAGTGGCTCAATTTTAGAAGAAAATAAATGCACCTGCAAACTCACCATATATTTTCCTTCTTTTCTGCTGCTCTCCTGCTCTGTTCTTCTCTGCTCACTAATTTTGAATTTGTCTCAGTGTCAATTTCCAGAAAAGTGCTGCTGTGTCTTCCATATACATGGATAATTTAATCCATGGGGGAAACACACCTATTGTAAACAACCCCCGTTCCCAGTTCTTACAGCACTTATTGCTCTCGCTCCGCACTGAGCCGCGCTACCTATCAGAGTTTTAATCAGTTTACAGGGAATCTGAATCACAGTAACACACTAATGGGGGGAAGTTCGTGGCTTGGAGGCAGGAACCACAGCTTGCTGGCTAAGAAGCTGTCATATCCTCTAACCCTGTCAAGTGCTTACACTGCACTTACAGATGCACCATTCACAGAGATGGACACACTGTGGACAAATGAGAAAATGGGAATTTTTCTGTCGACAACCTTACAAAGAACACAAGAGACACAGTATACTTTAATTACCCCAATGCAATATCTTTCACACAATCTACCGTCTGTATAAACACAGAGGCACACAGTCCTGTGCAGGACCTCTCGTCCAGTGGATTTAATCCAAGCCGCTGCTGTTAAATCTGACAACGACAGAGTGTGACTGACAGTGTATGAAATAGCAACACAGGAGTGTGAAGATGGGCTAGCAAAAACTAAACACCTCAAGAACTGTCGCTGCATTTTTCTATACAAATGCAGAACAGAGAATTTTCTGGTAAGAGAAATTATGTGGGATATGGAAACAGCACTCACCTGCCATCTCTCTCTGCAGCTCCACCCTCAATGACAGTCTTAACAAAGATGCCAAGTTTCTCCAACCCAGCATCTGCACCAACACCCATCCCAATGATGCTGATCCCCAGGCCATCATCGTCTGGGAATTAGAAGAGCGCACAGTTCACATTTTTACATTACTATTTAATCACATGTTTATTTCTCATGTGTTAAATAAGCCTTAAATCCAACTGGCCCCAGGTGACAAGTGCACAATGGGAGAAAAAAAAAGTTAACCTGTTTTTATGTATGAGACTATTATGGAGAATCACTTGATACTTGCTAATAAAATAAAATTAAAAACAACCATATAGAGTGAGCCTGCCACCACCTACTTAAGAGCTAAACCAAAATGCAGAAACCATGTTTGTTCAAGCAAATTCAATACATGATCACCTTTAGCAGCAACTTCCTTCTTTATAAGGTAATTTGTACCTTGTATTATTACAGAATAATTTGGAATTTATTCCGACATTACTTAGCACAGCTAACACATGATGTACAGCTAAGTAATGTCCAACCAGGGTAAATGAGAACAAGGTCTGAAATATCACTGGACTTTTGTAACACCTTGACTCTTTCAAAGTGTAATATTTCATGTGCTGTTTTTCATTTGAATTTGTAATTATTCTATTTAAGGAATAGTTAAAAAATCAGCTGATTTGAAAAATAATCCCATCATCATAAATAGGACTTGAGGGTTGTTTTTCATATTGCTGTATGGATATATGGACACATTCAAACATAAGAGATTTATGAAGGGATGAAGAGACATGTGCCTTAAAACATTTTTGGCCTTCACATAAATATGAAATATGCTGGATGGGAACTTCCCATCACCGATCCCAAGGCTGCATTAATTATTTATAAGTTGTACGGGTTATGGAAGTCTGAGTTGATAAACCAATTCTACGATGAAAAGTAATCCCATCTTGCATTCTTGGTAGTGCTGATTTGTAACGTGGGAGATGTCTCTATGGAACGGGACGAGTGCAAAAGCAGTTAGGGAACGGCTGAAGCGTGGTGCATTTTGCTTGTATTATGAGAAGTGACTCTCCGAAGGTTTTTAAAGCGGTCTACGGGGAGCTGGAGTGATTTGCTGCCGACAGAGAGAAATTAACAAAAACACCTGACTACCAGGAGGAAAAATGAAACACCTTTAAAAATAAAAGATATCTGATGACGGGCCATGCGTGGGTGATGTTGTCTCTTGAGTGTCATGAGTAACTGACAGCGCCACCTCCTCATTGAAATGTGCGTAGATCCCCCCCCACCTTTCTCCAGTTCCACAGGGAAGAGCTCCAGTTTCTCCACCCTCTTCTCCAGCTCATACTCAGCAGAGGAGGCCACAGGGTCCACCTCCTCATTACGGCGGTCGTAATCTTCGTTGGAGTAGGTGTTGAATACCTGAAAATGAGACAGATATGCTCACAATGAGGGTCTGATTATGGATACAAAATTTGGATAACATTTGTTTTTGACGTTGTCAAAAAAGAAAAGTTAAAGTCCCGATAGGGAACAACCACGCTATATGAAAACATCACTGTACCGCTACTCCTGTGGGAGTCAGAGTAACACAAAACCAATTCTACACTTCATCTGCTAAATGAAACAAAGCCCACCATCTGAAACAAAGCTTGAATACTAAAGCTATAACAACAAACCGGCCTATTAACAAAAGGCAAGAGCAGGCAATAAAAAAACATGGTAATGGAGGACAGAAATGTTATTCCTCCTCCTTGTAAGAGAGGGCTGTCACTTTACATCTAATCCCAACCAAGCGCTCTTACTGCTATTTGCACTGAGCAGGGAGGGTAAGAGGGAAAAAGGCTGTGTGCAAGCTGACTCAGACGTGGGCAGTGTCACCATATCTATACTGTAGCAGTGTTCTACAGAAAGCTGGCTGCTGGCATTGAAGATAGAAATGAATGGATATGCAAAGTTACCTAACAGATAAACAGCTATCAATGTGGATTTGCAAATCAGTGAAACTTTCCACTACATGTTTTCCCCATCAAAGATTTTACTACCCGGAGATCTAACCATCAGGGGTTGTTCAAAACAACGCATGCTCATTTATGATGTTCCCACAGCAGATCAATAGTCGTGTTGCATCACATGTACTGATTAAACCCCAAAGCAAGATCTGTGTTTTCACTTGGGATGTGTGTGCATGCACGCATGCTGATAGTTTCAAATCTTTGCACAAAAAGCAAAGAAGGTATCTGTCTTTTTACTTTAGCTTAAATGGTGTAGATTAAAATTGGGGACAGGCTGATAATTGCATGCTAGTTAAGAAGCCTTCATTTTTAAGTGCACCTTCAAAATGCAAGCAGAGGATTAGTTCATATTTTACTCCATCATGAAGACACAACAAACCACAGCTGCTATGTAAAAGACATTCTCTTTTTGAGGCTTAGTGCTGGGTCCGCACAAAACCTGTACAGACTGACTTTGCGTGATGCTGTGAGGGTGGCTTTTTGTCCTCTGTGTGATCAAAGTGAGCTCTATCCTTGACCTTCTTGTCATCAATCATTCAGTGTAATCAACAGCACTGCATTATTAATGCTTGCATGCGTGCATATACACATAAATCACATATACATAAATATGTTGCACAAAAATGTCAGAAAAATAAAAACATAGGCACACTGACAGACTCTAGGAAATGAGAATAACACAAATTTACACACATAATTCTGATTAAAGCTCCATCACATGTGCCGTCCTGAATGTCCTGGACTCAACGCTGCCATTGGCAGTCAGTATTTCTCTAATGGCCTCTCAGTCACTGTGAGCTATCTGCAAACACATTAGCATGTGGCTAGAAGGAGGTCATGAAGGAAGATGAGGACAGATGTGGGTGGATCTGCGAGGCATGGCAAGCAAAGAAGAGATGGTGGAGGCGCACTGATGTAGAAAGATAAGGATAGGGCAGGAAAAGAAATTATATAAAATCACAGAGACAGTTGTACAGAGAAGGCAATAAATAATAAGGACAATAAGGACAGAGTGGTGGTGACAAAAATTGGGAGTGACAACACAAATGAAAAAGCTCACAAAGGGGAGATAAGAATCGGGCGGCAGAAAGAGTGTGATGGAGAAACAGACTCAGACAACACTGTCAAATTAGCATCTACCCATAAGACAAATACACCTGATATGGTATCTAACAGAACATGCCTCCACTCTGTCCAAATACACACCGTTTTCCCTGAGATGAAGGGCCCAACTCAGTCTTATCATTAAAGTTTCTAACAGAAAGGAAGCAGCTAACAAACTGTTACAGGATGGATAAATAAGGTTGAGAAACTCACTGAAACACAAATTAAACAGGTTTTTTTTTTACAATGGATTGTGAATAAAATATACTTTTCCCTTGACAGCGAGATTTAGTTATGACAAAAACAAAACTTTTTAAAAATATGAAATATGAAAATATTTGGTGAACAGTTCTGTGAAACTTCAGCTTGGCAGAAAAGTAGAATAGCGATGACTAAGAAAGGTGAAAAAGAAATGGCACAGGTGTATCTAAATCCAGTGGAACGTAGAGCAAATATAGCATCTTGTGTTTTCCTGTAGTCAGAAAATAAATCAATACTTTAATTTAGGTCACATAACTCTAAATCAAGCAACCTGACAGGCCAACATCACCAAACATGTTCTTCATGCTAAGACAGGCTCTTGAAACAAAATTGCATATCGATATTTTGACCCACATGGCCCACTAAAAGGATCCATTTTATGTTTGTTAATGACAAACAGCTAAATGTTTTCACTTTCAGATATAATTGGTGTGTGCAAAGGCTTCTTAGGATGCTTAGGATACTCAGCTGTAAGTCAGTTTTTGAGGAAAAAGGCTTTCTCCCCATGTGAAGTTCCTTTGGAATTGAAGTCAAAATTCTCTTGACGGATGATAGGCAACACAAAGACATTCGCATAAATAAATGCTACACATTTACATGTGCTACACTTTAAAAAAAAAAAAAGCTAAACAAACTCTCATCTCAGAGCTACGTTACTATGAGAAATTTGTTATTTTAGTTTCTTTTTAGTACTTGTTGCTCTTTTAAATTAAATATATGACCCTAAAATGACTTTGCTTTATTTCTAATTTGCTATTTCCGGGTTGGTTTAAGCGTTTAACAAGTCTGATGAGCCTACTTCTCCTCTCAAGAAAGCATTGAAGTGTCCTTTCATAAGCACACAGAGACAAATGCTCTTAACTCCAAACTCCCTTTCTCCCAGTAAGAAAACCAGAACATCTGACAGCTGAGTGCAGAAACACAGCAGCTCTCGGACAGACAGTCTTGTCATCCTAATCCTAGGCTTTGCATTAGGATGGGAGAGGCTTGTTTTGAGTCTCTGAAACACAGTTTTGACTTTCTGCAGCTATGTGAATCTGCAGGAGCCTGAAAAGCTCTCACTTCACAGACAGGCCCCCTCTACTTAAGTGTTTGTATCCGAGGTTTTACAAATAACGCTAATACAATGAGCTAATTTAGACAGAAGCCTGTTTAATTACAGATGAGGCAACAGAAGAGCGAAACATGCAATAAGAGAGAAATACAGAAAAATTACCTTTTTTTAAAAAGCAGTGAAGCCAGGCGTAGTTTGTCCCTGGTTTGACTGAGTCCCTGCTTAAGACGGCGGGGCATGGCCCATTCCCAGCAAACAGCTTCTGACCTTACTACTGATATATTTTAGTGTATCGGTGCAGGTGCTGTCACCCACATTGTCATCCACACAGTGGCAAGTGCCCAGGGCAATATGGGATTGGAAACTAACTACCTCCTGGCACACACATACACATGAAGTCAGCATTGTGCTGCAACGCCTCAGTACATTTGCAATTCTTACTTCTACCTGTGGCCACCCACACATTCTGCGGACTGATTTACAGTCAGACTGTCTTCCTGACATCTTCCCCCATCCGAGGACGGGACACTGAGAGGCAATACTACGGCTAATGTCTGCATTTGTTTAAATGTAGTAACGCAACAGAGAGGAATCCCTGACCCTTCTTCACTTTTACTGATGATCAAGTATGGTGCAGATTGCAGTTTGTTCAAACAAATGATTCTCTTTTCAGTCTCTGTTGCACATGTTCTCAATTTTGTCAATATAATTTTCTGCTTTTAGTATTATCGAATACTTGCTTTTCCAAAGATCTTTGCACAGCTTTGGATAATAATGCCGCTTGTTGCTGTCCATTTTCTCTCAACTGTCAATGTAGTAATACCACTGGCTGAAATCAATTAGAAGCCAACCCACTGATGACTGATGGGGGAGAGACAAACATACACATGGAGAGAAAGGCCATCTCAAAACAAGTGAGCAGAGAAAATGATCCTACACTGCACAGTTGGTGGGAGGTTGGAATAAGAAGTAACACGACAACATGTTGCTTGTTGTACCACATGCCCACTTGCAATGCTATGCAACACATTTGGCTGCAGTGATGACTTGGTAATGTGTGGGTTTGTGTTTCTACAAAGCAAACAAAAGAAACATGTTTGAGCTCCACTACTGAGAATGTTTTAAATGTTTGATTAAGCAAGGCATTCACCTTCATTGTGCCTGTGACCCTATAAACAAGGCAATGATGACAGTCGAGCATTTCTTCAGCACAACTTTCACAGATTCAAAGGCACTGTAGTAAAAACCAACACATTCATCACAAGTAGGAGACCAGATTGAGTTGGTGGGCGCAACGTGATAGATTACGACACAGATCGCTGTGTGGCAACTGACCAGCCTCAAAAGCCACAAGGAACGTCTCACCTTTCCCGGATCATTAAAAATGTAAGCTCCAGGGAAGATTGGGTGGCATTGAAACAAGCAAACAAAAACGCAACCGCATCAATAATGGAGTGGCTGAAATGCATGTATGTGATAATACACACACACGCAACATCCCATCCAGACTTGGAGATAAATGAAACAAGAAAAAAGTGGTTTTAATATGCATATTCTCTCCACTGTGAGCATCACATCCACCTTTCAAAAGTTAACAAGCCAAGAAGTTTTCCTTCAAAAAAACATAATCACCATAATCTTGCCGGAACAAATAACAGTTACAAATTATACTTTCAAATATCGGCATATGAGTTTTGGGTTTGAAGTTTGAGCAATGCCGTCAAACATACAGAACATCCTCACCCAGACACTAAATATCCAAAAGTAGAGTAATCCTGTCTATGAGAAAACACAGCAAGAAGGCAAAGTTGCTGGCAACAGGCCATTTAATTTGTGTTGGACTTACAGAACAGTATCAGGCCATGCTCCAGATAAGGACGCTTTGGAATCCCACATTTACTGCTGATCCATGTACATGACAAATTCATTCATTTACAAAGCGAAGAGCCAGAATTAGAGCTATATCCTGGAAGCCTCACCAATCATGTACTGAATTAAGGAACCCATCAATGTTCCTGCAAATCCTAAAGAAAAATAAACATCTCTTAGTGCTTTAAGTCAGAGGGATGACACAGAAAGGATGTCAGTTGGAATCCCGTCTGCTCTTTCGTGCTAAATGTCCAGATTCACAATATACTGACGAACTCTAAGGATTATGAATTGGCATCACAGCCCCATCTGTGCAGAAGGACCACAAGGAAATCTGGATGCATCAACAAAAGGTTTGCTACAGAGAAAGGGAGTGACACATATCTATCATATTGATTATGGCTCTGAGTTCACATCAATTCTACTCAGCATTCTACTAACGGTGCAGCAGCAGAATATAATGGACACAACCCAGCCTACGCCATTGGGAAACAGACAGAACGCAGACTGGAATGGCTGATTACAGAGCCACATTAGTGACCGTTTAACTGGCGCTCCGCCTCTACTCATCACATCTGCTCAGTTCTTTAACGCCATCACCGCATCCTAATGGATGAAATCGCAGTTTGTCAGCAGGCACGAAAACTGTCATAAAAAACAAATGGCATTCAGAAAGAGGGGAAGAACAACAAGAGGAGAATCAGACACCAAACAGTGACAGAATACCACTGTTTGATTGAAAAAAAATGTGGCTGATAGCTTTAAAACGGGGATTCAAATGGATTGAAGGTTATAAAGTTCAAAACGCTGGGTGAAGAAAGTCTTACATTCAGGTAATATGCTTTATGTGTCACAAGAGCTGCACAGTATAAACTTTGCAGCTTTCAAAAGCAAAAAATGGGAACCATTTGCATTTTATTTATTGGCCACACACTGAACAGGCAAACATGGGACCTCCTTCTCATGTGTAGGTTAGTGTCCCCTGGAAGGCAGACAGCCTTAGTGCCCGCCAGCTCAAAGTTGTACCTTCTTAGTGGGTCAGTGAGGATATTACAGCTGTGGTTTATAGTCTAGGTCGTATCTATGTGAGGCTGTATTTGCTGTAGACAAAGCAAACTCTGACCTACATGTTACACAGTATTGATGCACAGCAGTTATCACTGGTTTCCTGTTTGTTTTTGTATTAACATCTTCAGATTTTGGTCTAAAACATACAAATTATTGAATCCTGACAGTAATGTCGTGAGTTTTGGAAACATTTGACTGTAAACAAACTGGAAGGATTTGGGCCATTGGGGATTAAAGTCAGGGGATCACAAGTTATTGCAGCTTGTTTTGAGGCAGACATATAAAGCTGAACATATTTTTATGAAGATATGTTCAATGGATGTTGAGATGCTTTTCTGCACGGATGAAACAGGCTTGAGTTGCTATGAAAAAATTGAGAGATCTTATTACTAACAAATATACCTGTTTGTTTGATTATCTGAAGCTATTAGACCTCTTCCCAAAATTTATAAATTGCTGCCAAAAACTAGCATTTGGCCATCGCTGTATCTACGCTAAAGATTTATAAAGAAAACAAGCTTTTAAATGAAAGGATGTTATATTGAATTATCTGCCTGACAAAAGAGAGCAGACAAAAAAATACAAAACTATGACACAAAGAGGAAAAACATCAAGTACTAAGTGTATGACGCAGCAGTTTTTTTTCTTCAAAACCTTCCGTAGACTACTCCCACAAGGGTCAAGCTGGGCTCGTGCTGGTCTGAGGGCTGAAAAAATAGCTGTGTCTTTCATTATATAGATGAACAAAAGACAGAACCCTGTTTGTTCCTCGTGTGCTGAGAGGAGAGGGAACTATGATGAAGGGGTGGGAGGGGTGCATGTCTAATTGGGCGTAAGCTGGTGTGTAGGGGTGGGGGCGGTCTCCCTCTTGAATATTCTATATGATGAATGAGCGTCAGTCCTTTTCAAAGAAAACAGAAGCCTTGAAACGGCTGAAAGGAACAACAACAGCACACTCTATACTTGCTCAACCTAAATAGGACAGAAGGATTTAGAGTGTGTATATTCACTGTCTAGTTACAGTTGCAAAATTGTTCAAAGAGAAGCTATTTGTCAATGTTAAAAAATGAAATTTGTGGGGATACTTTGCACACGGATGCAATATTGAATAAAGTGTTATGCTATAGCAAGACTATGTAGCAGTTAGATTTGGCCATCGTCATTACGGGAGTATGATCTAAAATGTACAATAATCTAATTTCAATAATCTAAGACAACCCCAATATAAAGCTGTGCACATTTGTCTATCTGTAAGCATAGGTGGTTTATTCTGAATGAGAGAGAAAGACAAAAGAGAAAAGAACACTACACTGGGTAATTAGTTAGCTAACATCACATTTTCTCCTCAGAATAACTGGGCTAATTATCCTGGTTCACTACAACATGGTAATAGGATTGATTCACAACCTGCAGAATGTTTGTGTTAGCTCCACTTAAAGCTCCCACACATAAACCTTAATCTCTCAAAAAAGGCCATTTGTCATCCAAAACTGAATATATTTGAATAAACAAGCATAAAGTTTTTATCCATCAAGAGAGGGAAAGTTTTAAACATCAAAATTGGATTTGACTAACAAACTAAATACAATACAAAGAGTAAAAGACAAATGTAAAGCATGTTGTTTACTTATATAAACTCCAAGCTCAGTGATTCGAAATACTTAAGGATAAAGTCTGGAAAATATTTCCGATAATCTTACAAATCCATCACTCACAATCCTCAAACAACACTAACTGCATTGTGTCAAACTAAACGCTGAATACAGCATCAAAACACTAAGAGGCAGATGCAACACATACCATTGTGTTGCAATTACCACTTTTCCGTGCCCTGGGAAAACCTCCAATGAGTCCACTGTGTGACACAACAAACCAACATGGACACAGTGGGTCCACTATATGCTGAAAATGTAGAGATTTGCTAAGATTTGCATGTGCAAAATGTCCCCGTCAGACAGCATCCTGATTGAAGAAAAAATAAGCCACAGCTTGAGAAAACACAAACACAGTATCTTGTGTGAAATGTGTGTGGGCAGAACCAGCGTGACTAACACATGCACAGATGTGCTGCTCATGAACATGTCAGATTTCAGAAAACAATTCTTTATCAAATAAAATACTGAAAAATAAGATATAAAAGAGTTTGTTTTTGAAAATGTACCATGTGAGAGTAAATCATCTAACTTTTTGAAGGTATGATCACATAACTACAATGTGTTGTTGAACTATAAATAGCAGTTTATAGAGAAAATGCTATAAAAACTGTTAGTTCTCTGCTGTTTTAACCCACTTTTAAAATGAGCTGCAAAAAGACGTGTGCTGGATTGCGTTTGCAATGTTCTAAAAAATCAAAAACAAGCCCTTCGCTACACTCTACAACAGCAATTTGCTTACTATAATGGGAGCAGTGCTGAAGCAAATCTTCCTCTTTTGGGGGATGTCCTCTTTGTTCTCTTCAGGTAGACCCGGGATCTCTGTCAGATCAGAGCCGGGGTCGTACACAATATCCTCGTCATCGTCACCGTAGAGGTCATCCTCAGGATCTGTGCAGCTTTCTCCCCAGCCCTGGTAGCAGGCATCTCCATCGGCATTAAAAATCACCCGCTCGTTTCCAACATATTCCTCTTCAGATTTTTCAATGAGGCCCTTGGGGGCCTCAGAGGTTATGTCCTCCTTTAAAGCATTACCATCCACTTGGCTATCCTTAGCTGGTGGAGTTATGGTGGGCGGCAATTCAGGAGTTGTGTTTTCAAAAGCCTTGTTGCTAATATCAGCACCATGTGTAGGTTTTGAGGCTTCGGAGACATCCTGATCATGAGTATGTTTTACTGAATCTGAGGTTTTCTCGTCTTCTTCACAAGAGCCATTGACCTGACTTCCATTGGTGGTGACCCCTGCCAGACGCTGTCTGCCCACCCTCACACTCTCCCTAGCCTCTTCTTGAGCCTCGTTATTTTGCAGAGACTCAATTTTAGATTCTGAGGTTTCTGCACCTGAACCGGGGCTAAGGATGTCCTCAGAAGATGAGGATGCTGGAAACTTGCCCCCAATCCTGTTCCGGCAGGACCCACGCACTGGAGACTGCCTCGACTCGTCCTCGCTGAGTTCACCTCCATGGCGGAGGGATCCATCTGGTGAGTACAGGGCCCTTCTGCTGAGCCCTCTGTGGGGAACACCCTGGCTGTTGTGGTCAGCATGTTCAAAAACAGCACTGAGCTGGCTCACAGTTGGAGAGGACGCCTCTGTTCTGGAGCACAGAGAGTCCAAGGAGTCTGTGCTGCCACGGTTGGACCTCGCTCCTCGCCAGTCATCGAGGTGCTCGTGAGAGCCCCTTTTGTCCCGTCCGTAGGGAAAGACTGGTGACTGGGACTGATCACGAGACTGTTGTTCAAAAAGCTTCCTGGTTTCTGAGAACTTGGCTCCAGCACCTCCGATCCTGTCAGCTGATGCGGAATGCTGCAGCTTTATCACCGATCCGTCCGCCTTATTGATGAAGTTGGTAGGTTTTACCAGCTTCTGTGGCGAGGAGTCATCACGGCCCCTGGCCTTAGCAACCACATTTTCGGAGCCCATTTGCATGAACATGTCCTTAATGCGACTGACATGTGCGCCATACTGGCGGCCCCTGGGTTGTTTCACTCGCTCTAGGTCTTTAGGCTTCGAGTCTCCATCAATCCGAGGCTGGTCAAAAGCCTTCTTCAATGCCTGAAATTCAGCCCGGTAGGCATTTCGGTGGGGGGAGGCACTCCGGAGGCTGGTCCTTTCCCCCGAGGGCTCCGTCTTTAGCATGATGATATCTTTGGATATAAAGGGGATGTCAGCATTGCTTTGCCCTCATTATATTGTGGAAGTGGCAAGTCTAGTTGACCTACTCCAATCCTTCAAGCGCAGTCACACCTGCAAAGAGATGAAAAGAGACATAAATAGACATATATGACGTATATGAAACATATGATTCTGTTCTGGTCTTGTAAAAATGCACCAATCTGAGCTAAACTGTTTTAATCAACCAACTCTAACATGTACTCTCACATCAGACAACACCAACAGAAAAACCAGGCAACTTGGGATTTGAAAAATTATGAAAACAATAGTGATTAAGCAAAGTGGAACTTTTAGATCAAAATGGTGACAAAGCATGAAAAGAGTTCTCCCCCTGAACGACACTAGTCAAGGGCCAAATGAGCACATAATGTTAGAAGTCTGCAGTTTGAATCCTTCAGCACTCAGAAAAAAACAACCTGAAGATGCTTAATGTTAAAGATCAATACAAACAGCAGCCATTAGTGTAAAACTGGAACTTCCCTGTTTAAAATCATGGCATGCTGTAAGGGATATTCGTGTTTTTTTATTTCATTCCTCTCTTTACCCCCAACCCACCAACCTAAAGCGCTTTCTATTGGAAACAGACACGTCTCCCCAAACCATCACTGGCATTAGGCTGTCCTCAACTAAATGTCAGCGCACACACAACCAAGAGATATTCACAAACACGTACGGACACGAACAAGAACATGCGGAAAGCAGGAGATGCACGCTGGCACAGAAAAATGCAACATATCTTATGAGAGAGCTCTGACACTGGAGCAGAGTGACAGTCCTGTTGGAATGGTTAGATATTCAGCATGCACAGTCAAACCTCTGGTCCAATATGGTCCCGTTCCATGATGCTACACAATCATACAACTGGAAATAAAAAGCTGCAATAAAAACAAACAAACAAAAACATCACCCGCTGGAACACAAAGAAGCCCTCTAAAGCTGAGCATAGACGCTATAGCTTTGCAAGAATAGCAGCAACAGTGACTGAAGCCCAAATGTTCAGCTTCAGAATGCATTATTCACCGCGGCGGACTTGCGGGTCATCCATGTGAAAGCCTTGTGCAGCCAGGTCATTTCTGTCAACTTCGGGAAAACAATTATGCCGAGGATACCTTGCGGGCAGGAAATCTGGGATTTATTGCTCGGAGGTGACATAACATAGACGAAACTGAGGTTTTAACGTTGAGTCAGCTGGATCAGACAAACAAGCGCACATCAGCCACATCGCGCACAACATGACAGCTCAGGTCTCCCTTCCACCGGAACGGGCTCATATTTAGTCGTTTCCAGCTCCTTTCGCACTTTTCCGATACAAGCAGTGCACACATGATGGATCTCCCTTAATGATTCAAAGAAAACGAAGTTAACTGTTCGCAGCCAAACCTCAGCGGTGTGGCTTCACTGTTAGAAAAACAATAGACTTACATTCATGGCTCCAGCTCGCGTGGCACAAATAACTGTAATCCAGAGGGGGGGAAACTGAGGGGAAACGTTAACACTGTCTCTGCAAAAACATTTCGAAAAACACATTTCTGTCTGTCGCTTGTAAATAGTCCCGGGAGGAAGGGCCACTCCGGAGCCGCTACAACGCCATTGCGGGCGGAGGGTGATGCTGCTGCCGGTTGCACAATAGGGGTGTCGGTGCGGTTTGGCAGCTCAGCTCACGGAGAGCTGCGTCTGCGAGGCGGAAGCCCACGACGTGCGTGTGCGTGTCCACGGCGCGGAGCGGGGCACGTTCTTGCGGCCGTGGCAATCGGCGCGTTTTGAAGCGCGAGGCGTCATGTGACAGGTGCTAAAAGCCCGAACTGCGGCAGTGGTTCGGTCCGATAATCTGCTGCGCGGAGGGGCTCCGGGCGAGACGCAGTCAGGCGTAAATACCAGCACACGGCAACTGGAGCCCCGTGGGCTGCTCGGTGCTCAGCACAGGGCTTTGGGTGGGGTGGAAAGGGTCAAGGACCATACTGATGCTGTGTGATGTGAGTCCAAATGAGGGGTTCTCAAAGGTTGGCGTCCGGGCCACTGCACGGTCTTTTGAAGTTTAAAAGCTCAGTGCTGCGTGGAGGTGAATTCAGGCAGTATTTGGTTACTTATCCTCCAAGTACACCATGCTACTGGTTTCTCTGTTTCTTCTTGTCTGGAGGCCAATTATTTCCACATTTGAAATAGTGTGAGTTAATGGTTATTTTGATCTTCCAGAGTTGTTCCATTGACCCATGAACACAATGATTTTACATCACGATTCTAAAAACACATAATAAAAGTGATGCTGTGTAATATAACAGTGTAATTTCCTTCCTAAATGACATTACATGTTTAGTACATTCCCCTTTGACCGTGTTTCTATACATCTGCAACACCTCATTTGTGGGCCTTTCATTCCCAGCTCTACAATACAGGCCACATGGTTGTGAAGAGAAATATACTTTAGAAAGAGTTATTTAAGCCATTACTAAAACTGAGATTGACAATGAGTTCAGAGTTGAACTCATTGTGACTGACACACATTGTGCAGTACGTACACATGCAGCTGGCTTGTTTTTTAACAAAAACAACAGGCAATAAAATGTTTATCGGGATAAATTGAATGTAACAAAACCATTTGGATGTAAGGCTACGCCATAAACACTAGCTCACTCGTCAAAAAAAGACATTTCTAGATCTTTTATGTTTTCTAGACTCTTTCCAAGAGCTCTTTTACAGCCCGTATTAAGAAGGATCAGTTTAGACGTTTTGACCAGCTATCGGAGTGAAAACCCACCACAGGACTGAATTCATGTGATAAAACACGAGAAAAAGGGAAGCTTTGTTCAAGTCCAAATGCGTGATTATGTTCACAAACAGCTCTAAGTTATTCAACTGATTCAGATGTGTTATAATAGATGGCTTTGTTGCTTACACACGTACTGTCATAAGCACAATCTGAAAATATGAACAATTATGGAGAAGCCATAACACCCCGGGAGAAACTCCATAATTTGATCCCATTTCAATTAAAAATAGATGATCATTTGTTACAAATGGATGGGTGAGTAACAGAATGAATCTTGTATATTTGCAATTAAATTACGTCAGGCATTTGAACTTCATTTTAATTGCTGTGTTTTCATAATTATTATTTGTGGTCATGTAATCTTCAATATTATACAACCAGCTCAGAACAATGTCCGCTCTCTGCTAGCAGGAGTGCTTTGGATATGTATTCCTTATTGTACAAAGAGCTGCACCAAATAAACTATGATATATCATGTTAGTTGATATCAAATTTTTCAATTAACTAATTTAAAAAACTGACATTGTGCTCCCTCCATATGTTAAGCTCATCTTACCGCTAAGAAGGGAAACCAGTTAGCATCTTTCCAGTTTACTGCTGAAATTCTTATATATTTGACACTTTGAAACTCATATGGTGAAGGAAATACTGGACTGAAATTAGTCATTGGTCAGAATCATGTTGGACACGTCTAATAACCATCTCAGCCAGTAGCCTAAAAAAATTGCTTTCTCTGAACTTCATTTCTAAGTATCAGGGTGCCTTTGCAGATATAGCGATCGCTGTTATACAATCATACCCAGTCCAAACACAGGCTATGAGAAGATTGTTGCTAAGCAACCTAAAAATAATCTTAAGGGGATAAGGGAGGAGGTAACTGAAGGAAGTAGCTACACACTGCAGAGCACAGTGGAGGCATGGCATCATGCTGATCGCCACAGAAGCAGCCAGGGATTCAATGTTAAATAAAAAAATGATCAAAAATAACCATTCAGTGACCACCGTTAGCATGTTAGCCAGAATTAGCAGACTTCTCTACTAGATCAAAGAGCCATGTTAGTAGCAGTATCAAGGGAGTATGGAAGATGAATTAAGGGTCTGAAGCCCTTTAGCGGATCTGACTGGGAGCCAGGAGGGGCCAAAACATGACCATCTGTCCACTATGACTGTCCCTGCAGGAGGTCTGGACAGACTGGAGCAGACTTTCAAAAGGAGCTCTTGCCCTCTTCCAGTTGCACGCAGAAGGTCAAGCTGTGGTCATTCGACGGCGTGTCTGTTATTTAGGAGGTTCTGTATGTCTGATCCCTCACTTAGAGGCATGACTAAGACCAAAAGTATTCATAGAGGCCAGTAAAACTACAGGAAAGGGGTGTTTTGGGGAGAAACAAAGCATCAAAGGTACTCGAATAATGGCAGTCAGATTATAGAAAGGAGGTGCTATGAGACAAAATAGTCTGAAATACATCACAGGGAGGCATCTGCTAAAGGCTTTTCGCCCCTTTTCCACTTTACATCATGTTGTGCCCGTTTCAACGAGACAACCATCTTTTTCCATCCAGATGTTCAGCCAATGAGAGGTCGTGCTGATTCCAGTGAAGGAAGGAGGCGGAGGAAGGAATGCAGCAGGATGCTCATTATTATGGCTGTCAAACCGACTGGCGACTAGATAAAACAACCTTTCTGATGTGAGATTCACGAGGATGGTTTGCACCATGTCCGCTGCAGCTGTCGCGGTATGGATTGGAACGGGTACGTATCGATTTAGCTGGAAAAAAAACCTGTCGTCGTTTCCACCGCTTCGCCTTTGATGCAGACTCCGCGCTAGCTAGCTAGCCAGTTAGCTCGTGGCCGTTTAGCCGCTCGGCTCATTTTTTCCCCCTAAAGGTTGAGGAGGAGACGTGGAAAAATGGCTACCAAACTGACAGCTCGAACGTTACGGGGACGGCCTGAGGAAAAGTATCACAGCATAGTTCAGAATTAGTTTCCCACTTTACCTTACGTTCATGGTAAGAGATGACGATAACGTTGGCACTCGTGTTTGGCTCGTTAACGGTTTCAGACCACCAGCTGTTTTGCATGAACCCCTTAATTACATGGCAACCGTGTGTTTGGAGGCTCCAGTTATCTTTGATAGCTGCCCCTGTTCACACACTTCTTGCATAGTAATAGCATCCCATCGATCACGGCTGCTTGTCACCGGCACACACACGTTACCCGTTTATGAAGAAAACGTAGAGTGGAAAAAACTGTTTATTTTCATGCCCCTGCGTCTCCATGACAACAGTTAATGTTTAGGTTTACCACAGCTATTTTTTGGTCTGAGCAATGCCAATAAAATAGTTTTTTTAAGCACTTCGAAACTCAACATTAATTATCACTTCACTCTGGTTTGTGACCTTTCCAGACATTAGGGTTAGGGGTTAGTTAGCTTCCAAGGGTCGCTCAAGCAACAAAGGCAACCAAGTTCTTATTATTTAGGAGAATCAAATGCATCAGATTGTCTTGTTTGTTTGTTTTTTGTATTTTTTTAATACCCAGATACACATTCCCAGATGGTGAAACAATGACAGTCTTGTGCTCTGTTTTTCAACCATTCATAATATCCTGTTTATCAATGTAGAAATTCACATATTCACTCGGGTCAAATATCTCTTTTTGGACACTGGCTTATGTTTTGAAGAAAGAAGAAATAAAGAAAGTCCTTATGATGAATAATTCTTAAATTCTTTGGTTTTGTATTTAGGTTAGAAACATCCTGTTTTCAGCTTTTAACTTTGCGAGAAATTATTTGACGAACTAGTTACTGATTTATCTGGGAGATGTTGAGCTGAGCTTTTTTTTAACAATTTTTTTTATATTAAAGTTTTGTGTGCAGCAAAGCATTGCGTCATAATGAAAATTTCTCATAAATAACAAGAAAACGCAAGCAATTGTTATAAACGTTGGATTAGCTCACAGACGGATATATTGTATTATCGTTGTTCACTTTAAAAACACTAGCAAGGGCTACTGTTCAAAAGCCTTTTAAACACTCTTGTTGCATTCTTCTGTTCATTGATCCAGTAGCTTACATTGTGCATGCCTATGATGTGACACGGCGCGTGTTACATGAGAGAAATGCCCTTATGGAGCAATCCATGGCCTTGAAGCAGAGAACAGCCTTTTCAAAAGATGGTGAGTTGGTGTGTGCAGCGAACCACTTAATGTGTTGACCCGTTACCCCTTCCCCCCCCTCGTCATAACCCAGTGATATGCTCAGCCGGTTCCCCATTAATACTTGCATTATTGTTTGTAGCTATCTGCTGGACCCACTTTCTTAGCAATAGGCTGAACACAATCTTATCTAATCTCACCCTTGATAGAAGTAGATTCTGATTTAACTGTGAGAGAGTGGGATGATTCCTGTGATTAACACATTAAGAGCACTTGCAGTAATTATTAAAAACTAAGATGACAGAACTTTTAATGAGCGTATAGTAAATACATGTGTTTCTTACCTTTTAAATACGACTTGAGGATCAAAGTGGTTGATTCGTGTCGTGTTGACAGTGCCTGTTGCCGTCTGTGTGTCGCAACACCACCTACTTTCACTTCCATGTCTCAGTTTAGAGTAACCAGGCTCAAGCTCATCACAGGCGGAATACCAAAGCCTTGGTCACAAACAGTGGCTATCCTTGTTTTCTGTGCTTCCCCACTCAGCACCAAAGAAGCACATGCATTCCTCCTGACCCGGACTGCATGTGCAGTATGGAGCCGATTCATCAGAACTGAAGGACATGCTTCCCTTTTTTCTGCCTCTGCTTGTTAGAGGCCTCAGTATGCTGAAGCCATTCATGTGGTTCAGTCTCTTAATGTTGGCCACAGCATTTTTAACCCTTAAAAATCACGGTGGTGGAGTAGAGCACGCCAGGGTCACTCCACCGCCAGTCCAAGGTCACTCCAGAAATGCATATCTGGTTAGCCATTTTCACCATTTCCAAGGTCTGTTAGTGCTCTACCATGTCATAGTTTCCCTGTGCACACGTCCTGTCCAGATTTATTGCAACCGTTTCAACTGGCAGGAAGAGAATCCTTCCATTGTGAAAACAGTTAAATGAACGTCCATTTTTCTGTGCCATGCGGACCGAAGCTGAGGGCAGCCGGTCCTACTGCTGTTTAGCATTAACCTTTAATCGGTGATGTATTGTGTGAGTGTGCTGGAGGTGCTGTGGCTCGTCTCCAGAAAGCCGAGCAGAGTCATCCTGCCGCAAATAAGCAGATTTGATGCTATAAGCAGATCTAAAGTGTAGCTTAGTCACTGATCTTTATTTACACTGGCTGCTCTCTTATTGGGTGTGACTAAAAAGGTTAAGGTGAAACCCATGCAAAAAAGGAATCTGCAAATGGGAAAGATTTACATAGATTTTTAAGAGTAGGATAGAATCCTTAATTGGTAATTTCAATATTGATTGGTGGAACCTCCTTTGGGACCCTGTGGGTTGTCCTTTAAAGCCTTCGAGGACGCCTCCTGGGTTCACTGAAATAGTGTTCCTGCCCCATTGTCTTCACCCGGTTGAAAAGGGTCACGCCACATACGGCTGGCCTACGAATAGGAGGCAGCAGCCCCGTGTTTAACCTTTGGGGGTTAAAAATTGTCATTTGTGTAACGAAGCATTGCCGAAGCCCAACGGGCCAGTCAATAAAGAGCAAGTGTGTGAATCACAGCGCAGATCAATGGAGGTCCTTGCTTAGGAATTAGTGTGCTGAAACTAAATCAGCTTTTTTTTATTTCCGGTGTCAGACTAACCCAGATCCTAGTGTCCTGGGTGCGGTGGCTGCAGCTCAGACAGCCGTCCTGTGGAGGAGTCTGGCCCCAGGTGGTTCCTTGAGAGGAGACGTGGTGGTTATAACCTCAGGTGGTTCGGGAGCCGCCACGTCCAGTGGCCTCTAAACGCTATTGATTGGATCTGGCTGTGACTGGGGCCTTGGGGACCTCGGACATATGGCGAGGTCAGCGTCTGTGCTGCCGGCTGCCGTCCAGTCCAACAAACGCGTGAGGCGGATTTTTAACACCGTGGACGTTATTCCTCGTTGTGGATCTTAATCTAACTGGGTCACCTGGTCTTCTCTACCACCTTTTTGGATCTGTTCAATTATTAGATGACAGCAAAACAGACCGTGGCGACTTTTCTTTTCATGGGCAGATTAAAATGGAAATGCAGCCTTCAGTGGGCTCTCTGTTGAAACCAGCTGCTGCTTCAGCCTCACAGTGCAGAAGCAGACAAGTGCTGCAGTAATGACACGAGGACAATGATGGCGTGAAGACAAAAGTCAATTACGAGAGAAGTCGGGAGAGCGTTTAATCCATTTAAGGCATATATACACACACTGTGTTTCCCAGGCTCTTTCCAGGCTGCAGTAGTTGTTTCTGCAGGCGAAAACAGATCAAACTTGCTTCCTCTCCCCCGCTCTCACATCACAGCACAGATCTCCTGTCCCTCTGTGCCCTTCCTCCTCCTCCTCCTCTTCCTTGTACACTCAGTCTCCCATGGCGATTAAAAATGGAGTTCCGCCCACTGTGGAGGAGCGAGGGGTAAAGCACATGCACAGAAAAAGGTGAGAGCATAAAAATGTGCTGCAAAAAAAAGTCTGCCAGCTAACAAGTCGACTATTTATAGAGTAGGCAAAATGTGTGTGTGAGGGCTGACAGTGAAGGCACAAAAAGAGGAAGAAACGTGGGTGTAACACCTACAGCCTTACTGTGTAGACTTCTGTGAAGGGGCCACCACTTTCCAGAGATGCCTCTCACCAATAAAGTCTAAATGTGCGTTTGAAGTGGAGTGGGGCCGCACACAGAGCATATCGGAGCGAGAGCGGGGGGAGGGTAAAAAATGGAGCTCAGCACAGTCTGAATGACTCATTACTGCTGCTCAGTAGTCCTTTGTAGCAATTTCTCCTTTCCATATCCAAAATGCAGTCTTGCTGGAAACTAATCATTTGAGTTTTCCCCTTCTCGCTTTCCTTTTGTAAAGCTACCCAGTTGGCTAATATACACCCCCCCCCCACCCACCCCCGCCCTTCTGTGGCACTGCCACTAGGTTATTAAATGATGAAAAACATACTCAGAATATGAAAAGTAAAGGAATAAGTTCCCCACTCGTTCGTCTTTCTGTTTCAGTGGTCACCATCCTGTCGAGGTCGCACGCAGAGCGGAACGTCTACCCGTCCGCCGGCGTGCTGTTTGTGCACGTTCTGGAGAGGGAGCACTTCAAAGGAGAGTTTCCTCCCTACCCCAAATCAGGTGCAACACCATCACATAGACTTTTCCCCAGCAGTGAGGAGAGAGATTTTTCTGTAGATAGAAATGCTGCGCTGGACGCGTTCGTTCGTCTTAATAAGTCCAAATGTGGCTTTTTCAATTGGCGCTGACCCACAACGCACTGTTGCACCGCTCCCCTCAAACCGCTCTGCCCCGCAGGGGACGCCAGCAGTGACCCCATCACCTTCAACACCAACCTGATGGGCTACCCGGACAGGCCGGGTTGGCTGCGCTACATCCAGAGGACCCCGCTCAGCGACGGGGTGCTGTACGGCTCCCCCACCGCGGAGCACGTGGGCAGGCCCACCGTCATAGAGGTGGGTGCCCGGAGCGCGCTCAGATTTATGAGTGCTGCAATTTCTTTTTGAGAGAAAGAGCTGTAGCAGCAGCTGTAAAGTTCTAGCCCTTCAACTGTGGATTTTCATCGTACTGATTACAGCAGATCGATTGTGGTTAGTAGACCAGCACCATGATACACTTGGCGTCTTTAAGTCTAAAAGTGTCCCCCCATAAGCTACTGTATGCATTCCTTTCCCAAAAGGCTTAAGATGTGGAAATGGGCTCATGCGGCTCTATATGGTGCCTCAGCTGGTTACAAAACCCGCGTGGTGTACGGAGGAGGGCCGCGGCCATATAAGCTGCACTGATCGGGGCTTAAACTTTCACCCCTGTGTGTTGCAGATTACTGCCTATAACAGACGCACGTTTGAGACGGCACGGCATAACTTGGTCATAAACATCATGGCCACGGAAGGTAAGAGGCGCCAGCCCGGAGATCAGACTGTGCAACGGCGCCGATTAAATCTTTAGCCCGCGTTCTGTGCTTGGAATGAATAACGAGCCTCCCCCTGCAGAAAGTGTTGCCTTTGATTACTTTTATTGGCCACGGATGATCAATATTTGTCTAAAGAACATTGTATATGAGATGAAAGTTCATTCTTAGCCTTTGAATGAAAAAAAATTACCAATGAGCCGCACTACATGCACACAGCAGCTGCTCTGAGCACATAATCTTTATGAGCAGATGTTCTTGGAACTTCCTACAAGTGCTCTGAATAAAACAGCATCAGTTTAGAGCAGCTTTGACTAGCGAGGCTTTGGTGACACGATCAAAAGCTTTACAAAATAACTGAACAGAAACAGTTCATCATCAGTCAAAGCCCGGCGTAAAGGTCGACCTTAAACAAAGTTCCAAAGTGTACCGTTTCCTTTCTTTAGATATGCGCTTCTTTCATTAGACTTTTTATTTTATTTAAATTTGCTCTAAAATAATTTAAGGCAAGGCAACTTTATTTGTATAGCACATTTCGTGTAGAAAACAATTCAAATGGCACTGACACAAAACTATCTGGATATAAATGTACTTAAAACGTCATGTGCAAATGCAGCTTAATAGCCAGAAAAAAAGGGATAGGAAATAACACGAGGAGCGGTCTGAACTTGCGTAAAAAAGTGGGAAACTGTCCCGCTTTATTGCTTTTTGAGTTCCGACCGTTTCCCCCCTCCTCTCTCCCACCGCTCGGCACACGTGTGTGTGTGTGTCAGCCTTCTACCTTGTTGACCAGTCACGCTACATGCGCTACAACATCAGCCGAGTCGGGGAAAAGCTCAGCAGCTGTTCGCAGCCCTAATGTGACATCACTCTCGCTCTGCCGTGATGTCATCTGCCATCTGGCAGCAGGGGGGGCTCAAAGCCCCGCAGAGCACGGCAAACACTCCCCCACACAGAGAGGACAGGCGGGAATGTGTCCAGAGTGATAACGATGTCACCAGATTCCCCTCCCTTCAGGTTTATGGATGTTACCGCCCCCCAACCCCCCGTTTTTCTTCTTGCACAGAGTTCCCGCTGCCTTATCAAGCTGAGTTTTACATCAAAAACATGAACGTGGAGGAGATGCTGGCCAGCGAGGTGCTGGGGGACTTCCTGGGCGCAGTGAAGAACGTTTGGCAGCCAGAACGGCTCAACGCCATCAACATCACCTCGGCTCTGGACCGCGGCGGCCGCGTGCCCCTGCCCATCAACAACCTCAAAGAAGGGTGAGGGTCTGGCCCACATTTAAACAATACGTAACGTCTTTTTTTACCACAACGTTGACCCTTAGAAACCAAAGTAATGCTGAGATTCACGTGGGGTTTACCTGATGTTTAACCCCTTAATCAAATAAAAAAAATAATAACCTCTTTGCTTCTATACACCAAAGAAATAATCTGTAATTCTCCAGTCCATTCATGAGGAGCCATTCCAGGGTCATAATGTTTCTATTTCAAAGTAAAAGTAACTGCTTTGTTTTGACTTAAATTCTAGGTTTAAAAATGGCATATAAACATTTTGTTTTCTATTTAGAATACTTGTTTCAAATTATTGAACATTATGGCACTAAAATGGCTCCAGCCTCTCCTCCCTTTGTTCCAGTCTACTTAATCTCTGCGTTTGGATCCTCAGTTCAGTGTAAAATAGATTAAAAGCCGTGTAGTGACACACACTTCCAGTTCATCAGTCTGAATGGGAAAAGCCCCTTTGAACTACCACAAGCTGTTCATCAAACACAGTTCAGTTGCTTTGGAAGCTGAAAGCTTTTAAAAGGAGGAATACTTTGAGTTCACAAGCATCTTTGTCTCTTTTTTTTTTTTGCTTTCCGCTCCCTAGCGTTTACGTGATGGTGGGCGCAGACGTGCCCTTCTCATCATGCCTGCGGGAGGTGGAGAGCCCCTACAACCAGCAGCGCTGCAGCCAGGAGATGGAACCCGTCATCACCTGCGACAAGAAGTTCCGAGCTCAGTTCCACATTGACTGGTGTAAGATTTCCCTGGTGAGGATGCCTCTTGAACTGATGCACCACGATTTCTCATACTGGGCAAAATGTGAATTAAACAGCAGTTCGCTTTAGTTCTGCGTGTGCTTTTGAAATAAAGCTTTTCTTTTTTTAAAAAATCTCTTTTTAAGGTTGACATAAACAAAGTAGTTCCAGTCTACATTACCCGTCCTGACCCTGGCACGGGGATCCTGCCTGAATTCGGCGAGTACAACCCCCCGTCTGAGTCTCTAAGGAGCCGGGACTACTTCTCAGACTTCCTTATCACGCTGGCCGTTCCCTCCGCTGTGGCACTAGTCATCTTCTTCATCCTCGGCTACACTATGTGCTGCAGACGGGAAGGGGTGTAAGTGTGCTTGGATTCCTACTTTTGCGCCAGTATTGCACCCTAAATATTTTTCATTGACGTGTTTTGAGAAATGAGAGGGACCCGTTAGGAGCAGCTTAGAAATCTGGACCGGAACCTGCAGCTTGCCATTACCATCTCGTAGTCTAGTCCATTTATATTAAGTTCCTCATTGTTAATCGTCACAGGGTTCTACTGATGTTGTCACATACATCCTTCAGCCGCAACATCAAGGATCATTCATCCATCTTCTTTCATGGTTTACAGGCTGGGAGAAAGGTGTCCCCCGGTTTACTCAGTGTCCCACCCCATCTCCACCCTGTCTCTATGCAACAGTCCATTCTCATGTGTGTGCATATTGCTTCAGCTATTGATATTAGTATTTAATTCATCCATTTTGTTTTGTTCCTAGGGAAAAAAGAAACATGCAAACACCAGAGTAAGTGTTTTACCTCTCCTGTGTTCCCTTTTTCGTTTTGGGTCTTTTTCTGTCCCCTCACCTCTACTTTTGGTTTGCGGTATTATCATTTATGTCGTCATTAATGGCTGCTTCATGCACATTCATTTGCTCTGATGTGTCACCATCCATTCATCCAGTGGGCTGCTGAAAAATGGGAACCACCAGCTGCAGGGAGATAACGCCGTTAGTGATAAAAGATAACTTTCAAAGCGAATAATTTGGGAGATTAACGACACGCGCTCAGAAATCAGAGCGATAACGAGGGTAGACATTAGATTTCTGCTGTGCATGCACAAAAGTGAGCGCAGATCTCTTCGTAGGATGAGATCAGTCAAGGCAGTACACCCAAAACGCGCTGCTGTACAATTCACCGCTTCTCCGTCCTCCAGCATCCAGCTCGTTCACCACAGCTCCATCCAGAAGTCGTCCAAGGAGCTGCGCAGCATGTCCAAGAACCGCGAGATCTCCTGGCCCCTGTCCACCCTGCCCGTCTTCAACCCGGTCAGCGGCGAGGTGGTGCCGCCCATCCACCCCGACAACTACGAGACCACCAGCATGCCTCTCATGCAGACACAGGCGTGAGTCAGGGGGGGTGGCGGGGGGGAAGACACACTCACACACACCCAACCGCACTCATGAGAACCGCGTCCAGGCTAACCAGCTAATCCCGTTCCAAGCACGTTTCAACCATGTCATGTTTGGTTAGTCCCAGAAAAGTTAAGACGGCAGCTTAGTGGTTTTAAGCCGTCCCGTGATTTTCTTTAAACTGGTTTTAAAGCGGGAGGAAAAAACAAGAGTAACATGAGAACAATCGGCGTAGCACATGATTCTGCCAGTGTCTTTACAGAAATGTCCTTGTTGCTGCTTTTCAGGAATCTGCAGAACCAGATCACGATACCACAGCAGCGACCATCAGGTTTGTGATCCCTTCAGTTTGAGCTCCTCCTACTGCTGCATGCTTTAAACACAAAACGTCGCTTTACCCCCTGTAAGTGGCTGCATGGAGCTGCACGTTTCTGTTTATGCAGCAATGCTTTTGCTTTCATTATTAATGGTTTCCTTTTTTTACTTTTAATTTGCTGAAGCAAACCACATCTGCAGATAACAAGTTATCACATGCATGCAAAAGTGTTTACCGTCTTCAAACAAATTGACTTCATATCTTTAAGTGATGCGATGGAGTATTAATACCGTGGCTTTTCTGTGTGGTTAACAACCTGTCCCCTCTGCATTGTGGTAAGAAACGCAAGCTTCCATTCCCGTTTGTGAACATCTGCATGAGACGTGATGTCGGTGTGTGAGCGCCCCCCTGTGAGCATGACGACCAGCTGCATGAGGCACTAACCGACTGCTCTCTCTGTTCACTGCTAACAAAGGAGATAATTATGTCATGTCAACGTTCCGGAGGCTGGAGGTAGGCACAGCTGTCCGCAAGTTTACGTACCCATGATTCACGTTGAGCGTCTTTTCACCTGTAGGTTCCGTTAAGCGCAGGCGAGGCGTTATAAGCCTTTTCTCTTTTTCCATTTGTTTTTCTAGGTAAATGGTATTCCTGAGGAGAGAAAGGTTGCCGAAGCACTGAATTTATGACCAGAAACGCCAGTGCCAGAGCTGCCTTTCCACACCTTTCTGTTTGTGTTCTAACATACGTGCCAAAATGCATGTCTCAAAAGTTAGATTTTTATCGTCCATTTGCACTTAAACTTTTAATCAGTTGTGATGGAGAACTTTTGTTTGAATATTTGTGTGTGTTAAATATATGGCTAATATGATTCCATCTCTATTGGCTTTGCACAGTGGGTCTGGTCTGTAGGAGGGATTTACGGTTGTCATGTGTTATTTTTTTATGTAACATGTCACATGATAATAAATCCTTTTTAACTCGCTTGTCCCAAAAATAATCACAACACTAATGTTGTCTGAAGATTTTTCTTTTGCCTGAAAAAACAAAAAGGCGCCAAAACAGCAAATCTTATGAAGGTATTTTAACAACGTACAACAGAATAACGGCATTTATAAATAATATGAATACATTTCACACTTCCTAAGACATGGAAAAAAAATTTAACTTTAGAATATTTCAAAGAGGTCCTGCACTGGGGTATAAATAGTTGTTGCTTTTACACGATCAACAAGATCAATTAAGGCCTCAGAAATCGCCAAATTTACTGTTTCACTATGGATCAGCAACAGATGAGGAAACGGGTAAGTATATATATATTTTTTTTTTTACATCAAAGGAAATGGTACTATGGAAACACCATTATTACCTATACAATGAAGTGCTGAATTAGTTTACTTGGCTTCCACTGCAGCAACCCAAACTACATCACTAGTAAATAACTATGAGGGAAGCTTCAAAAGCTGCAGACAGATTGTGCTGTGACAAAAAAAAAGGAACCACATTTTCTTTTTAAGCTACACAAATAAATACACGATTGACACTGCAATGCATTACTAACGTAATATGCAACTCAAAAGTTCATATGCAACACAGCTTTAATCGCGCCATATGTTTTATATCTGCAAATGACTCTAAATATCTTATTAAACCAGAACACGAGTGCCAAAGTGCACCGAGGACTTTGGCCGTTTCCGCATTAAGCTAAATTTAAACACTGTCTTCCAACTCTGACATGGAATCGGATGGTGGGAATGCAAATCTTAAAAATCAAAGTGCTCTCTATTTTTTTTCTCTCACAAATCTGAGTATGCACGGGCAGATAGTTGCCTTTGCATTTCTGCAGCAGTAGCGTGTCTTCAGCTCACTCAGTGCATTACCAAAAAGTGGTCTCAATGTTGTCGTGGTCCTAAAGCAAAGTGCCTAAACGTGGCTACGTGAACGAGCCAAAGAGAGAGCAATACGCTTCTTCATGTTTAAAGGCATTCGAAAAACTAAAAAGAAATCCTCTCACTCATCCACTCATCTAAGTTCACAGGCTGCGACCGCACAGGAAGGACTCGCACTCAGCCAATACTCCTATGGCGCAATAGTATGTGCAAGGTGGTGCATTTTCCAGAGCCACGATGGCATGTTTGGACTGAAATCTAAGGATAAAATCGCTGCAGAAGCATTGATGTACAAAATAAATCTTTCACTCTATCATACAAATGTACATGAACGAGGAAGCGAGCCACTACGAGGACCGACAGCTATGTGACTGAGAGGCTCAACCTCGTCTGCCAGATCCTGGGATGGTACAAAATCACCTCTGTAATACTTTCTTCACAAACAGCAGTCATGGGCACAAAGTACAAAACCAAAAGCCAAGAAAAACAGAATGTATAAAATATAAGCTTAATTTAAATCATTAAATACTGTACAAGTCACATGTCTTTTAAGAGCTACAGTAGGTGACCACAGATCCTTTTGTACATTTCTAAAATTACTCACAAAAAACAACAAAATGAGTCTAAGATAGTCCCACATTTTTAACCACTGAACTCCAAAATGTTTCCTTTAGCCATGGCGCTGCTCGGTCATCCAAGCTCGGCGGTCCGTAGATATACGATCTCTGGTTCTGGCCTTCAGCTGCTACTGCCATGTGGACGGAGAGCCACCCCCCCCCCCCCTCGCGCGACCGAGGGACGCCATGACGGGACTGACGGCACGTGAAGACGAAAGAGTCCGTTTGGCTAAACATGAGGGATGTCGCAAAAAATTCACAGCAACCGCAACGTTTTGAAATGAGCGAACCTCTTCTGACGGACCTCCAAGTCCGGAAACCAACTAATGTAAACATTTGAGAATGCTTTTTGTCCTGCAGTTCTGCTTCTGCAGTTCTGCCTTCGCCCTGAAAGGAGCAATCCCTCGTTCAAGCTCGTTTTCTTCTTCTTCTTTAGGGTTTTTCAGCAGTCGGAAAAGCACAGAGGCTGTTGGAACTTGACTAACAGACGGACAGACACTGCTCTCTCACAGGTTAGCTCTGGAGTGGTCTCACCTGGAGCTAAAAACGGCCAGACTCCGACTCGGGGCTAGAACTCAGCTCAACCCCGCAGTGTCCTTTGCCACCAGGCGTCATCCTTCAGGCCCCCGGTGTGAGCTGGCTGCCCCTGGAAAGCGCCAGTACGACCAGACTGAGGAGTCCCGCGGCTCCCAGTCTCCTCAGCAGGGCCATGCTGTCTTTGGGGATGACCACCTGGGCCAGGTCGTTGGTGATGAGAGACACCTCGTGAGCCACGCAGACAAAGATGAAAGTGCTGACCATAATGTTGAGGGAAGGATTTCCTGGGATGAGAACTAAAATTCCCTTGGTGTCGGCCGCAAGCCAGATGTGATACTGGCATATAAACAGCTGGGGGAGACAAAGAGAGCATGTTAAACGCGTCTCCGGGGAGCTGAAAACATCTGCTGGTATATAAAGCCTTATGTGACTTATTGTGTCACGTCAACTCCATCTCTGCATACTGTTTGTTTCAATTATCATTCCACAGCACCTTTGCAAAACTGTGTGTAATTTTTAAATGTTACATATAAAAAAGGGCTCTGTGTTTGGGACAGTTTACCTCCAAAGAGATCTTTCCAAACCACGCAAAGAATGAGCTATATATAGAGCGGACGTAGCCGGGGATGTTCCGGATGAGAACAAAGGCCAAAATCTGGAAACAATGAAGATTTCTCAGAGTCAAAAACACAGAGAAATACACAAGAATATGATAACCACAATTTCAAAAGATTTCAGATATATGTAACATGTAGAAGCAGCGTGCAAAGATTTAGCTAATTTTATCAGCCAATGTCTTACAATAATAAAAAAGGGAAAGAAATAACACAAAGATTACAAAGTATATCAAACAAGATAGGACTGCAATCCAAAGGGTGCAAGAGCTTGGTAAGCATGCTGTTGCTCCATCATTTTTAAGACATCCATGAATCAGCAATGTTTTCTATCTATTATAAATAAGATATTTGGTTTAGAAGATTTGCCGATTTGTATTTTTTAAATCTAAAAGACATTAAGTTTAGACAGTTTGTTTGTTGATGGAAAGGAACGCCCTTGTTGTGGCACACAAATGACCCAGTCTCATAAATCAAGATAATGTTATCTTAACCTTAAATGCTGAGGCTTTCTCTAAACACACCAACAGGCTTTTGATGAATCCAGCCTAAGTGGATTAGGAAACCCCATTAAAGTGAACGCATTACTTTTATCAAGCAGTGCGATCAACTGTTTCCCTGAACCAACTGTAAGAGGGAGAGTTTAGAAAAGCGGAGAAAAGGGACAAAGGAAGGGTAGATGTACCTGGACAACAGAGACGTAAGGATGCATCTCGTTGCACTCTGCTTTTGTCTTGCAGCTGCTCGCCCAGATTGAATAAGTCTAGAAACAAATCAACGAGAAACGGTAGGTTATGTTTTATGAAAGAGAAGCTCCTTTGAGAATCCAAAGGGGAGGTCAGACCTCAGTTTGACCAGAATATGAGGCCAAATAAAGGAGGAAAAGGCTCTTACTATAAAGGCAACGACAGAGCAGAGGAGGAGCAGGTTGGACATCCTGGCGGGGAAGAGCGCCTCTCCTTTGCCCTCTGACAACACCTGGCGCTTCTGCAGCACCAGGTAGAGGAAGGCAAACACCATACCGTGAATCACCGCCTGCAAAGCAACGCCGGCACATTAACGCAGCTCCAATCACGCAGGAGGGATCAGACACAGCTTAAAAATAATCTATAATGTCGTGTACGTCAGAATTTTTTCTTTATTTTTTTTAACTCGGACTGACATCGTCAATGAGGAAATGCATTTGACTTACAAATCGGTCCAGCTTCCATCTGAACCACCACTCGTGGATGCTTCCGTTCAGCTCAAAGAGCTTGGAGAGGGGCCACGCAGAGAAAGTGCTCTCGAAAAAACCCTGGAGTCACAATGTCAGTGCTTAGCGTGAAGTGTCATTTAGACAATAACCAAAGCATTAACATGAAACACGACTAAAACTAATGGGAGGAAAAATACCTCTGACTCATTCATGATTAAAAAATTCAATTGTTCATAGAAAAGTAAAGGAGCTTTTTCATTAAATGGAACATTCACCCACCTGTGAAAAGGCAAAAACACAGATGAACAGCAGCAGGCTCAGTAATTTAGCCAAAACCACGAGGTGCCACATGCCACTACCTGTTTCATGAGAAAGAAAACAAGAATAAGGCCAGACACTGAAGCTCGGCCTAACACTGCCTCCTACGCTACAGACAGGCATTTTTATTGTGCTTAAGTTAATTTCTCATTGTATTATAAGGGGTATATAATAATATAATGCAATGATAATTTAAAAATTAATATGAGGTGTTTTACACCTACCGTTAGCTTTCTTTTGAAGGATCTGAGGCCACATTACCATTGTTGAGTAGATGATGACAAACCAGAAGGTGACCAAAGGGACAAAGTAATAGAACTGGTATGGTCTGTCCATTACAACACACAGTACAAAGACCAGGAAGTTTAGACGGAACAGCACCTGAGAATGAAGGAGAACTGTGTGATAAAACTCTTCCTGATGGGAAAGCGTAAATGAGTTTGCTCTGCACTACAAAAGGAGGAATAACAGCGTTTATGAGACAGTTAACGTATAACTGAGTAGAACCTTACTTGACACACTCGGTTGAGTCCAAAGTCTCCTTTGAGCCAGAAAAATGAGAAGTGTCCGTAGCCGGTTTGGAACAAGTATGCCGCGACCAGCACCCGCACGTGCATGTAGACTGGAATGAACTGAAAGACAGACAGAAGCTCAGCACCGGTGCGGGCCGTTTGTGCACATCGCTGTGGAGAAGACGCACGCGGGACTCACAGCACTGGCTCCGGATATGTGATAGATGAGGATGACAAGCTGCATCCAGCCTTTCCACTCATCTGTTTGTTCTCTGTTGAGTAATTTGGTCTGTAAAGGTGAAAAAAAGTCATTAAATGACAGGAATTCACAACCTTAAATCATCATTTCTACATCATGAACAGCTGTGTGTGTGCATCATGTTGACACTATACATCATGTTGGGATGCAGATCTGATGCCCGACAACTTTTTAGCATTTTAGTGTTTGATCCACACATCTTTCAAATGATCCTTTACTTTAAAGCTTAGCTCTAATCCTGCAAAATACCATAGCTTTTCCTCCCATTGTTGCAACACCAGTGTGTTGACATCTATCCAAAGAATCTATCCAAAGATGGAGGCGTGTCACTGACCACATCCTGCCATTAACACACACACGCACGCACACACAGAGACAGACTGAGCGCCTTGCACAGAAAGCAGACTGTCTTTTCTCCTATCTCCTATATAATAATGTGACCTTGTGGCTTGAAACTCTCAGTAAATTAATTCTAATTATGACATAATTATCACACTGAGGCCGGCTCCGACTCACCTCCTTACTGTTCTCACTGTAAAACACTCCAAGTACAAATATGTAGACCAATGGGATGAAGAACGTTGAGTGCGTGTAGAACTTCTGCTCTTTCATGAACACATCTGCTCGGTCACAGAGGAAAAAGTAGCCCATGATGATGCCCATCCTGCAGAGCGCCTGAAAAGGCGCCTTGAGTCCAAAGGGGACAGCTGCAGTGGCTGGCTTCTTCTCCTCGAGGCTCTCCACGTCGGGGGGCACAGGTCGGCGGTGGCGGCTGTTGCCAAGGACGTGGAGGATCACAAAGACCACCGCTGAGCCCAGGAAGAAACACGCCGACAGTTTCTGGAGGAAGTTCAGCGGCGGCAGCGTCTGGCAGCAGGATCCGTCGATGGGCTTCAGCAGCTTGTTGCACAGAGAGTTCATAAGGACCATGGCTCCCTGACAGGAGAGTGACAGAGTGGATAAACTGTTCTGCCCATCACGTTGCCAAAATCCTGCTTCTGAAGCAGGAAAAAAAGAAAGAAAAAAGCCCCCCTACCACGTTCCTGGTGCTCTCGGGCAGGTGCAAGCCATCCTCTGACTGGGTAATGGTTTCCAGTGCGGCCTGACGGGACGCTGCCAGCAACTTGACCCTAGATCGGCCATTATACTTGCTGCTGTTGAGCACTTCCACTGCCGCTTCATTATAGAGCTCCAGCTGCTGGTTGGTGATCATCTTCCTGCTCTCACTCAACACGTCTTCGTTCACCGGATCTGCAGGATGAGAAGTTAGAATCTTACATACTGTAGCGGTTGGAAAATGGGAACTTTAGTGCCGACCTGACGTCTAATCCCATTTTCTATGACTGGAGTCATCACAGGACAGTCTGATGCTGCACTGAAGCAGTCAAACTGCCGTGACGGATCACCGTCACTGTCATGTTTCTATTGTGGGCGCTCCTCGGAGCGCGGCTCACCTTGCAGGACCCAGTAAACCTCCCCGTAGTCGGCCAGCTTCTCCAGGTGGGCAGCGATGCCTGTCAGGTTGACTTTGTACTGCTGCAGGGTCTCGCTGCTGCCCCTGTGCAACTTGATAGACCACTGTGGAGACAGACAGAACAGTTCAGATTAAGGCCGACGCAAGTCAGCCAACACCGCGTTTCTCCCACGTAAAACGTTCCCGCGCGGCCAAATATTAATTTGCACGGCTTACTGTTGCAGCTCCAAGGATGACCACATCGGGTTTTGCAGAAGATTCCTGCAACGCACGCGATATGCAGCAATGGTTAAAGCAAAGTCTTGTGTCAAATCCACCTTTTTTCTACCATCTCCTTGATTATTGATGTTCTCCAACCTCTCATCCATACTTATTTTTAGCTCTCACCTGTGTCCATGTTATCAAGCGCTCCTTCATGGAATTGTTCGCCTCCGGGTACCAAAAAAAGTCCTGGAGACATAGAGGGATTATATTTTTAAACCTCCACTCATGAATGTTTTTTTATGTAAGCGCAGGAAAGATAAGTGCACCCAGAAATAGCTCACCACATTAAGAGAGGACCTCTCGTCGTCAAAGGAAATGTCCTCGTGCTTCAAGCATTTCATGTAGAGAGAACACAAATTTGTTAATGAGATACTCTTCCTTTTAGTTCCCCAAGCTTCCCATTATATCAGATCAAAGCATTCCTTCTGAATAGTTACACGGTATCCCATATCTGTGTATTTAGGAGGAAAAATAAAACAGCTGAAAACATTTTAAAAAACATAGATTAAAAAAACCCATTAGTTTTCAGCACTGAGGACAAAGTGACCCTGATGATAACAGTTATCATATTTTCTGGGTTGGAATGGTGCAGATTTCTCTTTATCACCTTGTTTCCATCCTCTCTTCGCTCAGGGTCAATAACTTTGACAAAGGAGTAGAACAGCTGCCTGATTCGTGAGTCACCAACAAAGGCCACTTGTTTCTCTGCAAGGCATGTTTTGGCTTCTCTGCAAGAAAAACAAAAAAATATGGTGAGGAGCAGGAACACCAGCTGAAGGTGGAGAAAGTTCAAAATGTACAGATTAAATTAGCAGTCAGTTTAAAAAGACTCAATTACATTGTTATATTTAGTCACTGTGTAAGTAAGCTCCTTTTTATATTTTATCAGCAGATGTCTCCTATAACCGGATCCGGCCCAGCTAGGTATACCATTGTCTAATCTCAAATATTGACAAATCATGCCACAAAGACATGGTTTCTCAGGAATAAAGAACAGGTTTTTTTGCATATTAGAATAAAAAACAAAAAAACAAGACCCTCCCGGGGCTGCTGATGGAAAAAAAAAGGTTCTAAATGAGGGGCATTTTCTTTAAGAAAAGAAAAGACAGCACAGTTGTTATAAGGCTAATACTCTCCAAAGTGTTCATTATTTTACTGGGTTCCTTGTTCAACAGTTCTGAGGTAAGCCAGGTCATGGTCACCTAATGGTTTGGGCCCAGTTTGCAGCATCGATGTCAGGACAGCATGAATAGTTAGAAATGTGTGAACTGTGCAAATGTTTGGTTTGTCATTGCTGGACTAAAGGGTTATTTCAGACACCGATATCAAAGGTTCAAATTTCTGTTTCAGTCAAATGTGGAATTTTGGATCATCCTCTCCTCTCTTCTGTTTAACCTATGTTGATTACTCGTAATAAAGCCTGATGATAGTTCATACTTATTCAAAAACAGGAGAAAAAAAACTTGAACAGTTTCAAACACCCAGTAATGTCAGTCCTTCAGTGATTGGTTAATGAATTACTAATCCACCCCGGCAGACAAACAAACACACACCCTCATCTTTGTCTCAAACACAGTGTGTGTGACTCACATGCTTTTGTATTTGTGCATCATGCAGCCATAAGGCTGCCATACATTCTCCCCCAGGTAGCGTCCTGTTGACAGCAGCCATTCGCACGAGTCTCCACCTAAAGGCAAACACAGAGAGCTATCAGTGAGTCCAAACGGGGAAAAAAAGCCCTTATCTTACTTTCACTCATGTTTCTCTCCAACGGCCACAGAAAGCTGCTGTGTGAGAGTACATTGCATTTGCTGCACCCTTGTCAAAGAACTATACAATATCAAGCTCTGCGGGGGGGAGGGGGTGGTTGCAAAGTGAAGCCCTCAGCAGTCTAGCTGAGGCATAAGTCACACTGGCTTTTCATTTGTGTGCTAAATGAATGGGGTCGACCTCAACCGAATCAGTTCACAGCCACAGGAAAACACGAGGGGCCTGTGGGCTGGTGACAGACGTGGGCACTTAGTGTCAGTCACAGCGGCTACACTCTGTGTGCACGCTTATCTCTGATGCCTACCCCCCCCCAAAACATCAAACTCTATTCAAAGGTCACGTCATAACAATACATAATATTTTAACAAGAATTAAAAGCACATGCACAAAGTAAGGCTAACTATTCAAATCAACATGTAAAAATTATATTTCGAGAACAATGGCGGCATTTTTAACCCATATTCAAAATGTACCGGTTTGCACTGGATTCTAATATAAGCAGAAGATTTAACCACTTAAATTATATTTGTGTCATGTCTAGTTTCTTCAGAGAAAAAGAGATCAAACAGAAATGCACATTTGTCTCACAGAGAAGCATTTGCATGTCACTGACCTAGAAATTGAAAGCCGAATCATAGCCACACTTAAAGGTAAAATTTACCGCAGACATTAAGCAAACACCTATCCGGAGAGGCACTCTATGAACTGGTGACATAATAAAAAAAATACATAAATAAAGCCATTTTAGTATCTTAAATTAGTCAACGTGAGGGATTCATACTTTAAAATGTCTCTTTTGGGGAAATAACTTTTCAAAGTTCACTTCAGGTCTCTTTTATCATGCACAAAAACACCTACTGGGGGTGAAAACTAACTTCCCTGAAAAAGGTACAGTCAGTTAAAAGTAGCTTTGCATAATTGAGTGTTACAGACACATCATTTTAAAGTCTCTCTCCTTCCTATCACGTTCCATCCAAGTCCACAGCACGCCAGAGGAGCGAGATCTAACCCTCGACTTTATTTACCTGTTTCAATGTTCATATATATATAAGACCTTGAATAAAAGAGAAGCTATGGACCGGCTTCATGTCTGAGTCAGTCGATGGAGGGTCTTTGCATAGCTAACTCTTTGCCTAGCAACACAATGCAGAAATAATGACTCTAGACGGAAAGCAAGCATCTACATTATTGTTACGAAACGCTGTAGCTAAATTATTCATATTCGTTTTCGCTATGCTATTTATGGTTTGACTTTAGTTGTCAAATGATGCCTTCATCAACCCAAACACTGCTTTTCCAGGTGCAATAAAGTGTGCTCTGACAGAGGCATGTAAACACCGTTAGCTTTAAGCGGTTAGCCACTTTGCCGAGTCCACCTGTTCTCCTGGTGGTGGCTCGGTGAGTTTTGCCGATGCGACAGTCTCTCGTGTAAAAGGTTTTATGAATTCCAGGTTTAACAATCAGCCGTTAACTGCTGCCTCGTGCCGAGCTGCACAGAGACGTGCTCGCGAGAGCAAACAGCAAGCTAGCTACCGTTAGCTTGAGCCAAAACGTCCCAGCATCAGGGACAAACGGAAGAACACTTACCTCCATAATGTCGCAAAGCTGCGTGAAACACCAAGAGCAAAATAACAACCACAAGCGATATCAATTTGGCATTTTTTATGGTGAAGTGCTGATTTATTTCGCGTTTCCCCAGGCTATAGGCCAGGACCGCCATCTTTGCTCCTCCATGACAACAAGCCGCTGTGTGGACCAGCAGCGGCGCTCCATCTGTTCGCTCAGCCTCCTGCGACACCGCCTCCTCCTCTTTCGTCGCAGCTGCTGCAGATCGCTGTAACTTTCACAGCGATCCCCCAAAGAGAAAAATACTATCACAAAGTCATAGAAAAGTTGAGAGCCTTATAGCACGTTAAAACGCCTGGTTGAATATATGGATCCAACTAAAAAACCCGGAAGTCCAAGACCTGAAAGGCATAACTATGAGTTGTTTTTCTTTTTTAGTTAAAGTTTCTAGTTTCTTTAAAGTTTCTTTTTCTTTTAGACAGATTCAACGTGGGTGTAGATAATGGATAATTTTTTTTCTTGGGTTTTTACACGGTTTTAATTCTTAAAACTGGGGACATGCCCATTCAAGGCAAAGTTACAAAATTGAACGCACCACTACAATTGTTGACTTTGATCAATCGAAATGAATCTGGATATTCACTTTGAATTTTGTACCACAGTTGCTTTGAGGTCAAACCAACCAGAAAACTGTAAGAATTGAGGTGATCAAATTATTAGAAAGCAGTCCAATTGTACTGAGAGAAAAAACAATGTCTTGCGTTGTTGTAATGGTGGATGCTGGGATTTGACCATGTTGCTCATATCAGGGCTTTTTCTGCCTTAGCTGTGTCATTCTCTGAATCGGAGCTTCACCTGGAGGACAACATGGTTACATCTTGTAGAATGAATGTTTTCTGTTTCCTTTTGCTCTTTATTTAAATCACACCCATAATACACTGTTGGTCATTGTTGACCTCAAATGTATACCATCACTTATAAAGGGCTACCTTATATTATCTTATGTGGAAGCAATCTTCACATAAACAGGATTAAAAAAAGAGCTTTCACAAGTTTTAGTCTCTGATAATGTCCCAAAATACGGATTTTATACAAATATGAATATGGCAAGACATGGTGAGAGACCTGTATGATATTCATTGGTCTGATATGGTGAGTTTTTGGCCCCCCTGAGTCTGAATCAATCCAGTTTGCAAGTATGAGATGGCATCTGGAAAAGGCCACATTGCCCTCTAGTGGTCATGAAGGTGCCATGGCTCTCTTAATGCTCCATTTCTGTTCCATTAACACCGTGCTCAGATGTATATATATTCCCAGAGTTTTTCACAAAGGGAAACAGGAGGAATGCATGATCCTATATAAAGAATATAATGACTATACTCGCATCACTGCAATTCAAGCCTTGATCCAAACCACAGAAATTTATTTGGATGCAAAAGCTGTATAATGCAAGAAAAAAAGCAACATGAGACGAAGCATATTTACAAGAAACAATGCAGTTTAGTAATCACACATTGGCATGGACAGTGTAAACAGAATTTTTTTTATACATTAGAATTGGATCTACTTTTGAAAAGCAGGGTGAATTGGGAAAGTTAATCAAACTATGGCTGAGCTTCCATAATAGGAAGATGTTTAAGTCAATGATGATTAGTAAATCATCAGTCCAAGGTAAAACCAGAAAAAAGAAAATACAGTGACACACCTTCAGTGGTGTCATTAAAACATGAAAGCACTTAAGTCACTGCATAGTGGGTTTTGGAACATTGGACATGCTTTATTTCAGAACTTTTCACAATTTATTTAAACATCTCACATATACAAAATAGGTACAATAGACTTTGTGGTGTCATTGTTTGAGAGAGAAAGGCCGCCGAAAAACCATTCAGAATTGGATGTGAATTATGTGCTGCCAGTATGAACACTGAGAGTGGGACTGGAGGAGGGAAAAAGCCTAAACAAAAACGAAGAAGTTCTTTTAAAAAAAAGAAGAAAAGAAAAAAAACAACAGAGACCAAACAAAATAGAAAATAAAATCAGAACCAAACATCAGATTTTGAAACATTCCACCTGCTTAAAGTGAGGGAGTATCAGGGAGACAAATGGAAGACTCCTTAAAGGTCAATACAAAATAATACAGTAAAAAAAGTGGTTTGCTCCACAGCTGCATATTAGCACCATAGATCTCTGCTTCAAGTCACTGAGCACCTTCCGATATGGGACAAAGCTCGAAGCAGTCTTAACATCTCGGTTGTGGACCCAGGTTTTCTCAATAGTATTTTCTTTGCGTACAGGCATGAGGTAGTTAAAACCTTTTTACTTGGAAATTGTGGTTTTAAACCTCCTCTTTGGAAGATATACAAAGACCACAAAATGATGCATACTTTCAGCATTTTTATTACACTTCTTTTATTTTTTACAAAAAGATGACATGATGTCCCACAACAAGGTGTTTTCCCGCGTCCCTTTGGGTGGCTGTATTAATTTGCATTGCACAAACGCTCCTCTCAGTCCGTTCAGTCCTCTCCGATAGTTGCCCATCTTAAGCAAGTGGTTCGCAGAGAGAAATCAGCATTCAGTATAAAAACAACACAAAAAGGAGGGCAGAGATTTTGGGGGGTTTCTTTTTTTCGTTCTTTCTCTCTTTTTGTTGTTAATTTATCATGAGTCTATTTATTTGAAACAGACTGGGCCAATGTCCAAACCAAACTCCTGTTCAGCTCCACCAATGTCCAAAGGTGCAATGTCGAGGATGGGCAGGCGAGATGGTTTATTTGTTCTGTACTCAATCACTGTCTTGCTCCATTCACCAGTGTGTCTCTGCAATGAAGAAAAACAAGGTTTAAACATGTTCAGCCTTTCTTTAAGCCCAATCATTTCTCCCTCATAAGGTAGTATCGTTTAAAGAAACTGTAGAAAGCAGTTTAAGCATAAAATGAAATCTACTCACAGTGCAGCCATCCTCCAGCACGGAGAAGGTGAAGCGGCTGTTGCCCTCTGCTCTGAGCTCAACATCGTTGGAGCCCTGGAGCACCACAGACTTCTTCAGGCTGCCGCTCTCACCATCCATGTAGGCAACGCTGTTCTTGCAGTGGTAGGTGATGTTCTGGCTAGCTTGGTTGGAAAGGAGGCGCATGAAAGCCAGCTGGGTGGCCATGCTCTGGGGGCTGAGGGTCTCATCGTTGTAGGTGAACTGCAAGATGTGAGGAAGAAGCAATTAATATTTGAAATGCAAAAAAACAACAACCCAAAAACAACAGTAGTCAGTTCCTGCTTTCATTTTGCAGTGCATGTTGGCTCAGACAAAATTTCCCCTCACCTCAGTACCACCGTTGATGGTCTCTCCGAACCAGACGTGCTTCTTGCCCTCGGTACTTCTGTACCAGTTCTTGCGGGCGATGCTCTCAGGATGGGCGTGGATGCAGGTCTCGCGGGATTCGAAGTTGCAGAAAACCTTGATGGCATCATTGCTGCAGCCCTGGTTGGGGTCAATCCAATAGAACCCTACAGAGAAGGAGGAGAGGACAGTCATTGTGAATAACTTAAACTTACACTGTAGGCTTTTGAATAGCATTAAATACAACAACATTCAAAGCTGTCTTTGCCTCAAGCAAATATCAAATGAAGTCAAGCTTACCGGTGCTCCACTCGGGGTGGCTGAGCTTGATGTCCCGGCAAGTGCGGGCTGGGTTCTTCCTGGATCCCTCAGGGGTAAGCAGGTTCTCAATCTGAGTGTTCAGTGACTTGATGGTGGCATCAACTTCATAGTCCTTGGCTCTCAGAGCAGGCTGATCAGCTCTGTACTCATCGTATCCGGAGACGTCATATCCACCACCAGCTGGGCCAGGAGGTCCGGGCAGACCAGGAGATCCTGGGGGACCCTAAGATGAACAAGAAGGTTGTGTGATTCATAGATCAAAGTTACACCTGGAACTACTGCAGTGGACAAATAAATCTGGTTTCCACGAAATCATGAAATGATCCAATTCAACATGAAGAAGAACCCAACCCGTTAATGTAAAAGCTAAACTTACTGCTGGTCCAGAGTATCCAGGGGGTCCACGGGCACCAGGAGAGCCGATAGTACCGTGGGAACCAGCTCTGCCATCCTTACCAGGAGGGCCGTGGGGTCCAGCAGGTCCCTGATCATCACATTACAAAGTCAAATGTCATTTTAAGGGAAGAAGGCATAATTTATAGCTATACATAATAGCTCATCCTCATTATTCCAGATTCAGTATGAACCCGCACTATCCTGTTAAAGTGAAGCGTTCTTTCTATTCTTTCTGTTCTGATTTTGTTTGAATATTGACATTTAATCATGGAACCACTTCTGATTGCTTCTCACTTATAGTGTGATTTTGTATGGGAAAAGCTGTAGCTTCACTTAAAGCTGTGTGAAGAAACCCCTGGGTCTTAGATCAAGGAGTTCACTCACTCTGGGTCCAGCAGGTCCGGCTGGTCCAGCAGGTCCAGTGTCTCCGTGTTGTCCCTAGGGGAGGAGAAAACACCCAGAAGAATGTCAGGACCTTCTAGTTGAAATTATATTGTTTTACAGGAAATCTTTTATGACTGTATTTGTGAAGACTCACAGAAGGTCCAGGCATTCCCTGGAGACCTGGATGTCCACGCAGACCCTTCATGCCTCTATCTCCCTTGTCTCCAGCAACTCCCTTCTCACCACGGGGTCCAGCAGGTCCCTACAACACAAACATTGATATCGCTTTGCTATGTGCACATGCTTGTGTATGATAGTTACTTAAATAATTAAATTATTCTGTGACTTTACTGCATGTTGTGATGATTGTAGTCTTTTAGCCACTATTCTGAGGTTTATCTGTATGACTGTACAGGTTTGTTGTACTTACAGGGGCGCCTCTAGCTCCAGCGGGGCCAACGGCTCCAGCGGGACCATGTGGGCCCTGGGAAGGAAAGAACAAGACGATGAGGAGGGCAAGTACAAGCACATGTCTGTAGGTGCATGTAAGCTCCAATTGATCTTTGTGGAAGGTGAAGATTAAGTAAATACTTACACCCTCTCCACGGTTTCCGGGTCTACCAGCTGCTCCAGTGGGTCCAGCAGGTCCTGGTGCACCAGCAAGTCCCAGTGAACCAGCAGGTCCAGGCTCACCACGGTCTCCCTGAGCAAGGTAAGGACACACAAAGGTCATGGCTCAGAGCATTAGATTATGTTCTGCTTAAAGACACATGTAAAATATAAGTGAGGATACTACCTTGAATCCAGCAGCACCAGGACGGCCAGGGGGTCCATCGTTACCAGGGCTACCCTGATGGTGGCAAAGTATGAGAAAGTTTAGAACCTAAATGTCGTGGTTATGGCCTTATATCAGTGTAACTGACTGAAATTGACTAAGTTTAATCTTCACATTTAAATTAAATTCTGTGCATATACATATTTATAAATATATAGAGAGAGATGTTTTGGTTTGATGTTTAGTCATCTGTCATCCTTTTAACAAAGCTTTAGATAATATGGGTCAACAAAATAATCTTTGAACAAATAATCAAGACAAGCACAGTTAAAATAATGCTGTAGCAATAAGTGCAATTCAATTGGCAGGCTGTACTTCAGGCATTCAACATGGATGTTAAAGCCCAGGACACCCCCAGATATTTTTTATCAACATAACTGAATATAATTCAGTATATTTATTGACTGATCAAGAGTTTAACCATCTCTTTTCTGGAGATTTTCCTTTGATACTATAATCTATTTCAGTTTGAAATATGCCATGAATTACAACTATGGTGAGCAAATATTTACACGCCTCCATACATTCGGCTGAATCAATAGTAATCTGTAACCCTTAACAATTGGAAAAAACACACCACTTCCCACACCAATTGAAACTCCCAGCAGTACTTTTAGCAGGCATTTTAAAGTCTTACCTCACGTCCAGCCTCTCCCTGAGGTCCGGTCATACCGGGCATGCCCATGTTGCCACGGGAACCACGGGGGCCAGAAGGTCCAGGAGGTCCGGCTCTACCAGGCTCTCCCTGTGAGAGGCCGAATAGAGAAGCACCAGGTTAAACACAATAGTTGACAAGCTTTTATTCAACAGAAGCTTCAGTCCCACCTTTTTTGTAAGGTTTTGGTGGTGTGGGAGAAGATGGTGTACATCTCTAATAAGAGATCTTGCTGTCACACAATGTTTTCCCATTGGCCTTATGTATCAATTTGAATGCATCTATCAAATGGGGACTATGAACACCAGGGATAAAACTATACCTTTGATGGGGAGCCAGTGATCTTTTGTTTATTTCACTCACATAAATTGTTTGAGAGACTAACTTGGCATATATCCTGGCTTTCAGCATACCATTCAGTAGTAGTAGTGCACTAATAGTTCATGTGTACTTACAACAGCACCAGCACCACCAGGTGAACCACGATCTCCTCTAGCACCAGGCAGACCAACGAATCCCTGAAGTCCAAGAGGACCAGAGGTTCCAGGAGCACCAGCTGGACCCTGTACAAAGTCACACAAATCCACACATATTTGAATATAGGATGAGGCTCTAAGTGAGCTGTGTTATATTCTGGGAAGAAACTCCTAAAGGAGTTCTTAAAATATTATTGTTCCACAGTCTGATGTGACTTACAGCTTTACCAGGCTCTCCAGAAGGTCCCTTCTCTCCAGCTAGACCAACTGGTCCAATCATTCCCTGCTCACCAGAAGGACCAGCAGGACCAGGATCTCCACGGAGACCACGGGGTCCATCTTTGCCAGCAGGTCCGGAAGAACCAGGAGGTCCAACAATACCCTGAGAGGAGCATTGCCAGTGAGTGGGTTGATGATAATCTCCTGTGTGTATGTTAACGTTGGAAATCAAAAATGAATACTCACAGCGGGACCAGGAGCACCAACTCTACCAGCAGCACCAGGGAAACCAGTCAGACCCTGAAGAAAAACACACACGGTGGTTAAACTGATGCTTATCTGTATATATACATATATGTATATACATATATATATCTATGGTGTGTGTGTGTGTGTGTGTGGCTTTACATTAAATGAAAGAAAATAAAAAATATAAAACTGATCATATGTAGTGATGAGTAACTTCAGATTTCTTCCACTTTATTGATAAAGTATGTTATTGTTTTTGTAAACAAGAGCACTGTGGTGGCATGTGATGGAATATTCCTCCTGGGTTAGAATAAGTACTATGTAGTGACAGGTGGATGTTGTGTGAATAAGTCTGCATGTGTCTTTCAGCACTCACATTGGGACCAGAGTCTCCACGAGCACCAGGAGCCCCGGTAGGGCCAGCAGCACCCTACATAATCAGAAAGGAAAGTCAATATGACTCATAACTCAACTGAACACAGAACTGACGACCCCATTTGGACTGACACCTGCAAGTGTGCAGGCGTTGACTTACAGGAGGTCCAGACTGTCCAGAGGGTCCAGCAGGGCCAGCGGCGCCAACCTCTCCCTTAATTCCAGCAGGCCCACGCTCTCCTCTTGCTCCAGTCTGACCATCAGCACCCTGTGTAGTGGATGGAAGCAGAGATAGATCATTATCAGGACAAGACCTGTGTCTGAACTGTAATGCTTTACAAAAAAAAATAAATCATTTTTATGTGTTTGCAACAATCTATGTTGTGATGAGAGTCAGAGTGGGCTTACAGGGGGTCCAGCGAATCCAGGGGCTCCAGCAGGTCCAACTTCTCCACGCTCTCCCTGTGGACAAACAGCAACTGGTCAGAAACACTCTACGCCAAGGTAAAGGTTGAAGAGTTCCCTAAAGTCATCATGCAATATGTAGCCTTATATCATAAAACCCCCAATTGTCAGGTGATAACTGTTAATGTTAGGAAAGCAGGAGTCAGGTACTTACAGAGGCTCCACGAGGTCCAGCAGGGCCAGAAGGTCCAAAGGAACCAGCCTCACCCTGAAGGAGAAAACATTAACTTAGAATGACTCTGTCAATGTAATGTCACAGTTAGTTGAAGAACTGCTACTGTTTGTTGAGCCCAGAATTAATTCAAATTATTTGACTATCAAACTGAAAGGCCTATAGATAGCATAACATTGTAAATCAAGACCCACTGAAGTTGCCGCATTTAAGTTGCTGAATTTATCTTGACCTAATCACTCTTCATCCTTTTTGAAGCAGTTGTTGCAGTTAAAATAATAGCCATTAGATGGCACTGTTAAAGCTAAATCTTTAGAAATCACTATCTATATTACACAAAATTGGGAATGAAAATAAGTTTTTACTGGCAGAAAACATTTGTATGCCTTAACACTAGATTTTATATATTCATGAAACAGGATTCTAAAGAAGTAGATTATTTCTCGGCTATTAAAGCATGTGTTTACCTTGTCACCATTGGCTCCAGTGGGTCCAGGAGGTCCAGCAGGTCCAGGCAGACCCTATAAAGACAGCGCATTGGGAAGGGTGAGGCAAGTGATCTGCCTAAAGTAGTTGGTAAAATATGGCAATATCAAAAAAATATCATAAGCTATACAGATTGGGTTATTATGTAAAGTCTTTTAAAACAAACATGACAGGTTAACCTACACGGGCACCATCTCTGCCAGAATTTCCATCAGGGCCTCTGTGTCCAGCCTCTCCCTGTTGGAGAGAGAATAAACAGTTGTAAGGCATACAAATTAAATTATAACAAAAACAAATGGAAAAAAAAGTTATTTTGCTGATGGTAAAGTAGAATTTACCTTCTCTCCCTTGCCTCCTGGAGCACCAGCCACTCCACGCTCACCAGGCATACCACCAGGTCCCTGGGGTCCAGGACCACCTGCAGCTCCGGCAGCACCGGGCTCTCCCTAGACAAGGAATCACCACACTTTGGTTCATCTTTGTTTCTCTGTGTCCAAACCCAATATTTTCCTCACTGTCATTGTTCTTCTTACTCTTCTCATTCTCATCAATCCATTATCTTACCTTGCCACCATCAGCTCCAGGGACTCCAGCAGGTCCACGGGGTCCAATTTGTCCCTGAGCTCCAGCAGCTCCGGCAGCACCGGGGTTACCACGCTCTCCCTGAAGGATCAGACACATGTACGCTTTAATTATGAATATGAAAAAGAAACCTCTGAATAGAGAGAATGTTCTGTTTTTTTGTAAATGGTTCACATATAGTAATGGAATAATAATAAGAGGTCTGTTTTTAATGCATTGAGACCCAAAATATAATTTGGTTTGAAGTGTATCAACATGTATCAGTGTATCGTCAACAACTGCTCTACAAGCATCCAAGTACCCAAAAACATCTCATCTCACCTTGCCACCAGCAGGTCCAGCACCTCCCTGGTCTCCTGGGATACCCTTCAGACACAACCAGTTGGTTAGATGCAGTTGTCATAAACTTGAACTTCTTTAGGTTAGCTGTGGTAAAGTTTCATGTGTGTTTGCTTACTCTATCTCCAGGCTTGCCAGCCTCTCCTGCAGCTCCAGCAGGTCCAGGCAAACCCTTAAAATATCAGACAGAAACATCAGTAATGATGATGGTTATGATGGGGACAAAAGGAATAGAATAAAGAAACTAGGTTTATCCTCCTTTTCTGACGGCATTTTTCCAAACGAAATCCCTATAAAAATCTTCAAAGTAAATAAATAAATGTATAATCATATATATGCATATATAAAAATAAATGAATAAAATATTGTTGATCTGCCGTATTAATCAATTCAGAGAGAAGAATTTGCAAACCTGGAAGCCAGGAGCTCCAGCAGGTCCCTGCTCTCCCTTCTCACCGGGGCCGCCCTACACCCAGAAGAAGAAGAAAAAAAGGCTCAATGGTGGTCAAATAATTTGATATTTTACATAATGTCACATATAATGCAAAATACTACTTCAGTCAATTCATGTACATAAAGACACTTACAGCAAGTCCCATGGGGCCAGTGGCTCCATTGTTACCATCAGGTCCAGGTGGTCCCTGAACACAGTGATAGGAATAAACTCAGAAGTCTGACAACTCAGAAGGCCATCAAAATGTTTACACCTTTTCACATCTTATCAAAATAGGTTTTTCACATACCCTCAGTCCAGTGGGGCCACTGCCACCCTTCTCTCCAGGCTTGCCAGGCTCTCCCTACAATAAAAGAAAGGTTAGGTCCTATTCCAAAAACAAAAATTGGATATAGTTCAACTAGTCATTATTAATGCTCGCTTACACCAGGTCCTTTGGGTCCGGGGAAACCAATGTTTCCAGGCTGGCCTCTAGGTCCAGTTGGGCCAGGAGGTCCACCACGGCCATCTTGTCCAGCAGGACCCTGAAGCAGGTTTAACGTTTAAAAAATCTGTTACCAGTGTTTATTTGAGCAAATGTTGCTGCTGCTGCAGAATGAGCCCAGCAGAAGGTAAACTATTTGAGTCAAATTCAGTGTCACTCACAGAAGGTCCTTCCTTTCCTGGGGGTCCGGAGCTTCCAGGGCTTCCTGGGAGACCCTGCAGAGAAGACATAGTGGTTAGTTATGATGTAAAGTTAAGATATACTGTCATTAACTCGTAATGCTACTGTATATACCCGGTGCTAGCACAATTGAATAAAAGAGGCGTAATAGGAGCATAAACACCATTGATAACAACAACTTTACTATTCATTATTCATCTGTTTGCATGGGGATAATTTTGACAGCCCTATCTTTGTATCTCGCCACCCACTGTGACTTTGGTAGTGAGATTAGATCCACAAAAAATCAGCAATTAGCAAAAGACTCACCCTGAGACCAGCTGGGCCAGGCTCACCAGCACGGCCAGCATCTCCAGGGGGTCCACGAGGTCCACCAGCACCAGTGGCACCACGAGCACCAGGCATACCCTGTGAGAATGAAAAAACAACAAATTAAAAAGGAAAGTATTTAAACACATGACTAAACCCTTCCTGTATTGGAATGTTCTACTTACAATGGGGCCAGATCTTCCATCAGAACCAGGCAAACCACGGCTACCGGGAGCTCCCTGGTGGACACATGGATGTGTTAATAGCTGGTTCTGGTGGCGTTGCTGTTAATGTTATGTGTGGACCATAACCACAAGAAATAACTCACTCTGGCTCCACGCAGTCCAGCAGGTCCAGTGGCACCAAGCTCACCAGTGGGTCCTCTCTTGCCCTCCTCACCTTGGGGTCCAGGGGGTCCTTGAGGCCCAGAGTTACCCTGAAGAAAGCAGCGGAGTAAAATTAAGCTCATTGACTAGTTTTCAAATTACTTTTGGAGTAAAACAGACAAGAACATGAACTTACAGGTTCTCCCTTGGGACCACCGTCTCCCTTGACACCCTGAGCACCGGGATCTCCCTAAAATACAAACGGGTAAACATATTCACTTGATGCCTTTCAGTGTTGCTATGTATGTGCATATTAGGACAAAAGCACAGCAATGTTTGGAAATCTATGGTTTACTTACAGCAAGGCCTCTTGGTCCAGCGGCACCCTGAGGTCCCTGAGGACCAGGTCCTCCTCTTGGTCCAGGGAAGCCAGGAGCTCCAGCAACACCAGGGGTTCCCTTAGCACAGAAAAGATAACAGATCAGCGTGACAGCTTATGAAATCCTTTTCCAATTATCAATAACAAAGCTGGAATTATTTAAAGTGATAATCTGTTTGTGTTTATCTGCATAACTGTGATACTTACAGCAGCTCCCTTTGCTCCATTCAGACCATTAACACCAGGGTTACCCTGCAAGGAAAGCACAATAAATCAGGATCTAAGAATATAAGACAAATTTGTGGTTAATCTACAGTGGCTACACATGCCTAATCAGGATATCAATCTTTATGTGAAAAAAATTGAACAAATTTTAAATTTTTCTGTACTTCAGCTTTAACATTTGAATATGTAGCATGAGTATTACAAGGCAAGCATTCTGTTGGGTGCTCTTCTCAGAATTAATTTAACTAACATTTTACTGTAAGAAGAAACTGATGAATTAATATAAGTCTCCATTTGGCTTTCATAGAAATAGTTCTGCAAAAAAAGGTCTGTCTGTCTGTCTAAAATTATTCAAAACAACAGAAAATCAAGTTATCGAAGCAACTCATCGTTTGCGATGGAAATGTGCACCTCTTTATACTTACAGGGGGTCCAACAGGGCCAACGGCACCATTGGGTCCAGGCTCTCCTCTTCCACCCTGAGGTCCAGATGGACCAGTGGCTCCAGCAGCTCCAACCTCTCCCTGTTGATAACAAAATACAACTGCAATCAAACAATTGAACAATAATCAATCGACATCATCCAATTAATGCTATATTTGAGACTGCATCTATCATCAGCATGTGGTTGGTTCAATGAAAAAAAAGAAAAACATGCAATATGTGAAGATGGGTCACCATTTGAGATCATGCTGGGAAAGGCTGCAATTTCTAGCAATAGTGGCTGATTTATCTCTATTTGTGATCCTAAATATGATGAATCGTGTGCAGCAATAAAATGACATAAGACCAACCTTGGGGCCGGGGCCACCGGGGAAGCCTGGGGGACCAGCAGCGCCCAGGGGACCCTGGATGGGAGAGGAGCAAATATAATGCATGGATAAATCTAAAAAAGGGCAAAGTTTACACCTAAAATCACTGCAGCTGTGACTGCAGCTAAGATTTTAAACATTAGACATGACAATTTATACAAAGACCAATTCAGATATTGATAATAAAAAAAAGATATATTCTGATGATACAGCTTTCAGAATTTGACATTGATTTACTCACAGCAGGACCAGCAGGTCCGGTGTTGCCATCAGCACCACGAGAACCAGCAGGACCAGCGGGGCCAGGACGACCCCTCTCGCCAGCCAGACCACGTTGTCCCTGAGGACCAAAGATACGCATTATTTTTCCAGCTTTCAGGATGCTCACAACACATAAAATAATAATTCAAATACATGACTGATGATTGATTAAGAATCAGATCAGAAACGTACCGCCAGTCCAGGGCTTCCAGCAGCTCCATGGGCACCGGGCTCACCCTACACCAGAGGGAAGATAATTGCATAATGAAATGTGTGCCTCAGATTAATTTGTTAAGAGGTGAAGAAGAGTAATTTGCATGGAAAAAGGAAACACTTGCTGGGGTGAATATATGGAGGCTACATGGGGCCTTACCTTGGAGCCAGCAGCACCGGGTTCACCCTTGCGTCCATCCAAACCATTGTAACCCTAGAATTGAGAAGCACAACAATGCTGACAACATTCCCCATTGATGCAAAAACAAAAAAATAGGTGATGCAAGACAACATGAATAGCTCATTCATTTTAAATTTTAATATATAAATTGTGTTTCATTAACAGCAATATAAAAGTGGAATCTTGCGAAACTTGGTCCTTTCCTTCAGTCCATGAATTTTTACGCAAACCAAGAGAGAGGAGTGTAGCTTTCTGTTCACTCATAAAGCCCCATAAAAAGAACCCACCTTGGACACAGCCCAGGTTTACTCACTCCCAAACAATGTGCTACTTTGGGCAAGGGCTAATGGAAGTTCAAGAAGAACAAATTATGGACACTCACTCTGTGTCCCTTCATTCCTGGAAGTCCAGGGGTTCCGGGGAATCCACGAGCACCCTGCAATTCAAATGTAATGAACATTAGACATCAAACAGTCTCATAGCGGTTTGTATGTGTTTTGTCCATGTCTTAAAGAAAGAAGCTCACCTGAGGACCAGCGGCACCTCTGTCACCAGGCTTGCCGGGTCTGCCATTGTTACCCTGTGAGTTAACAACGGATTGTTCACAATACGACATTTTAAAAAATGATGTCTCCAGAGGCAATGAAAAAAGGAATACATACATCTTCTCCTGATTTGCCAGGGGGTCCAGGGGGGCCACGGGGACCAACAGCACCCTGGGGAAGAAGATGAGAGCATTATGGTCTCACAGACCAAAAAGACGACTTGTTTTTCATAGACTTTCATAAACTGAAAGACTTACAGCCTGTCCTGGTTCTCCAGGCTCACCAGGGTGTCCTGCATGTCCCTGAGGTCCCTATTGAATAAAAACGGTGACCATTTTAGTCCATATGCACAGAGATTTTAACAGGCTCTGTCTTGTGTTCATTTCTTCTGGTTTTTGTACTTACAGGGAGTCCAGGAAGTCCGGGATGGCCTCTGGGTCCCATAAGACCCTAACGAAAAACAAAAGTTAGTTAAATCAATCTTAAAGCCAAATATAATTCATGAAAACTTTTTTTTTCTTTTAAAAAAATGCATGTGTTGTGTCTGAAAAGCATACACATAGAAGTATGAATGCAAAATCATATCTATAAACAAACGATATCAGTAGAAATGGTGAATGCAGATATTTGGAAATGTGTGTCATGGTGCTTTTAAGTTGGGAAAAATGGGCGACTTACAGCGGGTCCAGGGCCGGGATCAGGGGCTTTCACACCATCATATTGAGCAGCAAAGTTCTGTTGAATAGAAATACGCAAATTATCCACAGATGAAGTCCTGTGAAACACTGAGAGTAATTTCAAACTAGAACAGTTTGCAATCTATATTAAACCTTAATATATTTATTATATACAGCAACACTGATGTCACGCATGTGCCATCTGTTAAAGTCTTTAATGAAAGACACAAAAGGTTAAAACTCCACTTTTGCCACATCGTTCCTGAGACTGTGAGGTCAACAGTGTTCACTTGTTAAATACAGGTATGCGATTTACTGAGCTGACTTGTCATGTGGCACAATAGAATGCTAAATGTGGGTCAGATTTGGGCCTATTTAGCTTTTACTGCACGGTATGCAAAAACAGCAACCGTCAATTCAAAACCAAATTGGTAGACCGAACAATTTTACTCCTATTTTCAAGAAACATTGGCACTACACTTCCTACTTTGCTATATAAAAAAACAAAGAAACGTACTCCTCCGAGTCCAGGTGGTCCAGGGGGGCCGGGAGGGCCAGGGAGTCCGGGTTTGCCATCCTTTCCATTAGGGCCGGGAAAACCCTGGAAACAAACACATGTGAATAAATGTTACAATTATAGCTCCAGCTGGTGATGCTAGTTTGTTCAAGGATGCCATCTGTTAAGTCTCTTAAATCCTATTTTATAAACAGAAAGAGACATATAGAGCAGTCATAGAGGAAAAAAATCAAGTTGACCCCATGCCGTAGTTAACTATACGTCTGTGAAGGGGTCGATTTTAACATAAGAAAGAAAAGACGCTAATACAGATGAGTGAAACTTTATGTTTTGAATATCTATACGTTGACCACAGTACTACAGGGTCAAGTAAACAAAGGGGTGTGGCCAAAGGTTAACAGTTCACATGACGTCAACAAACATTTCAGCAAAAATACTTTCTAAATACATCTCATGGAATACAGTAATGATATATTTGACCGTCAGATCAAAGGCAGAAGAGTCGCACTTCAGCTTACCCTGTCACCTCGAGGTCCTTTGTCTCCTCGGGGACCCTGCGGTACAGAAATCCCTCAGTCAGATCGCAACACACAGCAGGCGGCTCAGTTTATTTCTTTAGTAACATGTCAGCTCCAAACTGCCCTTAAAGCAAAGTCAGCCAGTATCTCTCATCTCCACTGAACTCAAATTTTTTGACTCAACAATAAATTGTAAAGATGCCATTAGTGTCTAATTTAAACAACGCCTTTTATGTATGACAGGTCACACTTCAGACATCAAATGAACCGCAAGAACAGTACTGTTCTCTTAAATATAATATCTGTGAGACTTTTCAGGGTACAGTGTTTGATGTTTGCTCCAACCGCATTCATCCTAATTACCCGTAAAGAATAAACAAAAAAAACATATCAAACAATAGCAATGATCATGCAGACAGAGAGCTGGCTTAGCTGAGGACAAAGCAAAGCCGTGTGAATGTATAAACCATCAAGATGTGGACAAAATGTCAGCTAAACTTATCAATAGGAGCCAACTGCCAATGCAGACAAGTTAAATCTTAGCATTCTTAGCATGATCACAGAGCCACATGGTGCAGCTTAAAATTCTTCTGCAGGCCAGCTAACAGATCTAAAAACTGGTGCCACATTCACAATTAAATTCCATCACACAATCTATGTCCTTTCATTTTAGTGTCCCTGTCTGCTTTTATTCATGTTTAGGATTTCAGCCTTGGCCAACTGGTCTGAAATAAGGTTTTTTTATCTCAATCTACCTGACTCAGAGGGGGCAGAGAATTCCAAACTGACCCAAAGTCAGCAGAATCAGGGCAAAGCTTCCACTGCCCCCTCTCTGCTGTCCTCAGAAAGGATCCTTTGTACCAAGCCCCACGGGTGCCTCAGCACCACGGTTTTAGCTTTCATTGACACAATCTTTGGCCAATAGGACCCTCTCCTATTCATGGACAGGAAGGGAGAAAACTGCACGAAATAACTGTGTTCAGTGGCGGACATCCCTAAACGAAATGATCTACCGGAGCTGAGATTAGCCCAGATCGGCAGAAAGACCTCCTTTCTGAGATGTTTCACAGGTATCAGAGGACAGCAAACAGGTACAGGTAAAGCTCTCTTTAAATGATTTTGTTATCATGGATGCATGCGTGTCTACTAACCGTCACTGTGGGATTGTGGAGGCAATGATGAGGAGGAGGAGCAGATGAGGGGGGCAGAGGGAGAAAAAGGAATACTCCGTTAGAAACATAACATATTGAAAGTCATTTCCATCCATTTCTGCTCCTGTTTAATATGTCAAATTCTTCTTCAAATCTCTTAGCTTGGAATTAGAAAAGCTAAAGCTAAAAAAGAAAAACTTTAAATCTTGCAAATCTTGGTCATATAGTTAGGGTTGAGCAGATTAAGAAAGCTACTGATAACGTAAATCCAAAACAATGTGCAGGGATGTTTTTTTTGTGTGTTTTTATGTCTTTAACCCTCACCTGAACCATTTAAACTAGGTTATCATTTGAGTAATTGAACCTATACTCATTCACTGCTTCTGGGGTGGTTGAATACGTTTGTTGCCATTCTTGAAACCCTTAAATACTCACTGAAATTGTTAACTTCTAGACATTTTTATGGTCTAATACCCGGTTTGCCCATCTAAACTGTAGACAGTTTGTGAATCACTGTGACTTTACTCAGACCGTCTGCCTCTGTAATGGACGTGGATCTCAGTGCTGCAGCATTCCAGATATTAAGACCGCAGCTACTAACACGCCTGAACAGGTCGTTTTTGGCCCTGGGGCATGAATATTTGGGCTGCTGCTACAAACCAGAAAAAGTTGTAGATCATTCTTGATTACGCCTTCTACTGACATCATGCTAATTTTGTTGAAGCATTGTTAAAATTAGCATTTTGAGATATTATTTTATGACTTGTTAAAGAATATGAAGTATTTCAAAGCACCTCTTTTCCTCACTGAAGGCTGAAGTTTGCATTTCAGGTATACTGTGTAACTAGAGAACAGTATCTGCGGCTGGTCATGGCTGGGCTTGACACATCTGGGACCTCCCTATGAACTTCGACACGCTATGTTACAGCTGTCCACTGGGTAGCGCACGTGGGCACACAAATTGATCTGACATTGGAAGTTTTCTTAAACTATTTATCTTTTCTTCCTAAAACAATTATATTCAATGGAGAAACATATTCAATGAGGAGATAGTTTACATATTGTAGTGTTATCTTTAAAATATTTGCCGCTACACAACATGAAACATGAATTAAATCTAATACAATGCTCTAAAAATAGAAAAAATTCAATAAAATGTTCACTGATACATTTTTCAAGTTGAAACTATCCTAGATAAAGGAGACATGTGCGTGTTAATTAGGAAAGGATCAAATTGGTGCCAAGTAGGTGTTTTCATCTCTGGCCACCAGGGGGAGACATTACAATTCCCCAAAACAAAGCCTCATTCCCTGGACGTCTGCATGGAACAATGTGTCCAACGCCCCACAAAGCTTTTTTATCCCATTTCTAAAATAGACCCCAGATTTGGTCAGTTCAAACAACCCTACATGCATTAAAACTCACGAAAAACAGCTAAGTCGACGAAATAAACGCCTTTCTTAAAGCAACAAAACCTTTTTTTTTTCAGCAGCACAACTTCTCTCTTTTGAAAACTAAACAAATCATAATTGTATCCTTGGAAACAAAAAGGTAAGAATCCTCTGCTTGAGCTCAATCCGTTGAGCTTTATTCAGCAGTGCTTAGAGCTGTCTTCAGGCTGGCCATCATGTGAGTCCCAAATAAAAGCCCAGCGAAAGTTCCTCAAGCAGTGGAGGGAAAAATATCCATCACAGAGAAAAAAAAAGCAGACATTCAAACTTACATTGACATGATGCTATGTATGAAGTCACTGCAAGCAGCAACAGAAACCGGGTATCCACAAAGCTGAGCATGTCTAAACAGACATGCAGACTCCTTGCGCCGCTGAGCCCCTGTTTTTAAACCTCTTTCAAGCAGGCATACAGTTGTGGTGACGCGAGTAACTCCAAACTTAGCAGAAACCTGCTGCCGTGATGCTAGAATAATAAAGTTCCAACAGGCCTATTTATACGGCAGGAGGATCCCTGGTCTGCGTGTCAAAAGTCAGCCCACCGGCCAATGAGAGGCGAGAAACCCAATCTGACTCCCATCCTACTGCAGCTCGGAGGCAGTCGTGTGGTCCTGCATCTCCCTGCCTTCTCTCAAACCAGCGAGAGTTTGGCAAAGCTTTGGCGATGATGACGAGTGCAGCGTTTAATTAGATCCATTCTTTTTGAGGACGTGGACAGCGTCGAAGTTTAAAAAGGAGATGAAGGGCCTACGCTTTTCCCCTCTACTCAGGGTTGCAGTGAATCCGGAGGGTCAGTGTGTAGATGCAGGCCATGCGTTTACAGCCTTTACGCGCGGTTAAATTTTGTGCGTAAAACCTTCCCGAGGCGATACGCGTTTTTGAGCATTATGGAGCGCCGACGGGTCATGGATCCTGCTCCTTTGCATTGGATTTTTTATTGAAAGCATTGAAAGTTATTGAAAGTTTTCTGTTTAGACATAGTTTATTTAGCTGGTTCTGGGGGTTCAGAGCAGTTTAATTTCCATTCAGTAATTTGCAGAGGAAATATGACACCCGAGACGCAGTTTTCCGTCGTTTGGGAAGAGATTACAGAAATGTACAGATTGCAGAAAACGTGCACTAATAATTCGTTTAATGATTTTTCACAGCTTGACATAAAACAGTCTCTAGAATAGTCCTTTACCCTTGTTTTCCATTTTGGGATGTTGCATTTATAGAACTAGCCCAAATCGTCTATCAGCAGCAGTTTGCCTGTGGAATGCGGTGATTCACAGACAGTAGGAGAGTTTCACACTGTCAGAAGGCAGGTGTGAGCAGAGATCTTGTTTCAACCTCTTCGGCTCTCTATTTGAGCACCTTTTACCTGCCCACATGACCAGACTTGTCATCCTCTCCATTGCACCTCCAGCAATAAGCAACCTGCGTTGAATCATACATTCACTGTCCATCCCCAAGTTGCTCATATTTGGTATCTCTGTTAATGAAGAAATACCACTATATAATTAATGGAGATCTTTAATTGGAGAAAATCAGGACAATCCCTTCTTTTTGCTTATTAGGCATATGTCTTGACGCATACGTTGAAGAGAAATATTTATTATCGCCCCATTTACATCCAGTTTATCATTGTTAAATACATTTTTTTTCTATTTGCAGGAATAAACTTTAAGTGCAAATCTCACTGATGGGAAACTTGTGTCTAAAAGATTCAAATTAAATCCCACTCCTGGTTGTGCGATGCCCTGTTGTGAATACACATTCTGTTCTTGATAATAAAGAATGAGTCGTGACACTAAATCCAAAATACCTGTCTACATGCTGATTCTGTTATGATCCAGTTTATACATTTAACCTAAATAACCCCAAACCTGCCTTTCATCCTACACACAGGCACGCTTGTTATCCTTTTCCACCTCTGTGCCAGAGACAAAAAAATAGGTGGACACTACCAACAATTTCACCTCACTTTTATCCCCTTAAGTCAAATTTGAGAGCTACATGAGAGAAAAAAAAGGGGGTGGGACATGAAAGATGAAATGTGTTTTAAAGATGGCCGACGTCCCACTTGTTGCAGTGTTACATTGGAGCTGAGGCCTTGAAGTAGCTGGAGAGGAACAGGCAGATGGCGTAGGGAATTAAAGATGGCTGCAAAGCTCCACATCAGCAGCCTTTTTCTCTCCCTCGATTCAAAAAAAGAAAGAGACAATGAAATATAATCCTCATGATATACATGCTGTTCAAAGACATTTACACAATGTTGAATCTTCAAGGAAATTTCCTTCTAAAAATATTTGCAAGGAATCAATTCTAATACAATTTCACATTTGGCTCAGAAATGATTCACACCTGCTTCAGTGTAGCTTCTCCTTAATACTGAGAATGCATTTTAGGATATCTTTATGCACATATTTGAATGGTCAAATTATCCTGGATAGGTTGGATAACCAGGATAACATGTTTTTCTTTCCGGGTCTGGAAGTTAATTATCAATATACAATGTAGCAACTAGGACTGACTCAGATGTTCCTTCAGAAATATTTCAGATTTTGAAAGGTAAATCCTACTTTTCTAGCTATTGTAGTTTGCTCATTGTATAATCACCGTTTCATCCATAAAAAGATTCCATTTGTAAAGAATTGAATCAAATGGACAGCCATTCTTTCCCAGTCACAAAATACAAAAGCCTATGCAGCCATGGAGGTCAGTTTTACTTCCAAATGTTTTGTGTTTTTTTAACTAAAACGATTAAGATGTCAAATGGCCATTAACATCTGGATAAAAACCATAACCATTCCAATCTGAAATTAAAATCTGAATCTTCCCATCCATTATAACCTCAACCATGCGTTTTTAGTCACCTTTGTCCTTACAAGATGTTATTGGCCAAGTCAACAATGCTCAACTTAAGTAGCATTTTACTGCATTTACCAGTGTGCTGCAGGATTGATGCAAATCAACATGTTGAAAATGTAACTTTGGTTTTATCAGGTTGTATCATGAAAGCTTTATTTCAGTGAGCAGTCTCTAAAGTAATAATATGCATTGAAATATATATTTTTGTTTGTTTTACTTGTTAAACTACTTACACATTATGACCTAATGAATCTATTTAAAATGTTGTCACAAAATCACAAAGTGAATGTCTTATGTCCTTTTTTCTTATATGAATAATACACTTCTGTACTATAAAATCCCTGCTATAATGCAGTCATCTTCTCAGGTTCATTAGTGAACTACTCTCAACACTGCTGGTGCTTAAGTGGAAGCTGGAGAGAACACACAAGGGCAACTTGACTGTTCTCCATCTTTTCCTGAACACAATTGTGATGAAGTAGAGGAAAAAGGAGCAGGAAGTACAGTAATTGCAGAAAAACAGCGAGCAGGTTACCCTTTCCCTGATTTTTCTAAAAGAATAGAGGCAAAAGAGACCGGAGAACTTTACAAAGGAGATAGGTTTCAGACACGCTACCATCTCTGATACGCTGTAGTCACACACACACAGACAGACACCAATTAAACAGGGTACTGCCTGCACACACACCAGCAGACATGCAGGGGCGGTTGAGGTTTTCAAATTACAGCTTGTGTTCCAGGCAGATCATTCAATTCCTTCTCTGCACTGAAGACTCGCAGCAAGTATTTCCGCTCAGGAAAAACAGGGAAAGCTCACACAGTCGCGTCTCAAAACACCTTGACCACAGAATTCATTCTTATTGATGATCGGAAGTAATGTTAAAGAATCACAAAGCTTGAAAAAATGATTTACACAGTTGGTTGAAGCATCTTTTTGCTGCATCATCCTTTTGCCTATACAAGAGAAGATTAGAAAGATAAGGAAAAGCAGCACAGAGATGGAAGGAAACTGTTGTCAGTCCAGTACTCATGGTGTAAGTGTGTAAACCTGCTAACTTCAGCAAGTATTAACCATCCTTCATCAGCCATTAGCAAGTCTTTGCACGGCTTCATTGCATTTTAACTCATTTTAGTAAAAGTGCGCTGTGTAAAGATGTGCTTCGGGAGGAAATATGTATATTATGATATTATGATAGCAGTTAAAAAACTGTCAACATTATTTAACCATATATTAGAATCTTTCTGTCGTCATAAGACAATTACATTTAACTAAATTATGTTTTCCAAGGGTTTTGTGTCTTTTCGACCATGGCATCTGGAGGCTGTATGCACAGTTGAACTGTGAAAAACCATGGAACTAGATTCTTTCTATAGGCTGATGCTCGTACGGAGGCCACTGGCGTTATTCACCCAGTCGACTGGCTCTGCAGCACCATGAGACGGAACCGGCTACCAGTTAAAGACAGGCCCGAATTCACAGGGAGTGCTCATTTACTTTAAACGCCACCAATTATACAACCCTCCTGCCAAGTTTGTGACGTGTCTTTGTATTTAACGCATGCTACCTTTCTTCTCAAGCTTGCCCTGCTATCCTACTTCTTTTTGTCTTTCATTTCAGTGTGTCCTTCTTCCTCACTGCTGTCTGTCTTTGTGTCTCTTTCACCATTCTCTCTTCACTACCTCAGTTACTGGTTTAGGCTGTTTGCATTAGGATATATTTCTTCAGCAATTGCTTCAGATGCAAGGGAAAATATACTATTCCTGAGCATTTTATTCAGATAAAAGGAGGTGGGATTATTATTGACGAGCTGGTCTGACGTTAGTGATTTAGTGGGTGCAGGTCAGAGAGTGGGGCGGGGGCGAGAGTATAAATATTTGTCGGGGGAAGGCAAGAGAGAAGGCTGGAAAAGGCAACGGATCTTCCACGTAACAAGGAAGTAAAGACAGATCCCAAATGAACGTTGGTTTTGTTGTGATAGAGGGACGGATGTTGGAGTTGAATCAGTTGCCACCCCAAAAGTCAGTGAGAGAGTTGAAGAAATGAGAGGATCGAAAGATTCACAAATATCTCCAAAGGAGAGGAAGAAAGAAAGAAAAAAATGCAAAAAAAAATCAAAGTAGGGCACCTCCCTTGGCTGGAGACAGCACAAGCTTAGATTTGCCTCCATGTCCACATGACTCACAGTCTGGTCAGCAAACGCATAATAAACGTGACAGAAATATCCCCACACAATGTCACCAGAGTCCATGCAGGCAGCTAATTGCTAGATATAGCTAGGTCGTGGTTTGACGGATGAAAAAAAAAAAGTCCAGCTCATATAACAGAAAAGTAAGCAAAGGTCCACAGATGTAGTTTTCCTGCCTTTTTAACAGCTGCACAGATATGCAAAGGGGGGTCAGATCTGAAGTTTATGACTGTACAGAGCTTTGGAGCTGCTTCTCCTCTTCCAAAGATAAAGAAAAAGACCAATTAAAGTATAAAGAATTTTTATAGTGGTATTCAAGGTTGATCTTTCATTTAAATTTTCATTTTGACGTAAGAATCTAATGATGTTTTCAAGTCAAAGTTCTTTTATCCAACATTGAGTGTATTACAAAATAAAAATTAAAAAAAAAAAACTCTTTTCAAACTCCAGAAAAAGTTTGGATCCCCGGTCTGGATCACATTCTGAATGGACTCTTCCAGTTGTGCAACACGTAGCAGTGCCCTGTCTTCACATGGACTGTGGAACTGTACAGCTTGGCTCAGTCAACTGAATTAACTGGAATTGGTCGAAATCTAGAAGTAACAGTAGAGTTCGAACAGGATG